AAACCCTCCATCGTCCTTATCGCCCTCACAGGCACCACAAAAGCAACCATGCGCCTCCCCCAACTTGAAGAGCGCGCCCTCGACCCCGCAACCATGGACCCAACCCGCTTCTCCATCCTCAAAGTGCTCAAGTCAGCCATGCCCAGCGGCACTGACGTCCCAATGCCCAAGGCAGATTTCGAGCCGGAATGGTACCAGAAACTTCCCGTGGATGTCAAGGAAATGCTGCCAGGGCTCTATCCCGTCATTGGTGCTGCGGCGGCTACGTCCGAAGTACTGGATGCGGGTCAGAGCACTAGTACCAGTGCAGCTGCGACGGCGACGACGACAGAGGGCGTGAGCACCACTGCGCCATCATCGGTGTTGGTTTCTTCGGCTGAGTCGTCATTGCCGTCGTCTTCTGCGTCTGTGGAGTCCACGCTGGTGAGTGTGAGCGCTTCTTTGACTACTTCGTCATCTGTGGAGTCTTCATCTTCGTCTTCGTCTTCGTCTTCGTCTTCGTCTTCGTCTTCGTCTTCGTCTTCGTCTTCGTCTTCGTCGTCTCCTACATCGGAGACTTCTTCGTCGTCAAACTCGACGACTTCATCGCTACCACCTTCAAGTTCATCTTCTCTTTCTTCATCATTAGCTACTTCCACTGCTTCTTCTGGGTCATCAGACAACAGCACTCTGACTCTCTCGTCACAGCACACACCCTCATCTACAGGATCTGTCTCTATGCCCCCCACCCTCCCGGCAAACAAGACTACACTCGCCTCTGGCCCCAGTCCTAAGCCTACTGTCACGCTCTCTTTGCCGTCTGCGGCTACGTCGTCTCGACCTGCCAACGCCGGTGTCAGGATGACGGTCAAGACGGAGATGTTGGCGGCGGTCGCGTGGCTGTGCGTTGGAGCTGGATTCGTCATCTATGCTTGATTGCTACCACTTTACAACACTTGGGACTGCTATACAAAGGTTTACACTGTTCATATTTTGGGGGAAAGGGGAGGGATGTGGTGTCTGTCTTGGTTTACGAACTTGAGACGTTTGACATCTTTGTATCAGCTTTTGCGACGCACACCGAGGGTGTTGCGTATTGATTCTTGTATTGTTTAGTTAGTGCTTTTCCTTTTTTTTTGTATGTGTTCAGAGATATCCCCCCCGATGAAGCGATGATTTGTACGAGTATTAGTTCGGTTTGAAGGGAGAAGAAGCCGTAATAACTATTTTGAATGTTTGGAAAATCTTGCTCATAAGTTGCTGTGATCTATTATGACATAACATGACCCATCTTCCCATCTAACCCTATCTCTCTCTTACTTCAGAGACACAATACCCCAGCAACCCTAACCCCCAAATCCAACACAGCCAAATGCTCATCCCCACCATCCACCAACCTCTTATCCGTCTCACTAAAGACACCGGCCAGCCGAACCTTCTTCACGTCCTCGACCCTCTCATCAAACATAATCTGCTCATACAACTGACCCACAGTCTGCTGCGCACTCCACCCCTCTGCAATCATATTCTCCACAATCTTGGCAATCTCATTATACCTGATCTGTTTCGCGGCTGCCGACTTGGGAAACAGCGAGTCTGAAAAAGTAGAGAGCGTGGCGGGCGGGAGGACACCAGCGATTTCCGCGATGATGGGGAGGGAGATGGCGGGTGTAGAAGTTGGGGGTGCATCGACGTCCATTTCGTCTTCTTCGACGACTTTCTTCTTGCCCTTTTTGGAGGCACCGGCACCGCCGCCGTTGACGGCTTGTACAGCGCCGACGAGTCTGGCTGCGGACTGCAAGAAGGTAATTGCCTTTCTCAAATCGCCATCGGCGACTCTGACTAGTTCTTCTGCGACCCCGTCTTCCAGGCTCACATTCTCTAACTTTGCAATGTCGCTCACACGCTTGATAGCGTTTCCTTGATCCAGGCTCTTGAACCGGAATTTACTGCATCGAGAAGCCAGGGGATCGATAATACGGGTTACGTAGTTGCACACGAGACAGAATCTCGTCATGCGACTGTACGTTTCCATAGTCCTGCGGAGCGCGCTCTGCGCATCTTGTGTCATACTGTCTGCCTCGTCCAGTACGATGATTTTGAATGGCGGACATGGGTATTTATCTCTGTAACGCACTGTCTTTGTCTCGCCGCTGCTCTTGTCTTCAACCATGATGTTGTAGTTTGGGGCTACGCTGAGCTGTTGGCGCGCAAAGTCTTTTACTTTTTGACGCACGATGCTGATTCCGCGCTCGTCTGAAGCGTTCAGTTCGAGTACTCGGCTCTTCATGAGTTCGGGGCCGTAAAGTTCTTTGGCGAGGGCGAGAATGGTGGAGGTTTTACCGGTACCTGGGGGGCCGTAGAAGAGCATGTGGGGTAGGTTCGAGGATTGCATTGTGCGAGAGAGAATTTGGATCGTGTTGTCTTGAGCTGTGACTTCGGAGAGCGTCTTGGGGCGGCTGCAATGGGTGTTAGTTCTACGGGTTTGCAGCCTTGCATGATGTGTGTGTACTATTTCTCGACCCATGGTTGCAGGCGATTGGGCTCTTGCTTTGTTGTGGGAGCTTTTGAGGCACTTGCTTGAGCAGCGGCTTGTTGCCGTGCCTTAATGTTGAAAAAGTCTGCCATTGTTGTGTGTCGTGTATGCGCTGAAGATGCGGGAAGTGGGAAAGCTAAAGTGCGACGCGTCGACGCGAAATCACGTTATTGCACGGACCACCATATAATGTCTCCCAGCAAACGTCACAGTACAGGATCATCACAGCATCGGAAGTATTTGAGGTATCTCTTAGATTCAGGGGTCTTGGAATAGCCAGAACGTCTAGTTTCCTACCTTCTGCGGATGACGCCAGAAGATGCATGCACTCCGCGCTCATGCTGAGCTCATCATCGCACGTAACCATGTACCACCCATTCCCTGGCCTGCGTCCATGCCATGATCGATCGATAGTCGAACCTATGGTATCAAGGGTCTTGCATCAGAAATCAGACTAGTATGGACTAATCTACTTTCCATTCAGCCTAACCCCCTTAACTCTCTTAGCCAATTGTACTGAATCGGAATCTGAGCCATAAGAGGTCTGCCGCGTCGTACCAGGGGTATGCTCGACAGGGAGAGGTGCAGCCCCCCTACTGGCTGACGCGGAGAAAGTCGAGGATGGTAAAGAACGTTTAGGGGGGCGCTCACCAGTTTCTCTGAGAATCGTCAAAAGGGTTGCCCAGCCTCCGGTATGTTGGAGCGCTGAGCCTTCTGAGGTGTCGTGCGATGATGCGACTTTGAATAGGAGTGTCTCTTCGTCCTAGACATTTGGGTTAGCGGAACATGAGACTAGGTATAGACGGGCAAACCTTTGATAGAACCCCTAGATTGTGTATGAAGCATAGCATGTGAAAGTTGGAGATTGCGTTGAGATCACTGGTTGTGTTGAGGGCCAATCCATTTGCCTTTGCGTTGAGAACTTTGCTGAGATGCGAGACCTCTGGCACTTCGCCCATAGCCTCGCGGTTTTCAATTGGGAATTTTCCGCCAGTGAAGAGCGGGTTGGGCTGAGTAGGGAAACCGTGCGTGAGAGTAAGGAGAAGGTATTCAACTGGAAAAGCAGGTTTAGCAACCTCTTGTACGTTTGCGCCATGTTCGTTGATCCTTCGGTAGAAAACTTCGGGGATGTACCGCGCTCGGCCCAGGGCTTCGTCATCCTCTTCCGATTGAACTAGCATGACCGATGGCTCTGCCGAAGGCTCAATAATATCGGCGCGCACCATCTCGACGGCGTCGTTGGAGACTTGGTAGGACGAGATACCAATCTGGCCTTTGTCGTCGCCGCTGATGACACAGGTAACAAAGTTAGATCCGTGTCGTCCGGTATCGCTCCACTTGGAAGGACGGGGATACTTTGCCTGGTACCGTGCTGCGAAGCAAACCTCAAGGGAGGCCAGGTAGTACGAGTCCATGTGTCGCTTACAGATGACAGAGCCGTCGCCGTTGTTGGTATCTAGTAGATCTGTAAAGATGACACCAACCCGCTGTAGACCGCACTGCGCAGCAATTTCATCAATCTCCTTTTCGTTGTCCCATTCTCCCAATGATATGCCGTCGGCCTCGTTGACTTGCGGTGGCTCGTAGATGGTTTCGACCACAGCCTTTGTTCCGAGTGGCACCTCAGTATACTCCTCGTACCTGCCGTACAAGAAGCCCAGTCGCTGGCAGCCCGTTTGCCTCCAAAAGTTGATAAGATCGTCGACGACTTGTATAGAAGCAAATTCGACGTGGTCCACCATGCGGTATTCTTGCGGCTTGAGCGAAATGGCGCTGGGCATGCACTTGGTACAAATGCCCTCTGGAAACGGCTTGTGTCCCGATGGACAGTCAGGTTTTACGCGGTAATAGGGTTCTGTCAGTGGTGGCATGTACGAGCTTCCGAGCTCTGGTCGATTCTTCGCAGAATTGACCTTTCGTAGGTAGGAGTGGAAGGAGAGGTGCTTGATCTTCTTCTCGGCGAGGTATGCGGGCGAGTATGGCTCCAGCGGCATGCAGTAGTCGCACATGCCCTTTGGTCCGTGTGAGCACATGCGAGCGTCGCGCTTCCTGGGGATCTTTCCATCCTGCCTATCCAGTCTGTCGTCGAGGGGTGACTGCCTGACCACCTCCCATGGGTTCTTTATGACTTGAGTGGGGGAACCGAGGGGCACAGAGGGCATTTCAGTGGCTGCGACGGGCTTGCCATTTAATCGCGAAGCACCTGCAGAGGATGAACTTTGGCCGTTGGATGCGGCGGATTGCTCCTCGAAGGTGAGGAAGAGTTGCGCGCCATTTCTGTATAATCATCAGCGGTGATATCTGGCACAGACAAGCTACTTACGATAATCCAACTTGCTTGAAGCTCACGCCCTTCAGGTCAGCGAGCCTTCTAGCATCGCCACCTTGGGGCCGATTGCTGATGCTAATGCTCTGAATGTCGACATTTTTTGGTAGTTTCTCGGCGATCTGGGGCAGAATATCTGTAAAGGTATCCTCTGGCTGTACCGTCAACCTGAATTGGCCTTCTTTGCTCACGAACCTCAGTATCATGGTGGGCTATGAATTTCGGGATTGAGATGGGTCAAGTGGAAAGAGTTTCGGGGGTGGATGTGTGAGGATTTGTAGGGAAGGTGTGGGTAAAAGCAAGCAGAAGAACTTGGTAACTGTGGTTGCAGGTGGGTTATTGATTGATTACACAGTCGCTAGGAAGGCGTCGAAGGCGGCAGAATGACGCGCGCGAGCGAACCCTGGTCGTAGCGCGAAACCACCCGGACATTTACCGAATTGCGAACAGGCCAGATATTCTATCGATAACTGACACTGACAACAAAGCGCATACCAAAAACTTGGCCTTTACCTTCCCGCCGTATATCACTACTGAGGACACCGTCGCTCCTTTGAAGTTTGCACGACGTGGGAAATAATCCTGCAGCACACTCGCGAAACATCTCCGTTCACTCACTTGCTGCCCGCACCAAACAATCACCATGTGGCCCTTCGACATGGTCGACTGGGTGATGCTCACCGTCCCCTTTGCCTACATTGGTATCCTCGCCGGTTCTTTTGCCGTCTTCACAAATCTCTACAAGAAGCGCCAGGCTGCCAACGCCGCCTCGCTCGAACCCTGGTTCCCCACACATCTCCAGCGCAATGTCTACCTGTCTCTACTACACATGGAGGATCCCAAGGCACCAGACAGCGTCCTAAAGGCTGCCTTGTTGCGCCGCGCGACTGAAGACATTCACCGCATAGTACAGGTCAGGAATGCGAAGCAAGCACTCCAAGTACTGTTGCAGCGGGGCAGTGTGGGCGATGATTTGTGGCAACGGTTCCAGAGGGCGGAGAAGGAAATCGAGGAAGAACTCAGAGATGTCGTCAACGAGGTGAGTTCAATGACTTTCAAGTCGTATACACAAACTAACGCTACTCAGGCCAACGCATTCGCCCCCAACTGGGGCCAGACTATCTTCCAATCAGCTTCTGAAATGGCGCAGAACAACCACATCCGTGAGCGTCTGGCCGAGATCACAGCAAAGGCACCCGCGGAGAAGGAGTGGTGGGAGAAGCGCAAAGCTACCATTCAGTCCGAGTTCATGAAGGAGCTAGAGGACGAGAAGGTGAAGAGCGACGAGGAGGGTGTCATGGTGGAGAAGGCTGGAGCCAAGAAGGCTTAGCGTTGAGTGACGGCGGATGCTTCGCGGTACTTCAGGTTCTACTTTGGGCCCCAGTCTAGGGTAATTCGGGCGTGGGTATGGCGTTCTCAGCATTCGAGGCGTATTGTTAGATGGGTGCCGGTTAGCTGCATCAGAGGCGTTTATTCCTTGTATAAACTTGATCAACGCTTTATCGCTGTTTATGAACTTGTTCAAATGCTAAATTGATTGCAGTGCTATAAACGCCAATTATCCCATAGAGTACATGACCACCCTTCTGCTAATCGAAATGAAGTTTGTAGTACACCAGATATACAACCCTCAATCCCCCGTCCCATCCTTGGTTGGGGCTTCTTCTTGTTCTGCGTCGACTTCAATTTTCCGCTTTCTACTTCCTGGTAGGGCCGCTGACACCAGCACCGATGACACTGGGTAGCTCCTCAGCACCCATCGAGTAAAGCATACCAATGCCAGAAGAGACCAGGAAAGCCAGAATGACGCCGCTGCCAACAAAGAGCCAGAACTGGGTCGAAATGTCTTTCTTCTGGCAAGCCGGGCCTCCCCAGTACGTGACCTTCTTCTTGATCTCCATACCCTTGTCCTCTCCGACGTGCTGGATGGTAGGCGAGCAGGCGCAGCCGTAGCAGTCAACCGACTCCTGATTGCTACCAGAACCGCGGCCCTTGTGGAGAAGCTTGCACTCGCCATGGCTGGAGCAGTTTTGTGTCCTGCTCTGGCAAGCAGCCATGGAGATGAAGCAGGTGGGAAGGATGCCGCGCACTGGGCCCTTCTTGTTCTCGGCCTCGGCGGCGATGACGGGAAAGCTCTCGTCGGGCGTCTTGGAGGTGGCGGCGGGTACCGGAATAGAAGAGAGGACAGCCTCCGGGTTCTGGCGGTTGGCCTGCCTGGCGGGCATATTGTAAGTACCCCACGGGTTGGCGGTGCGCTTGGACTTTGAGGTTGCACGCGGCATCATGACGACAGTCACAGCAAAGCCGGACTCCTGCGCCTTCTGCTTGATGTTGGTGAGGACGTTGGCCATGTCCTCAGTCGTCATCTTGTCATTCTTGTCTGTGCGCCACATGTTGAGGTAGCCATTGTAGGCAGCTACCTTTGAGTTTGAGGGGAGGGCCGACTGGATGTCGAAGTTGGTCTTGTACGTTCGTTGCTGGGGGTCTGGGTATTCTGGCAGCGTCTCGGCCTGTGCGATAAAGTCCTTGATCAAACGGTCATTGTCGGAAGCCGACGGTGCGCCTGAAATGACAAAGTCGAGTGTGCGATCTGACCCGTCGTTGATGATGACTGCCAGCTCGAGTTAGCCTGTGACGCCTGCGATGCGATAGCCTGGAGGCGTCTGCCCACCTGTTGCCTCATCCTGCTCAACGTCCTCTGCCCATACCAGCAAATGTGCTCTGGAGACATGGTCGTCTTCCGTTCCGAACAGCTTCTGCTGCAGACCGCCATACGTGTTGATATGTCGAATCGTCTCGGCGTCGGCATGCTCGATCGCGTGGAATCGCGAGAGACCTAGGCGTTGGGCGATGATGAGACGCGCAGTCTCTGGGGTGACGGTGGGTCGAGCTGCAAGTACTGCGCAGCACAGCGATGAGGCGGCAAAGGCCCCGGATAGCTTCATGTTGGCGGGTATGATGGGCGTTGGGGGAGCGTCCAACTGCGGCGATGATGCAGACGGAAGCTGAGACCAACTCGGAAGTTGGCGCTCTCACACCTCCGTCCTTGCAGCAACAGCAGCCTCGCCGTACCACCGGCTGGCGATTAGGTAGACATATCGTTTTCTAGCAAACTAACCAATCCCCACCTGTTTGTATACAATATACAATACAGCAAGCCTTCATGTCTCTTCACTTGATCCTCACCCCGACTCGCTCATAGCATTCGCCTGTTGCCCGCGCTCACGCCCGCGCCCGCCACATGTTGAAGCCACTGGTGCTGCGGCGGGACTTCTCCCTCTTCACTCGAGTCCCGTATTCGCGCTTAATCAATTCGGCTGCACACAATGGCCATGAGAGCATAATCATACACCGAGTGCGTATACGGCAGCCTTTCTTCCGCAGGTCGTGAGTTGTCTCACACGCCTTGCACTCCAGCATGCTAACCCCCTCCAGACGCCTAGTCGGTACTTTCATTTTCGCCACTGCAACATTCGCGATTGTCCAATCTCTCGGTGTCAAAGTCGAAGTTGAAATAAAAGAGATCGAAGCCAAGGACAAGAAGCCATCGCCGTCCGCCAGTCCCGAAGAAGATGGGTGGACGACAGTTGGGCAAGAAGTAGATGAGGACGAGGACGAGGAAGAGGAAGAGGAAGAGGAAGAAGCACTACTATTTCTACCCACTGGTTTCTCGCGACCGCAAAAGAAGACCTTCTACAAGGGCACCGATCCAGAGTGGCAGGAATTTAGAAAGTTGGCAACAGATCGCCCGAGGCTTGAGAAGATACGCGGTAAGCTGCATGCGCTGCTGCTGAAGTCTGCAATGACTGACAACTGAGTAGGAGACCTTGTCAGTACACTACGCGGCACATTGGCCAAGAATCCGAACTGGATCCTGAAACTAGGCAAAGTCGACACCAGCAAAGGCAAAACATGGCTCGAGTTCAAGTTCCCAGACGGCCCGCCCGTCGAGTACGAGCGACCTGGCATAGAGCTGACTGAGAATCTTGAATGGCGAAAAGCGACACGCCCGGTCAACTTCAGCCATCACGATCGCTTAAAGAGACTCATGTACCCCAAGGAAGTTGCGGATGCTCTGTACAACGACACGACGAACAAGGTCAAAGGTCTATGGAAAGGCTTTCAAGTCTACATGGGTTGGCACCAAGAGTCAAAATCAGACACTGTCCAGCAACTAGTCCAGCGGATAGCAGCCAATCCACAGTCTTCCGCCAGCCAACCTACAACTACAACGCCAGACCCGGCCTCTGCATCATCAACAGATAGTCAACAACCCAGCATAACCACTTCTTCCGCACCCATTGACGGCCCACCAAAAGACCTGGGTTTCGTTCTGCCAGAACCCAAAAAATTGACCCTCGATCTCTCCCGGTTTCGAGCCGAATTCCAAAGAGCCTTCAAACCCTCCCCACCACCGCTCCCGCGTGGCGTCTTCTACATTATCGGTCTTGTCGAAGTCTATGGAGCTCGTGCGAGGTCTACTTTCTCTGTGATTGCCATCTACGATCCCAAGCAAGGTAAATTTGTCCATATTCATGCGCAAGAATTCAACTCTCTCGAGCATAACCAGCGCCCCAGGGGGTAGCGCCGACCAAGAACTTTTGAGCGACAAGTGTTAGTCTGTGCTTTGATGCATTATACCCGGCGCGATGGGGCGTTTGAGGATTTTTCGGGCAAGGGAATGTGATGTTTGTCCTCACTTGGTACTCTTGTGCCGAGGATCTTGTGTGGTTGCGATCAAAAGATTGCGGGGCTTGGAAAAATGAGATTGTGACGGTTCCATGAGTACATAATGTGATTTGATTCACTTTTTGAACATGACATGTTTTGTCTGTACATTTCGGATCCCCGTCTTCTGGCATATAAAATCTCCTCTCTGTCCCTCTTCTCTCCTTGTTTCCTTATCTCACCAAATACTCTCTACCTTTTCTCAAAACTGACCAAAAAGCAGGTGATGTGTGGATACCTGCTTCTAGGTCTCTTTCTAAAAGAAATCCCAATCCTCCGCAATGATGAAACCTCTCTCTTTCTCTTGTCTAAAACCTACCCTTTCTGAATACAAGTATGTGGCACTTCTTGTTATGGCTGTTTCCCTCTTCTTTTCCAAAAAATAGCAACGCATAGACACTTCATGTTGTTTGCGTAAAAAAAGCACCAAAGCCCGTATAGTTGTTGTGTCCTGGGTTGTGGTATACGTACCAGCTCTGTTCTTTCTAAACTGAGAACTACTATTCTATCATATCCGGTATTTCCAAAAAAGGCTCACAAAACGATGTGGGGAGGGCGTTCGTGTGCGCTCTTTTACTAAACCCGATAGTTTCAAGACTGTATGTGCAGTGGGACTTTGTCTACTCTTCTTAACAAAAAGCACTCACTCCGCCTTCATGAAAGAGGTTCCTGAAAAATAATTTTCTATACTCTAAAAAGCACCGCATGTATGATCATGTGGGAGGTCGCTACTTTTGTGGTTGTAACTTCAGACGTTCAAAACAAGAACCAGATGCCTTCTATATTGGGCGAAAACGGTTTCTACAACTCTTCATCTAAGAGAAAAAAAACACGCCGCATTCAAACTCATGGAAACTTCCGAATGAGGCGGCCATATTAGGCGTAGCCTCCTGCCTACGTGTATAAAATTTCGTCGGTGTAGGATTCTTCCTTTCCTTCTCTTTATTTTACTACTTTCTATTTCTACTTTCTAAAAGAACGATTCCTTTGTGGACGTGGGGGGGGAGCGTTGCTGGCTCTTTTGAAACCCCCAGAAGTAAAGCAAATGGTGGTATGTTGCTCTCTTCTTCCGCTTCTATAAGAAAATCAACTTGAAAATCAGGCTATACTCTTGGCCGAGTAGTTCCTCTCACTAGAAAAGCACACAATCACAGCGCATGGTGGTGGCTATCTCTCTCCTTCCACTTCTACCAAATAAAAAATGTGGCGTACCAGACCGTGGTGTTGGACGATTTGTTCCTCTTATTAGAAATTCTAGGCAGCCGACCTGATGGTGGTGCCTCTCTCTCTTTTCTGCTTCTATAAATAAACTTTCACGACTGGTAACACATGGTCTTGGGCGTCCTTACTCCTCTCATCTCCGCTATTTTCCACAAAACTCGTTGTCCTAGTTATATGGCTCTCTCCGCTATTCTTGCTGCCTCTTAAAACACTGCTTTTAAAAACTTCTAACACCTATCAGATGCGGTCAAAGCCAGTAAACGCTTGGCTTACTGTATATAAACTCCCACTTCAACTCCTACATGGCCGGCCTCCTTCTTCCCACCAAGAAGATTACTTAAAAACTTAAAAGCCTGTACACGTCAACCATATGGTGTGTGTTCCCGCTCTTCCTTTTTTTACCAAAAACTGCCCCGTGACCCGGATGGGTGCGTATGCTTCTATCATGTCTCTAAAACACTTTCTTGGGTTGTGGATATTTTCATCTTTTCTAAAATCAAAACGCAATCAATTCATGACTTATGGCCGAGAAAAGTTTCCGAGACGATCTCGCGATGTTGGCGACTAATATTCCAGAAATTTTATTGAAATGAACTCGCAACCAGTCCATGTCCGGTCGCTCGCACAGACCAAGTGGTGTTGTGTATATAAACTCTTCTTCTCTCCTCCGGGCTTCTAGGTTTATAGTATCTTAAATTTTCCCGTTGTTTCCAAAAACAAAAGCAATGTTCTACGATGTGGTGGTTGTGACGTTCCCATTTTTACGAAAACCACAGAGCTTCTTTGCGATGTACGAGCAAGGCCGGCGCACTATTTTACAAAAATAACGTCTGACGACGACGAATGGAGAGGAGCACTGTGCCGTCCTTTTAAAAATACAGAAAGACACTCAAATTACTCGACAGTGAGAACGATGGACCGCCGGCCCGCATATGTACACTTTCTTCCTGATCGATACATGTTCCCTTCTCTTTTCCACCACCTCCGTACATTCTCAAAAAGCTTTGTGAAAAACAGTACATGAGGAGATCGCTTATCTCCTACCTATTTTTAAAATAATAGAAAGGTTGGCAAGAGACCGTTGAGGCTGGAGAAAAAAGTGGGTTCTTGCAGGTTTTCGAAAAATTGACTTCAACACCGTACATGTTCGACCGCGCTGGTCCTGATGAAGGCACTGTATAACTTTTTAACCTTTAGAAGAGGAAAGTTCATGACAGTTAAGTGGGATTGAAATCCAACAGTACACGCTCTATGTCGGTGTTTCCAGCATGAGGTTATATGGAAAAGAGAGAGGGAAAGCTCTAGGTTGGCAGCAAATTCTAGGAAGATACGCAAAATGATTGCTGTTCGTTTCTGAGTAGCTACTTCACACCTAGCGTGAAGTGGAGCAGTGGGTGCATATAAAATTTCGTGTTATCTGCGATACTTACCTTCTTACACTCCACAATTACCAATATGTCTAAAAACTACGTCAAAAAAGATTTGGAGGAGGAACATGTACTTTTGTTTCTTAAATACAGCTTGTCAACATTGTATGTGGTCGTCTCTTGTTCCCTTTTCTAAAAGTTCAAAAAATCCACGAAAATGCATTGTATGTTGTGGCGTCCCTTTCTCTTTTTCAAACTACCAGCGATTGAAAAAATGCGTACAACCTTGGCATGATTTTGTTGTCTGACTGATGCTCGTGCTCAAAAACAGCGATGTGGCATGTCATGGGCTCCCTTTTTCTCTTAAAATCTCGTTCCTTATCTCTATGCTGCTGACGTCCACCGCGGTTAATATTAAAACAATGAGGTACTATGCTGACTGCGGCATTTGTCTTTTAGATCTACCTAAATATATACCCTTTCTACTCATCAAAAACAAGCTGCCATTTTACATCCTAAAATCACATCACGGTGAATGATGTGCTTCCCAGGGTCGCATCTCTAAAATGGGTTATGTCGTCCAAGTACACCCATACAATGGTGTTGTACCTCGAATCATTTGATCGTACCAGACGTATATGAAATCCTCACCAGCCTCTATCATGTGAAATTTCTGCGTGGCTAGCTTCAAGCGAACATGGTGGTGCTACCACCTGGGTGTCATAAAATACTGGACATACTAGTGTAAAATGGCCACTGTAGTCGCCAGACACGTCTATTAGGTGCTTACCCCCACTTTCCAGTATTTTATGTCACCCAGGTGCTACTCTCGTTCCCAACTGTCCTCGCCGCGGGGCAATTCACCGCTTACGTAAGCTCAACACAGCCATCGTACAAGAAGCACACAGAGGGTCACATTCCCATGTTTGGAGGTGATGGAATACCGCTCTACAGCATCTTGCATACCTGCGACTGGATACAGAGAGATAAGGTAGCCGAGAATCTAAGTGCTTTCGTGGCAAGACTTGGGGTGCCCTTCATGGCACCCGCCTTGCCTCCTAGCCTTGTGGTCGGCTGCTGTGACGTGTTCTCGCATCACTTGCCTGCGAAAAACACACGACCTGACGGTTCGGGGCAGAAGTGAGCGCAGATGACACGATTGACAACAAGATGCGCGGGCACTGGGCCAACTGTATCATGTTGCTGCAATGCAGATCTTGATGACACACTCCTCGGTGTATGCTACGTAACGACTGTGGGCGTGGGATCTCTGCGGGTCAGCCTACCCCGAGCTGACTTACTGTACCTTGAAGCGAGATCGAAGGTAAGAAAAGTCGGTCTGTTCAATGTTCTGTAATGATCCACCACGTGACTTATCCATCATCACATGTTACTTACCTGTCGCTGTCAAATTTTTGAGTTGGATCTTGTGCGTCATAGTAGAATGTTACATCCGTCCAACAGTAACTCTAAAGTCCACATACTCGCTCAGAATCACCTAGATGGCCTTAATCTCAGTCCCACCACTGCTCACGAGAAATTTGCATACTGCGGTGGAGCAGTATGACTGTATAGCCCACTGAAAAGCTGCTCCTGACGTTGCGCTCTTCTTTTCGGTCTTCTCCGTATGGATAACAGTACTCAAAACTCCGCGCTTGCGCGGACCAGCAACGATGCGAGGCCACGTTTGTCGAGAAGCCTAGCTAAGCGTAAACTAACGCAGGGTAGTCTCACTATGTTTTGCGGAGGAACGATCAGGTGTTTCGTCTACCATAGTACACAAAAGTTACACAAACGTTTGGGGTAAAATCCAGACCCCGCTTCGAGAAACCTTAGGTCCCAGATTTTCTGTGGTCTTATCGTAACTAGTTCCCGGTGGTATTCGGCACCCGACCGATAAGATTCCTAGGGAGCAGACAGGTCTGCTACTTCCCGTGAGGGCAAGATTTTTGAGCAAGGAAAAAATACTTTTTTTCTGCGTGCAGCGGCCCGGGGTTTGTACAGGGTTTGCACAGGGTTCGGCAAAGTTCCGGTGTAGGAACGCTGACGAACACTCTCTCTGTGATTGTACGGAAAGCATTCTCACCCCAAGATGCAAGTTTAAGAGTCGCGACCACACCAGGCTTCGGCCTACCGCGGAATTGCCTAGAAACCTCGGGATTCACCGGCGGGTAGCTAGAAGGTCTCGTCCTCCCTTAGACGGAGCAGCATGATCCACAAGAGCGTTCACAAGCCTGGCTAAAGGGAGCAAGGAAGCATCTGCCGTGTTGGGAACGCCACCACGTGAAGCTGAAAGATCAACCGAGTCGTGCTCCACGTCTCCTCTTGACTCGCCGTAGGGCTCGGCACCCGTACCTGATGGCCGCCGGAAGCCCGCGGCCCGGATGGGATGCCAGGGATCAGAGCTGGGATTCGGACGTAAAAGGTGATTGATTACATGATAAACTAAAGTCCAAAGAAATTATCGCAAAAGTAAGGGTGTGATTGCCTCGTTCAAGGGCGGGTGCTGCAGGAACGAGGCACAAGCTTGGAGATCCGCTCGCGGGATGTAGGTTAGGCGGCTCCAGTGATGGGGTCCCGATGACCGCACACGACAAGACGTCGTTGGTTGGATGTGAGTCTTTTGGTTCAAAATGAAGCAGATCAGCAGCGGGACGTTGTTTTTGTCGGTTGGCGCTTTGCTCTGATCTGCTTAGTCTCCCGCTTGAGGGCAACCTGCGAGTCCAGAACGTGAACGTCAACCTTGACCCTCCACAAAAATCAGAACTTGTTCCTGCGCAGGCACCCGACCTAGACATGGATCGCGCGTTAGATGCCCCCAACGGCCTTCTCAGAGTGCAACACGACGTCAAGTCTTCGTCGTGGCTATGCCGCACAACTCAACCTGGCCCCGCCGGCTCGGCGACCGACAACTCTCCTTGAGCAATGTTATTCGACAGCCCTAGGACATCTAATTTCCACAATGTGCTTGGCTCTTCGATTGACGAATAGTCTAACCCTACAGCCGGCGCCGTCAGACCGGGAGACGGGGAAGACGATCCATTTCCTAATGACCGTGCGTTTTTTTGTGTTGGCAACAGTCTTGGTTGAAACGTAGTAGTAAGTCAAGGCCGAGAGGACGACGCCATGCGCTGTCCTGCACCCTGTTGTGGGCCCCAAGGCCTTAGGTTCTGCGAAGAAATGCGCCTTGTAATTTCGTCTTCATTATAAGTAATGCTGCCGCTCCAACAGTGAATAGCATCAGCACCAAGTCTCTCCTTTGACCATTTTTGTCATATCACGCTCTTTAGCAACCCACATTCCTTCATTCTTTGGTGCTTCAATCATTCAAAATGCTTACCACTACCTTCTTCATGGCCCTAGCTGGCCTTTCCACCATCATTGAGGCATCCCCTCTTCAACCTCGCGGCGGAAACAAGCGTGGTCTTGCCTTCCCCAAAAACCACAACGGCGTTCCCGGTTCCCAGTACACTCACGCTTTTGATGCCACCTCCAAGCTTGGCTGGATGTACAACTGGGAGGCAGTCATTGATGGTCAACCCATCGACCTCGAATTTGTTCCTCTGCTTCACTCCAACCAGCAGTGGTGCACTGAGACTTGGTTCAACAACATCGCCAACGCTCGCAAGAACTACAAGGTCTCGCACATCCTGGGCTTCAACGAACCAGACCAGGTTGGCGGCGGAGGCACCAACATGGACGTGGGAACTGCCGTGGCCGCGTGGAAGGCATTCATCCAACCCCTCGCCTCCCAAGGACTCCGCCTCGGCTCTCCTGCCGTCACCAGTGGCAACGAGCCCAACAAGGGCATCAACTGGCTCAAGAACTTCGTCTCCAGCTGCAACGGCTGCCAAATCGACTTTGTCGTAGCCCACTACTATGCCTGGGACAAAGCCGAAGACTTCAAGAACTACCTCATCAAATTCCACCAAACCTTCAACAAGCCCGTCTGGGTCACCGAGTTCGGCGTCACTGAGGGCAACGCCGACCAGTTCCTCAAGGAGGTTCTTCCATGGATGGATGGACAGGACTGGATCGAGCGTTACGCTTACTTCATGGCTGCCCCTGCTACCGACCAGAAGCTTCTGATCAACGCCAACGGCCAAGGTCTGAGCAGCACCGGAAAAATCTACGCAACTTTGTAATCGCGCTGTTGATGGTGTGTGCGTCACAAAAGACGCGACAGTAACGAGTTATGACCACTTTTCTATTCTTGTCCGATACCATTTTTCAACCAAACATGGACTTTTATGCCATCTTTTTCTTATGTAGATGGTCAATGTCACATTCTTTATCCACCATGCATTCACCTTCTATCATCTATTGTGAAATGTTCCCATGGTGATGTTGCTGTGATGACGAGTCTTTCCAATATGTACTTGTTCTATTTGTGGAGACCTACAAGGAACATCGATGCTCTAGCGGCGGCACTTTAGGACGCGGCTGCATGGCAAAGATAATGATAGAACTAGTTCACGGTATCGTTCTCTGGGCATAATCTCCTTGCATATAGGTATTGTGGCTGTAAATAATAATAAGTTCTATTTTTACCATAAACTGTAGTGCTCAGCCTTCTCGACGTCATCCATTGTTTCAACTGGATCATATGTGATTTGAATAGCTCAATTGTGCTGTATAGCCCACAACTTCTCGTATTCATAAACATACGATTTACGCTAGGTTGCCGTCATAGAATCGCTCCATAATCTCTATTACTCATCACATGCACCAATAGCCAGTTGCCAAGCTTTACTCATTCAACATATTGTAGTCCCGGCACTTCATCGATACGGACAAGAACCTATCTTCACCTCTTTCTGTAGAAGGAGTAGCACCATAGCACTGCCTGGCAGCAGCAATCAGTGCCCCTGGAAATAAGCTCACTATGATCCATGGCAGTGTCAGGATCACATGATGTGGAGAAAAGTCGATACTACATGACAGACTACATCCATGTCGGGTCCAAAGCACCAGAGACGAGATAAACTAGATCAAGGGATAAAGATCCATAGGCGGAGAGCCTGAAATATGTGCAGTGCTGCCTACTTTTCAAATCATGACACACTCATGGATTACACGATTATTCATCACCCAAGCACATTGCTGTTGTTCTAAATAAACACATGTAAATTAAAAACATCATTGGTGTATATTAAACAGCTACTTTTTAAGCACCGTTGCACTCAACACAAACCAAACACCTCATTGGCACATCAATCCTCTATATCATCATCGCTCAAAACAAGACTGGCGCCCTTGTCAACTAGACCGGATATCGCCGATTCAGGCTCCTGCTCTTTTGTCTCAAACTTGATCCGTCTTTTCTTCCTTGGTGTTTCTACACCCGGTTTATCCGTGGTCCATTGATCTTGTTCACCGGGACCAACGTCGTCTTCTCCATCGTCCTCTTCCTCGGCACCCTGGAGAGCATTCCCAGTGAAAGATGTGATCTTTTGGATCTCGCGGACCGTGGCTGCTGTGGAAGAAGATGATGATGTGCGTAACTTGCGTAGGATGATGGTCAGATAAGGGAGGCGTTCGAGGAGCATCTCGTAGCGAGCTGAGCCGCCACTTCCTAGGAGAATCGAAGGCGATGCATCATCCTCGGTATATTTAGAATCCTGTGTCGATGCCGGCTGTGATGTCGGGGCGCTTCTTTTCCACATGTGCACACCTCCGCCTGCAGTCGTTGCTTTCGCTGCGCGTAGAGTGGTTGAGAAAAGCTCGCTGCTTTGCGCACGTGACACCCACATATCCAAAAGGCCTCCAATCTCTTCTTGTTGCTTCCAAATTCGTAGCGATGCCGGGTAGTACATGACAAATGCATTGCCCTTGGCCGCACCAGTGTTCACCCCTTGTCCTTTCGCTTTGATACCCATGATGCCAGGGGGTGGTGCGACACGCTTCACGGGGTGTGGCAGATTGAACAAAAGTCCACGCACGCCCGTCTGGAAGCACATCTCGTCTTGGCGCAAGTTGTCCGCACTCGTTCCCTGGAGGTTTCGGCGACCAGCTCCGGCGCCAAACCGGTCTGGTGAGAGTAAATCAGCGTCAGATAGAGCGTCGATGCATCCCTCGATAGAATCCATGGTCTCCTCGCTATCTGCACCCCCGCATGACAGAACATAGTTCTCGTGCAAAGCAGCAACAAAAGTCTGGGTGTCGGTCCCCAACTCATTGATGAGTGTGTCAACATTGACTTCCGAAACCTTCGGTCTTCTCTTTTCAGGAAACCAGTTGGGTGGGTGTGCAATGGGCTCGTTATGGTTTTCTGTTAGTCGCTTGTTGTAGACGACTCGTCCCACCGAATGAAAAATGCCCAAAGTGCTTTCACGTTGTGTGACCATCTCGAGCGATTCCCGCTCAATCTTGGTCATCGGAGTGTCTTTCAGTGCTTTTTTCTTCGAGAAGTTGACATTTGCGCCCCAGCCCTCGGCGTCATCGCCTCGGAGACACAAGAACTCAAGTGAAGATACCGCGCTTCGGATGTCTCCAAGCTCCGCAAGACGCTGGATGGCCTGCGGGCCCAACGTCTTCTTACGTCCGGACTTCCGAGCCTCTTTGACGATTATCGTATCCAAGGCCTTCGTCATATATGTGGGTGCGATTGGATTGAACTCAATGACAGAAACCCCAGCATGGGTGAGAATATCAGGCCCCAACAGCCGATGCGCGGTGAAGCTGTCAGCTGCTGCTGTATTGGTGGACAACAGAGTCTCTGAAATGATCATAACAATTGGAGTCACTGCCTGCTCGGGATTGACCTGGGATGAGAAGAAAGCAGTGGCTGATTGCGTGTTGGCAGCAAGGTAGTTCAGGACGGAAGAGCGAAAAGACTGGACGGCCGAAGAAGTACGTGTAAATGTATTCGGAAACTCCTCTACTAGAACCAACTGTTTCTGCCTACCCACTTGACTGCTGGGAGAAGCTGTTTGAGCCGTGGGTACTGGCTCGTCAAAGGCCAGGCTACCAAAGGTGCCAGTCCTTGCCACGAAATCCTCAAACTGTGCAGTAACAGATACGAAGCTGTCGGATGTCGACATGGAGCCAGTGGGGTTTTTCCATTCCTGCATTTCTATGCCCAACTCCTTGGAGAGTAGAGATATGGTGGTGGTTTTGCCACTGCCAGCAGGGCCTTTGAGAAGCAGCAATCTCTTGCGTGCTTTCCCGTTAAAGACGTCGCTAAGCCATGTCCGCACATCCGCCACCTTCCTCTTGTGTACAGCGAGCTCATCGAGCGATTCTGGGCCATACTTTTCAGTCCATGGCCGTCTGTCCACTACTTCCTGCTGCTGCGCCGGTTGGGACGATAACGGCGGTGTGCTACGGGCTCCGGTGGCTGTTCGTAGAAACTTCTGCCTACTTATTGCGCTGCTGCCATGGCCGGTTGGCGCAGTCGCAGCGATCGGCCTCTTACGTACGGGGAGAGGATTCGAAGACTTGGTTGGGCGGACATTGTCGTCGTCGGAATCGAGAATGTCGTCTACGTCCTCAATAGAAGCGGCATACTTCTCGGGGCTGGGTGTAGGCTGTGTCGACTGCGAGCGGGGCACATTGCTAAAGAACGAGGTAATGGGCTTGTATATCGGCTTTGACTTGGCGGGTGATTTGGCGGGGGCCTTTTTGGTTGGAGACTTTTTGGTAGTAGCAGCTTTGGACGGTTTGGGAGAGACTGCACGTGCTTGTGCTTGGGATCGGGTGGCCCTGTCTGTTACCCGCGGCCCAGTAGAGGTGGCGGTTAGGGTGCCACCCCTCCTGGAGCGCTCGGGAGGCGGTGAAAGTGATTCACGTCCATCAGACTCGTCGGATGAGAACACGAGCGGCTTCTTCCGCGGGGCGCGCAACTTAGCCATGAGCGCCCGAAGTGGAGGATCCGAAGCAGTCTCTGCTGCACAATGACATTCTCGGTGCTAGACTGGTTGGAGCAGCAAAGTCGCGTGACTGCTAGAGTTGCTGGAGCAATTCAAGGTCGCGTCGCAGGCGGAAAGAGCAGGTCGGGGCGAAGCGCGCTAACGCAGGTGGGGCAACAATGTACCAAGTCGCCGTGTTGCCAACGCATCTCCCTCCATGCACTTCACACACACACCGCTGCAGCTAGTCTCCGCCGTAGCGCCTTCACATCGAGGCTGATATGCAGCTAACCTGGCCAACTGCAGTGTACCACAGTGCTCACCCTGTCTCTCCTGCATAGAGTTCATTTTTCGAGCTCCAGCGCCGTCATTACATGCATATCGCGTTGTTGGGCTGTTTGCGCGCAGTCAATCATTATCGACATTGGTCGTGTTCCATTACATGTCCCAGTAGTCGGCTAATAATGGATTTTGTCGTTGCACCAAAAGGAAATTTGGATGCAAAGCACACACTTGTAGTTCTTGGGCACGTGGAGGCGCAAACAATGGCTGAAGACATCGTCTACGTAGGGCTCGTAAATTAGGCCGCTCAGATTTATACGATGAGCTGGCAACACCCTGCTGATCTGCAATTGGACGGGAGAGCGTTTGCAACTCGTACTATCCTCTTCCATCCTTCACACTGCAGCATCCTTATATACTGTTTATGCGCGAGCCCGTTGTTCATTGACAAGTTTTTTTGACGTTATGCCACGTTAGCAGGCGCCTAGCCTCATCCTTGCGACTATTGCGGTCTATCGCGAGACGGACACTGTTCGAAGCGCAATTTTCCCGTGTTCCTGACGCTGTCTGCGCCATAAACAAAAACTGTCGCAGTCGCGATAATGGCGAAGAAGAAAAGCAAAAAGTCACAGAAACCGGTGGAACCGGCTGATCCACCTGACAACGTGCCGGTCAACTCGGAAGACCTGGCTGCCGACGCGCCTGGAGCCCTATTGCAAGAGGAGCCATCAGCCGCAGAAGCAATGTCCGGGGAGCAGTCGGTGCAACCCGCTTCTGAAGTGGAGACCGAGGGTACGATTACCAAGTCAGCGGAAATGCCCACATCTGCATCTTCACAACACGGCGACAGCTTAGAGACTATTCCCGACGAGGTTGCAGCGTCATCAGCCGTTAACGACGCATCTACTGCAGACCTAGATCCACCTATGGAGCAAGAGCAGGAAACCGAACTTCACCCAGAGCCAATCCGTGTCACAGAATCTGGGGCAGCCTTACAGACTTCTGAGGATACCCCAGCTGTCACCGACGAGGTTGAACAGGCACTAACAACCACGGCCGACGACACAGTTGAACCAGAAATCGTGCCAGAAGAAGAGCAGCATGTGACTGAAGAAGACAAGAGTACACAGCCATCTGAAGAAGTTGTAGCTACATTGGTGCTTGATACAGAATCAGATATTACTCAAGAGCCAACCATGTCCGAATCACCTGCAGTGCCAACCGAAGACCCGGCATCCACATCTGAACCTGCTACAACCGAAGCAGAACCGGAAGTTCCTGCAGAGAGCGCCCCTGATATGGTGGAAGAAAATGCCGCGCCAGAAGAACCAATGGAAGCAAATTCCAGTGAAGAACCAATAGAGCCGGAGCCGGAGCCACAACCAGAGGCAGAGCCTGTAGCGCCAACCACCACAGAAGCAGTTGAAGACGATACAGCCCCTGAATCACAATCAGCCGAACCGACTGAGGCTGTCGACGAGGTTGTCGACGAGGTTATTGACGACGCTCCAGCCGAGGAAACTCCCGTCTTACCGTCAGAGGAACCTGAGTCTATTGAGGATCTACCCTTGGAGGCTGAAGCGTCGGCAATACTAGAGCCAGAAGACGAGCCATCATTACCACCCGTGCTAGACGCGCCAACTCTCGATTCAGAACCTTTACCTGAGGCAGAGCCAGTCGAAGCTGAAACAGAGCCAACAATGGAACCTGCTGCTCTACCGGATGAGGAAGAACCCAGCACCACGGACGAGGCTCGGCAAGCTGCTGAAGCAGAAGCAGAGGCAGAGGTAGCAGCAGCAGCCACAGCAGCAGCAGCAGAGGCAGCAGCAGAGGCAGCAGCAGAGGCAGCAGCAGAGGCAGCAGCAGAGGCAGCAGCAGAGGCAGCAGCAGAGGCAGAGGCAGAGGCAGAAGCACTGGAGCACGAACGACTTGAACAGCAAAAGCTTGAAGATGATGCCAAGATAGCCGCGGAAGCTGAAGCTGAAGCCCAACGGCAAGAGCTAGAAAGAGTCGAGCGTGAGAGGTTAGAAGCCGAAGCAGTTGAAGCTGAAGCTAAAGAACTGTTGGAGCGTGAGAGGTTAGAGGCTGAAGAGGCTGAAGAGGCTAAAGCTAAAGAGCTCCTGGAGAAGTCCGAGCAAGAACGGCTTGTAAGAGAAGCCCAAGAAGAGATGGAAGCTAACGAAGCCGCGGAAGCTGCCGAACGGGCTGAAGATGAGACCAGAGCCAAGGAAGAGGAAGAGCGCAAAGAGTCGGAGAGACTAGAGCAAGAACGGGTAGCCCGTGAGATGGTTGAGCAAGAAAGACAGGAGCAGATCGCCGAAGCCAGGAAGCTTTTGGAGCTAATGGAACAAGAACGGCGTGAAGAAGAAGAAGCACGTGAAGAAATGGAAGCTGCAGCTATGGCCGACCGTGCTCGAAGAGCGGCAGAACAGCTCGACCGGGAACGACTCAACCGAGAGCAACAAGAGCAAGAGCAACTACATCATGACCAAACAGAGCACGATGGACTTGAGACGGAAGCTCGAGCTGCTCCAGATACTGACGAGCATGCCCAAAGAGCGGCTGATCAAGATGAGGCTGCTCGGTCAGCTGCCGAAGAGCCACGATGGCGACATACGTCACACCAGGAAGAAGCACCCCAGGTACCACAAGCATCAGCCCGTGCGAGGCAACCACTAGCGGAATCACCAGCACGTGGTTCGTCACCTTCTTCGGCGGTGCCTGGCATGCACGACCGTTCTCCAACCTCAGCCACGTTTGATCCACCCTTCCGATCGTATCGATCTGCCGCGCCACATGCACCGAAGCTTAGAAGGCAAGAAGCGGGCCCAAACCATGTCCCGAAGCCTTATGCTGTATCCCAGCTCATTGAGGATAATAGACCACCTGCACCCAGTCCGCCTATGAGCAGAGTACGACCGAGGTATGTAATATCCATGTATTTTTCCTCTGACGTTGGTCGGAATCCCTTGGGCATGCACAACCAGCACACCAAGCGAAGCTGGTCACGATACATAAGTTTACTCATGCAACTCGAATAAACGCTTTACTGACCACATGTTTTCCTCTAGACACGTCCCGACTTTCGATAGTGACGACGATTCCGACTCCGTTCTAGTCCAGTCTAGGATAGCGTCTCGGCGTCCATTTAGCGGTGAAGCGCATGAAGTGTCGCGGGCCCACATGGGCCCACATCAACCACGTAGCGGTTTCGCGTCCCGAGTGCCTGTCGAACCAGCCTATCCGGCCCCTCCACCAAATTATCACCCAAGCTACTATGCCCCGCCATCCCAGCCGCCTCACTACCCAAATCATGGCTACGGTATGAGTCAGCAGGGCTATCCCGCCCCTAACCCCAATCCTTACGGCCCTTCGTCGCACTCTTCCTCTTCTCCGTACCAAGAACCATGGAGCCAATACCCACCTGGGTACCCTCCTTACGGCAGCCCACCGCGACGACAGGACTCCTCGGGCTCTAGAGATTATCCTTTACATGCTCCCGACGGTCGACCCGCAATCGAAGACGGGTCAGGCGACGTATTTTCACGCATCGCCGCGACCATCCCAGACCTGCACGTGCTACTTGCACGCTACAAAGAGACCCACAGTCAGCTTAGTGTGAGAGAAGACTTACTGCGTCGAGCAGGCGCCGAGCAGGAAGAGAAGCTCAGAGCAAAGGATGGTGAGATTGGTGAGCTAAAGGCGAAGATTTACGACTTGGAAAATAGAAATTCTGCCGAGGCACACAGACTACATCTCCAGATTGGTAACCTGGAAGAGCAGGTCAAAGAGCTTCGCGAGCAGCTCGCCGACACTAGAAAGTATAAGAGAGAGGCTGAAGAGACCAAGCTGGTATTGGATGCAGCGATGAAGTCTTGGGAGGCTAGGTATAAAGAGCTGGAAGATGTGCACCGTACCTTGGAGAGGACGACGGCCGAGGAGAGGGCAAGAGCATGGAGAGACTTTGACGAGTGGAAGGCCACCACCAACACGAAACACGATGCCGAGAAAATTGCGCTCGCTATCCAGTTTGACAAGAAGCTGAAGCAAGCTGAATCCGCTGCTGATCAAGCACGAGAGGAAGCTGCCGAAGCTGCCGAGCTCAAGGCCGAGCTCGAAGATGCTCTCAGGCGCGAGCAGGAGCTCATCCAGGAGCGCGACAGTCTCCAGCAGAACTGGGAAGAGCAGCGCAATCTCTTGGACTCTAAATACCAACAGACTCGAGACGATGCCATCAGGAAAGCCGAAGAGGAGTCGGCTAGAGCTGATCGTCTGGCTGAAGAGAAGGAAGAACTGTTGCAACAGTACGACCAACTCAAGGCTGAGAGTCAGAGAGAGAAGGAGATCATCAAGAGCGTCGCTAGCAATCTCGAATCTGAGAAGTCTAGGCTCGAAAAGATGATGGAATGCTACGGGGATATCGCCGAGATCAAAAGCAAGGGTGACAACTACTAGTAAGTGATTCTCCTTTGTTCGCGTGTGTTCATGATACCGGTGTAGTGGTAGCAGAGGCTGCGCTACAACCAGCGTGGGGTAGAGGCCGGACGGCTTCGAGACACTTCGCAGATCTCGATTGGGACTGCGAAGCGCCTCGAAACCTCCAACCTATCTTTTGGCCGACGGTTGTAAAGCTACGCCGGGGCCATCATGTATCGCCATACACTGTCGTTAGCGTTCACCAGTTCCGTAATACAATGTTTGTTTTCGGCCCATTCACGCTTTCCCCTTTGCCTTGTTCCACATAGAGCTATCTGCTAACATTGCTGTCTCCAGTCTGGTATCCTTTGCACAGCTTCAGAACCAAATCATCGATCTAGCTACCGCCCACTTCGTTCATCTTCCCGTACGGCCGCCGGTGGACGATCTTGCGCAGGTGCCGTCCAACCTTCCATCGTTCCTTGGGGATACTATAGCCTCTCGGTGAGCAAACCCATTGCAAATGAAACTCCAGCTACTGACCAGATCTTCACAGACAAGTTCGAGTGGCATATGTAGTCCATACAGTGGCAAAGCTCATCACCTATCGCGTTTTCGGTCCATTCCTGTTCAGTCTCGGTCGCCGCTACGACAAAGCCGACTCGTTGTTCACTTCCATGAGCCACCACATCCGTGACAAGAGCACTCGAAAGGAAGCGATCTGGCGACAACAGACCCTTCTTGCTGCATTCACAAGCTCCGGCGCAAAGCAGCGCATCAATACTGCTGCAGGAACGGTTGTTGAAGAAATTGTCAACGCTATCAAACACTTTGCGGACCCGAAAGAGGAGGAGGGCATCAAGATTTCCGTGAAGCGCATCGTGAAGCTCGCTGCTGAGACATGGAGATTTGCCCGCCTCGAGCGTGAGATGATCATCGCGGCCATGCCTGCCCTACAGGATGAAGAACACCAGTTCACGAGTAATGAGTATTGGCCAGCTTACACGCCAGAAGGTACTGCAGAAGTCGAACTTCCAGAAGGGTCGCAGCCACAACTGCTGCTCAGGATGTTCCCTGTCATCTATCGAGATGCAAAGCACGAGAATTTCCAGAACAACGGAGAGAGCCGCGACGAAGGCTGCGTGTTCCATCATGGACTCGCTTTGTATAGTGATGCAGAGCCGGTTGTGAAAAGGATGGAGGAACTCAAATCTGCTGGTCTGCCTTCCCATACCACTGCATTAACGAGTCCGACTGACGAGGGCAAGTTTCCGCCGCCGGTATGTAACACGACCCGCATGTGTTTACTTTATCCCAAAACCCTTCACGATAATCCCGAGCCTCATTTGGTCGCTGAACTTCCCGAGGCACCCGAGCCCTACGCAAGATAAGGTATTCATCGAGTTCTTTGACTGACACTTTGCTATCACAGGCATGCCCTCCCCCCCGAGACGCGCCGCCATCTCCCCCCGTTCCTCCCAGTCCTCGATCGCCGACCAAGACCGAGACGAATATGGCTGAAAAGGGCCCAGAGACGTCCTCGCGCATCAAGCGGGCATCTTTACCCTTTTCCAACCATGCTCCTGGCGGCAGATCTGACTTTACTCCACCCTCCGCCTACACGCGCCCAATGGCTCCTCCGACGTCCGTATTCACGTCGCCGAGAAACTTTATTGGTATGCCCGTCGAGAGTCTGGCTCCCTCACAAGCGCCAACTGCACGGAGGAAGGGTCCACCGCTGCCACCAAAGCCATCATCGAAACCCGAAATCCCGTTGCCCGCTGCAACATGGGTAGAGGCTCTCCGTCATCAGACATCAACAGAAAGCGCAATCCTGCCCCCATCCTTCTCTCGCACTACGACTCAGGACACTGTCCAAGATGCAGACGCGAATTCTAGCTCCGGCCCACCCACACCCACAGATGCGGTGACTGAGGTCTTTGACGCTATAGACGATATCGAAAGCCTGCTGCCTCAACGCACGCCGACTACACCGATATCGCACTCACGTCGTCGGTCCACGCACACTCGCCGGTTCGTGGACCATCCCATTGAAGAGGATATACCTGAACGACCGGACTCGGCCCGCCGAAAGAGCTATGCTGCAAGTGTACGCACCCATAAGTCGGCTGATACCGAGCGTACTGATAAGAGTGATCGTACGAGTCGCACGGAGAAGAGTGACCGCTCGGATAAAACTGAGCAGCGTACTACGCTCGACAAGGCTCGCTACTTGTGGGAGAGTCGCGGCGCTGCCATGAAGGCCTTGTACCCCAACAGTCCATTCGCCGGGCAAAGCACAAACGGCAGTACCAAGAACTCGAGCAAGAGTGAAAGGAGCGAAAGAAGCGAGAGGAGTGAGAGGAGGAAGGATAGGAGCAACACGACATCTTCAAGAGAGTCCAGGGAGTCGAGAGAGTCAAAGAGGGAGTCGCGAGAGCTGAAGAGGCAGAAGAGTTTCCCGGACAACGCAACATGGGATACAAACAGCGTCATCACCAACGAGGATTTCGCACCTACTACAATCTCAACAAACGTACCCTATCCAACCCCTCAACACTCAAGGCGGGACTCAAAGGAGGTGAAGAGAGAGTCGAAGGATCTCCGAAGGCAGCCCAGTATCTCCGTCGCTGGAACGTGGGACACTGCCAGCGAGGTCACGCATCGTGCACCTCCTACCACCGTCTCTACTAATGTTCCTTATCCAATGGAGTATCCCGAGGAGCATCCGTGGGAGTTGAGGCATCTGAGACGAGAGAGAAGCATCGCCGATGATGATACTTGGATTGCCGACAACGCTACCTGGGACACGAGCAGTGAGATTACTCAGCGTGGTCCTGCTACAACTGTATCAACCAACGTTCCCTATTCCACCGAGCGACCTCGTGAGGCGAGACGAATGAGTGTCTCCGACGCTGGTACATGGGACACAGACAGTGAGGTGACGACGGCCCCTCGTGCACCCCCTACGACCGTCTCGACCAACGTTCCTTATCCATCCCAGTTACCGCGACAACTGAGAAGGCTGAGCGTCTCAGATGCTGGGACGTGGGATACTGCCAGTGAGGTGACTCATCATGCTCCACCAACGACGGTGTCGACCAATGTGCCGTACCCGGCCGAGCTACCTCGACAGATCAGACGACTGAGAAGTGTCTCTGATGCTGGTACTTGGGACACTAGCAGCGAGGTCACGCATCGACCTCCTCCCACTACAGTATCGACCAATGTCCCTTACCCAGGTGGGCATGTTGAAAAGGGGCCTTTTGAAAGGCTGAGGATGGAGAACAGTTACTCCGATGACGGCGGTTCCGACTCCGGCACTTGGGACACGAGCAGTGAAATCACTCACGCGAACAACGGTCCAGCTACGACCGTATCCACCAATGTGCCCTACCAGACTGAAAGGTCTGCGAAGCCCGAGAGACCCGAGAGGCCCAAGAGCTTGAGAAGGAAGACTAGCCCCCCTGTTTCAGTCGCCGGAACTTGGGACACGGCCAGTATTATTACGACGAATGATGACATGAAGACGGGTGTTTCGACGAATGTGCCGTACTCAGCCGATCGCCGATTCCGATAAGAGACGCAATAGTAGTACAAAGGAGAGTGTAATGGTGTACCTGGGTCGTCCCAGGGGGTATGTCCTTTTCTTAAGTTGCATGTTCTTGATTATTGGCTATTGCGATTTTGATTTATGTTGTCCGCATGGTCGCGACATGTTGAACAACTGCATATGAAGCGCTGTTGAAGGCTACATCGACGAATTGTATGGAACATGAGCCTATCTATAGGCATTAGCACGAAGTTTGACGGCAGAAACAACGTAGTGGATGAGGTGATGGATGCATTTATGTAGCACGGCGTTTTTTGGATTGTTGGTTTTTTGGCTTTTAGTTTTTCGATTCTTAATAGACGACCGACCTTTGTAAGATAGCAATTCATACCACTTGCTTTTGCATGCAAATGTTTGGTTCCAAGATCTCTGCATGATAAATAGAGGTCGTAAAGGGAATGATCATTTTGCGAGGTGCAAGGGCCGAGGCTACCTAGTTAGCCTCCATCGCGCTCGAGACTCAAGCTATCGTCAACTTTACTTCCAAGAACATCACATCTCTCGTCCACCCACCACAAACGCGATACATTCAATTAGAACTGTGCAGATACGCGCAAATATCATCAGCATCCACGATTGAATTGTCATAAACATGGCTGAACCTTCGCCGAGCAACACGGTGCAAGACATCGACATCGACCCTGCGCTCATGAATGGCATGACACAACAAGCGCCCGCAGAACAGCCTTCCACAGACGTAGAAATGGCAGACTCACAAGTAGGCAAACAAAGCGCTTATAAAGTGCTCTCAGAGCTGACATCCCCTTAGCCTACAACCGATTCCGCAGCGCCCTCCCTCCAACCTACTGTGCAAACACAACCCCCAACACCTTCGCAAGCCCCTCCCCCAGCAGCACCATCTGCACCCACACTTCCTACTGCGCCAACGCCCACGCCAGCATCATCGCGAAACTCGCCGCATCCACCCGCTCAAGCGCCTACGCAGCCGATCCCGCACGGCAGCCCGACGAGAGTGTATTTGAATCAGCATGTGACGCCACACTTACTTGAGGCGATGAAGCATCTTGCGACGACGGAGCCAGACAAGCCGCTCAAGTGGTTGAGTGAGTTCTTGGCGAATAAGAGTGCAGAAATTGAGGGGCCTTGAGAGAGAGAGATAAGGGAGAGATCTGGAAGATGGTGGCGGAGTGGAAATTGTATGGAGAACAACAACGCATGGAGAAGAAGTGATGTACGCATCAGTCCTTTTACAAAGAGCAGAATAGGACATGGACGTAACAAGCAGCATGGTTGGCGTTAGGAAAAGCGCGGTGTCTGCCCCAACACCTTTGGAAGAGGCCACAGGCGCGATCGAATAGCATCTCCTCAGATGCCAGGCCACGATACACCAGCGTTCGCACATATACCCATGATATTCTAGTAATATTTTACCTAAACGCATGAGTATCCTTTCATTATTTCCCCAGGGTATTGTTCATTTCTTCCTGCTGGGAAACAGCCGTAATATCTCATTGACATTGTCCTATAACGTTTCCTGTCATCATGTCAGTCCTACATGAAGCAACGATACGCCAGCGCCCCCACAATGACACTATCCCAGCTTTGAACATGGCGACAACAACTACAAACACGGCCCCTTTTGGTCCCTTGCTTTCGCGATGCAAACAGGAGTGGCAGTTTCCATTTCTACTGGCGCGAGGAAGAAACACATCAACGACACGACACAGCAAGCATGGCCCATCACTTATCCCAAAGTACTGTCAATCTCATTTCTAACTTTGTTTGTTGTTTCTACAGCTGTCACGAGCACGCCTGTGTCGGATAATGAGGAGCCCGAAATCCTGACGTCGCGCTGCACCATAGTAGCGCGCATTGAAAAATTTGTCACAATGTGTTCGGGGATACGAACGACACCTTAGGCAAAAAGACAGGGCAAAGTATAGCTTCCACCTTCTATAGTGTCCCCACTGTAAATGCCGCAAATAGTTATTCAGGTGAACCTGGTCGGGTTTGGGTAGACGGTTCGATGGAGCTTCGAGAAGGGGAAAGATGGAAGGAGGAGCAAATGTGTATAAAGAGATGGGCATGGCGTGGGGGACATAGAACATCATCAACAGCAACTCAGTCTTCTCTACACTACCACTACTACTTCACTTCAATCAAACAGCTTTGACAGCTTTCAAGTCCAATCAACTATCAACATGCATTGTAAGTACCTCTCCTTATCCACCTACTTCTCATTCTTCTCACTCTTTTCCCCCTCATCCTTTACTAACAAATAACCCAAAGTCTCCACCATCATCGCTACCGCCACCTTCATGCTCACCACATACGCCGCTGTCGCCACTGAAGTCCCACGCAACGCCGCCCCAGCCCCAGTTGTCACCGAGCCCGACCACGCCGTCAAACCGGCCGCTCTCGCCCACGTCGTCGCCAGGAAAGAGTCGACCGCCTGCTTCTTGTGCACTGCCAGCTGCGGCTTTGGCGATGGCTCAGACTGCACTACCTGCTGCGCTGTTGGCGGCCCTTGCACCTGCTAGAAAAGGGCTGTGGATGCATGGGGTAGAAAGATTTAGAGAAAAGGATAGATGGGTCTAGACAAGAGGGGACAAGGGTGAAAAGAGGCGACTCCTGCCTACAATCCTGCAGGTAGAGTGGTAGACTGTTTAGAGAAATTGATTTCGTTAACCTTGATTGAGTGTGTTGACTGCCTTTTTGCTCTGACATAACTTTGCCTCCATTGCCTGACTTGACTTGGGTAATATCAGCAACCTCCCAAGTGCTTGATCACAAAAGGGGAAATCACTTGTCTTTAGTCCGCTGTGAAGTTAAGTTTTACTGTGACAAGTGGGGCATGAAACGTAGTGGCTGGAGACAAGTATAAATGACCGAATCACATCATATCAAGCAGACAAACACAAGTAACCACTTCGAATGCAGATGGGGTATATTCAATTCGAGGTGATGCTTTTGATTCATTCCATATCGTGATCCTGCTAGGTATCCGTAAAGCAAGCATCCATGCCCGTGAAACTCCTCTTAAATGTCTTCTACAATGACTACCAGCCACGCCAATCCTGAATCTGCTTATGCGACCATGGTAGAGGCGGTGGCGCTCTCGTACCTCCAGGTAGGGGGGAGGGCACCGACGGTCTTGTAGTAACGGGAGAGCTTCGAAAAATTAGCGCTGGCTTCATGTATACATCGGATGCAACTTACACGGTGGATACGGGACTCGATGAGAATGAGACGGAACTTTCCGTCCTTGTCCTTGCGGTTGGTCTGGAGGTGCTTGCGGACGGCGACGGCCTTCTTGATGAGCATGTAGAGGTCCTCTGGGATGTCGGGGCTGAGGCCTTTGAACGCAAAATGTTAGCCTAGACCAACAAATGCATATTTATATAGCGCGCAGATGCCTGCAAAGAGGCAGAGCTGTTTCGACGTGCGCTTTCATGTGTAGGAGGTAATCGTACCGTTCGACTTGAGGATACGGAGGATCTTGTTGCCGGTGACGACCTTGACCTGGGCAACACCGTGGCTGTCCCTGAGGATCTCACCAATCCTGCAATTCCGTCAGAACAAACTTCAATTTCTCTGCAACTCGGTTTCCCTTACTGGCTGGGGGTAGCGCCCTTCTTTGCGAGCTTGCAGATCTGGTCGACAACCTGCTCGGGGGTGGTCTTCAACCACGCAGGGGGGTTGCGGGAGTAGGGGATGGCAGAGGCTGATATGCCCTTTCCGTTGCTGTGAAGACGACCCATTTTGGATGATTGTACCGGACGGTGAGCTGATCGGTTAGTACGGGAGCGAGTGGTGGGCTTGAAGTCGTGGATGCGAAGTTCGCGATAGAGCAGCAATTTGTCGCGGCTCGGCTAGGTGTGTGGTGGACCGTGCGTCACTAGCGTCAAAGCTCCGACTTGACAAAAAGTCTGCGACCATCGACCTTGCCTCCTCACACCTACGCGTGAAAACACGGGCAACGCGACTACCTTTGTCGGAGCTAGATGAGGCTTCTGTAGGTCGCGTACTTTGCTTGTTCACGCCTGTATCTGATACTCAAGGTATGTTGCTCCATTACTCCATCGCTCTCACCATCGCATAATGATGAACTTCATTACTATTTTCTGGTACCTCTTATTTTAGGCGGGTCTTCACGGGCTTCGCCGGTGCATTCAACTTGACTTTCTGAAATGCGTTCCTTCTACTTTCTCGTCTTATAATTTGTTGAAAAGCAACATGGACTGACTGAAAGCAGATAACAGATATCACCAATAGATTATCATCTTGGTTGATCCGATATCAGGTGGAGCCTAGTCTCCGGGGTAGAAATTTCAGAAGGGTTTCTCATTTTGTGATCTCGTGGTTGCACATGCCACAAGTCGCAAGGTTGCTTCTCCCAGTTTACCGACATGGGTGCGCTTTCCCAAGTTCTTCGCTCGGGCCACATGCCAGCTATATAGTTCTTCACATACAATGCACGTTTCCATCTCGACTACTCCAAACTTTTACGCTGCATACGTTACTTCACGTTCCATTGCTCAAACAACAACCCTTCTCAATCATTCGACATGAAGCATACAATACTCAGCGCAGTCCTCCTCCTTCCCTTGGCGTACAGCAAGACATCCAGACAGCTATGCGGTGGTACCGCTAAGTTAGACCCCGATGGCAATTAGTACTGCTCCGAAGTCTCAGCTATCACGTACCACAACATCAGCCAGCCTGGCGCATACAACCGTACCGTCGTTGTCGACCCCCGTACTGGAATATGCAATCATGAGCGCGTCAAGTACCCGAGCGTAGGACCACTCGCTCCACTGTTTGGACAGGTACAGCTCATGCAGGGTCTCTCTACAGAGGTACTAACAGTATCAGGTGTCGATGCATCTACGCGGACCGATGAACGTTTCCCAGCTTGCGGTATATCTACTTCCCAGCGAGGCACACTTTCTGCGGAAGCGGACTACGGTGCCATTCTACAATCATCATCGAGCGATCGAGAAGCGAGAATGTTTAGGTGTTGCGATAAATAAGACTACACCTACGTCGTCAAAACCAGACTGTCCTTGCAATGAAGACAACGACAAAGACGACGAACACGATCCAGTGTTTGAGCGCCCAAATGGCCAGACGTTTGTCATTCCCAAACCTTCCCCCATCAAGGCTACGGTACCGGTTGAGAAGAGGCAAGGCTCCAACTGGAGTCGAGTTGCATACTACACATCGGCATCACCTGCGAAAGCAACTGGAATTAGCTTTCAAGCCAATTTAGGAGACCCGGCCAAGTCTGGCACGTTTGATTAGTATGTTCATCTATTTGTTAATGGTTCGTGAAGCTGACACGGTTCAGTGCATTCGGAAATTCACTTAGCTACGTCAACTCACAAGGCACTACCGTAGCAGCACAGAGTCTACCTTTCAATGGTAAGATTCTCACGTCTGAATACGAAATCATAGTCTTCTCGAATAAAGCGTGCGATGGGAACTGTCCATACTGGAGGCCGAACGCGACTGCTCATTGTACGTCTATCTACCACCCAAGCTCTGACCAACCTAACATGCCGTAGATGGGTGGTCGGGCTCTTCAAAAGCTTTTTTCATTGAGTTTCAAATGGACCACTACCCTAATCGCGGCACCGACCAAGGGCTGCTCTCCGACGCCCCGGCATACTGGTTCCTCAATGCTGCAATCCCCCGTGTCCTCCAGTACGGAAACGACCGCAACAACATCCCCTGCTCCTGCTGGTCAACCGGCTGCGGCGAGTTTGACGCATTTGAATTGCTCAGCAAGGGGGCTGAACGCGCAAAATCGACGATGCACCGGCAAGGCAATCTGGAAGGGGGTGATTCAAACTACTTCAAGAGGCCGATTGGGAAGACGATGAAGTTTGCAGTCGTGTGGCATTATCCACATATTACGGCGATGGTGCTGGATGACAGGTTTGACTTTTCAGAGAGCATGACGGATGATGCGATCAAGAAACTGGTGGCGTACGACCCGGATAGCTGGACACATTCGCTGTTTCCTATCGGGAAGTGAGGAGAGACACTTATTGGAGATTTGATCATGTTTGTATTTATGAGTAGATATTCTATGTAGTAACGTGGTTAGCAAGCATATATGAAATGCGACATGTTCGTCGTCAAAGAACAAGGGTATGAGTGATGTTGTTGAAAAAGCACAGATGCCGTTGAGTATCCGAGGTTTAGACCGGGTCAATAAAATCGCGAACCATCATCGTGACAGGTAGGGATATAGGTAGGGATAAAGCGTGAAAGAATATCTGTTTGTAGCGGAGATGCACGAGATGACGGAGTGGGCCGATAATGAAGACTGGGGTGGCAAAGTGGCTGGCTTGTGATTGCTCGACGGTTGGGCTTGCCAAAGCGAGGTCAAGAAACCGAGGTCTGTCGCGACTCAGCACTCGTGAAAGACCAGCCGCATTGCCGCCGACGGTATCGACTTCTCCCTCCTCATCCGCATTATTGCCATCTTCCGCGCACGTCTTTACGCCCTTTCTTTTTCTTCTACGACGCTGCTCGCCCGTGCGGAACGTGACAACGCGGATCCGCCTCTTCAATAATTACGATCCCGGCCGGCGTCTGGTTCCCCGCAAGAAGTTGCTTCCATCGAATCGCCGCCAATCGCCCGACAGCCTCTTGACATCCGCAAAACACCAAATTTGACGACTTTCACCACGCTCTTTCGTTAACGGGAGTTCAGTTGCGCATAGAAGCGCGGGAGAGGCAGCCAGGGCAGCATGTCGTCGCCATCACCGCCAAAGCCATGGGAAACCAGCGGAGGTGCTACAAGTGCCTCGGTCGGTCAGTTGCGCCTCCCATCCGGCATGTCAGCAGCAGCCGCGACTAACAGCCGCGCAGGACTCACGGGATCGAATAGCAGCACAACGCCAAGTGCGACATCAACAATGTCCTCGAACGCGCCTCCATTACCATCCGTACCCGATTCCTTAAGCACAGTCGCGAACCGCAACGCGACCAATTACTCATCCATGAACAACCGCTACGGTTCGCCCTACAGCACCGGCTACGGCGGTATGAACAGCTACAGTTCGCCATATTCCAGCATGGGTGGAGGCTACGGCTCCATGTACGGCGGTATGGGCGGAATGGGAGGCATGTATGGGGGCATGGGGGGCATGGGCATGGGTATGGGTGGCATGTACGGCGGCATGGGAGGTATGCCCGGAGATCCAAACAGCAGCCTCACACAGTCGTTCAGCCAGAGCACGGCAGCAACGTTCCAATTGATTGAGAACATAGTCGGCGCATTTGGAGGTTTTGCGCAGATGTTGCAAAGCACATATATGGCGACACACTCGTCCTTCTTTGGTACGTGTACCTCCTAACCACTGTGCATCAACCGCTAACATTTCATAGCCATGGTATCGGTCGCAGAACAGTTCGGAAACCTGCGACAAACACTCGGCTCAGTATTGGGCATCTATACCGTGATGCGATGGATTAGGACTGCCATTGCAAAACTCACCGGGCGGCCCCTACCAGCCGACGCAACCGCTCTCACACCTGCGAGCTTCGCAGCCTTCAACGGACGTATGCCTGACGGCTCACCAGCACCCGCGAAACCATCCAAGAAGCCATTCATTGTTTTCATGCTTGCCGTTTTCGGTCTACCATACCTCATGGGCAAACTTATCAAGGCACTTGCACGATCACAAGAAGCGGAGGAACAACGAAAGATGCTGGAGAATCCTCAAGCCGGTCAACCGCTCGATCCTAACAAGCTCGAGTTTTGCCGTGCGCTATACGACTTCACTCCCAACGCCAATATGCAAGGCATGGATCTGTCAGTAAAGAAGGGGGATATGGTTGCTGTACTCAGCAAGAGCGACCCTATGGGCAATGCATCGGAATGGTGGAAGTGCCGCTCAAGAGACGGGCGCATGGGTTATCTACCCGGTATCTATTTAGAGACCATTCAGCGGAAGACACCTGCACAAATCACGAATGGAAGCCCAAGCGGAAGCCTAGCTGGCAGCAGAACACAAACGATGACAAGCAGCAGCGCACCGAATCGGACTGCTACGATGGTTGAGAGTAAGGTGTCAGACAAGGTCGGACCCAAGGTTGAGAGCAAAGCGGGCGATATGGGTGTGGAGAGTTTCCAGAAGGGCGCATTCTACTCTTAATGTTACAGCTAATTCTGTTAAGCGCTTTCTTTCTGTCATTGTACTGCGTTCGTAGCGTTCATCACTGTGCTACAGTATGATATGCAGCGTGTTTGTTTACAACTCGGCTGGAAAAGCTTTGGGTGCGGCGTATGGCGCGCAAAGATATCATGGGAATGAGACATGCTACATTTGACAAATACTACACATGCAAATATAAGCACCTGGGTATCACAAAATCCTTGACAATGTGGAGTAAGCACCTAATAGGCGTGCCTAGCGACTACAGTGGCCTATGTACACTGGTATGTTAAGTGTTTTATGACACCCAGGTGTAAGCCTATACCTACTACACTAATCGTGGACATTATTGGATCATCTGTCAATCACGTGTCAACCCGCGTACGTATATGTACTCGGGAGTGCTCCAATTTGGCTAGGCGCATCTGGTCCTGCGTCACCAGCCCGCGTCACTCAACATCGAATCAAGAAGCCGATTGCCGAGCAATCGCGCAAACGTCCACGACCCTGTATTTGGCTCTATCGTGAAACCTTTACATATATAGTCGCTCTTTCCATACGGCCCTGACTTCTGATCTAATAACGGCAACCGCTGCCAGGTCCAACTGCCCCTCCCCCGCGTGCTGGATCGCTTCCTTATAAGCAACAGACAGCCACGGCCTTTACCCAGGCCTGTGCAACGCTCATTAACTTGGAGCACCCCTCTAATCTTTACGAAGAGCTTGATATTACTAAAAAGGAGAAGCACTTCTCAGTACAACATGTTCGCGTCAAAGCGGTTAGGCAAGGTATGCTTGCACATTTTCTTTCCAGGACTTTTGCCTTTGGTGCAGTAGTACATTTGTAGAATAAAGCAAAGCTAACAATTTGATAGGAGCTATCGAAGGTACAATTATTCTCCCGTTCATTGCATCCCGACTTCCACCATCCCAGTCCTTTCTCGAGAGGCGTCGCAGTCGATAACCTAGAGAAGCAGACAACGACATGTGTTGATGGGAGATTCTGGCTGATGTTAGCAATAGATGCACGAGAAGCTACCGCCAGGCATAACGCTCATTCAAGCCGATGACTTCCAAACCTGGCTCATGGACATTCAAGTCCTCGACTCCAACCCAATCTACCAAGGCGAAACCTACAGGCTGAAGTTCTGTTTCAGTCAACAGTACCCCATCGAAGTAAGCATGTCCAATCACCAAAACCTACTATTTGAAGAACTGGCTGACATTTCAAATAGGCTCCCGAAGTAGTATTCGTGCGCGACGAGACCCACCCCATCCCCTGGCACCCGCATATCTACTCCAATGGCATCATCTGCCTCGACCTGCTCGACCGTGCAGGTTGGTCTCCGGTTCACAACGTGGAGAGTGTATGTGTGAGCATACAGAGTATGCTTACAAGCAATACCAAGAAGGAAAGGCCAACAGGCGATGAAAACTTTGTAAGGTACAATACGCAGAGGCCGAGGGATATCAGCTTCGTCTTCCATGACGAGAAGGTGTGAAGATTCTATCTTATCTTTAAGGAGGCTTGAGTGATGGCATCGTGATTTGACATAAATGGTTTTATGGCGTTCTAACGTGCATTACGATTCCGGTGGAAAGAGTTTGGCGTTCAGGCATGCGCGGACAGCATTAAGACGAGAAAAGAAACGTACCCAAGTGGGCCGTGCTTTTATTGCACGATGTAGTTAAGATAAATCTGCAAAAATAAACTATTTATTCAATGCTGATTGCCTTGTCCATGTTGTGATGCGGCAAACACACTGTACCGCATGCTGTGTGATGCATATTCCCAGAATGCGTGACAATATCAAATATGTCTAATCACATGCATATAACCATCAAACAGACTTTTTCCAAGAAATAACAAAGGAAGCATCTCTCACTACCTCTTTTGATCATATGTTCAACCTACGCCATGACAACATACCAATTACTCTACATAGTCACCTATGACGTTGACGTGTTCGGCGCCAAATCGCCTCGCGTCCTCGGTGCCTTCTTCACTTACCAGTCAGCCATCGCCGCAGTCGAAAATCTATCTCCACGTCCTACCAAGCTTAACTGGTGCAGATACGATTCCGAAGACGGAGAAATTATAATTAAGAATAAGTCACTCGACCGCAGCAACAGCCATGGGGCTGCTCACGAGACTATGTACCTCGCCATCCACGCCTGTGGCACCTGTGTGGTAGATTTTGAGCCCTTTTCTACTGAAGACGCGGCCTGGAACGCCTGTATGGTGTTTAGGAATAAAAAAATGAGTTCAGTGGTAGTAAATGGTTTGAGGGGATGAGCTGGACGAATAAGGATGGGTGTAGACATAGGCAGGGTGCTTATAATGATGGACTGTTCCCTGATTTAAAGAAGATGGTACTGGCAAACCATTATTGATATGTGCAACGACTTGTGGTGGACGGAGAGATTGAGGAAGGGGCAGTTTTGTGAGGGGATGGGGACAAGATGTGGAGCAGGAGAAGACTGGAATAATCATGAGTAGGTGTGCTGGTCTGATGGGAAGCGTAGGGATCCGTGTGATGTCGCTGTCCTGTTCCTGATCATCATGTCTTGAGGCTTGGGCTGAAAGTGTGACAACTGAAATTAGTGTAGACAAGAGGATTAAAGAGAATCTTTTCTGCTAAGAATACTTGACAATTATGTGACTTGGAACTTCAACCTTACTTTCACCTGGGCAATGTTAGGTACTTGACAGTATGGGTAAGCACCTAACAGGTGTGTCTAGCGCCTACAGTGACCTTTTTACAATAGTATGTTAAGTATTTCATGTCACCCGGGTGTTTTGGGTACGTGCAGAAATCCAATTCTTTCCTTGGCGAGCAAAGCTTGAGTGCTCCTACGCACTAGTCAGGGATTGCCTCAATGGGGTAGGTCTAGGTAGGGATGCGTTTTCCCGGTAAGCAAGAAATCGGCTTTTGCAAATTACATGTCGTCGGCGTCAAGTCGTGACAGGGTTACACAGATGTGTCCAGTGTATGACATCCAATTTGGTGCCTGGGTACAGCGTCACCAGAATGTATTAGTCTCTTTTTGTTGATTACATCTGCGACAGGAACTCCGGAATCTTGAATGAAATACTGCAGTAAGATTCACGTGGTAGCTTCATGTGGCGACTAAAGGCAACATTTTTTTTTCCTGTCACCATCAAAAGACATAGCCGTGCCTGTCCTTCTAAAGTAGCGACATGACGACCTGTAACCGATCTAGCTCGCCTCTTTCAGTGTCACATCATCTCACACCCAAAATCAGAGAGTCAGCCGGCATATCTGAAATCAGCTCCGGCTGGGGTGGTGTTTTTCGAGAGTATCGATAAGCGCCGGCGAATTGGGTTAACCGAGTTGGCCTAGCGCCGTTTTCGACACTACGAGCGATCCCTGCCAGGCCAATTTTTCTCTGTTCGCTCGCCTTTAAGCAAGCGCGAAAAAGATTCCCAACCTTCTTTTCTCTTTCTCTCCAACACCTTCCTGCTCTTCAATTTTCAGGTTGTTCTTTCTACACATACCGCAAATATGAGCGACGAAGTCTACGAGGGTGCCATTGGCATCGATCTTGGTGCGCAAACACTCGCGAAATTACCCCACAGTGGGATGTGCTAACAATAATATCAGGCACGACCTACTCTTGCGTTGCCAACTACGAGGGCACCAATGTCGAGATCAGTATGCGCATCTCTTGATCTATCCTCGCGATAATGGATTCCCTAACAGTGCTTGTCTACAGTTGCCAACGAGCAGGGTAGCTTCACCACTCCCTCGTTCGTCTCCTTCACTAGCGAGGAGCGTCTGATCGGAGAGGCGGCCAAGAACCAGGCTGCTATGAACCCCGAGAACACTGTCTTCGATGTCAAGTGAGTCAATGCAAACATGTGTCGCACATGTGGGCAGTGAGCTGACTTCTGCAGGCGTCTTATTGGTCGCCGATTTGAGGACGAGACTGTCACAAAGGACATCAAGTCATGGCCATTCAAGGTCGTCGACCAGAACGGCAGCCCCCTCGTTGAGGTTGAGTACCTCGGCGAGAAGAAGCAGTTCTCTCCCCAGGAGATCTCCGCCATGGTTCTCGTCAAGGTATGATTGCGCACTCGCACAAAGAAGATCGCGGGGTAGCAACTAACACCCCACAGATGAAGGAGGTCGCTGAGACCAAGCTCGGCATGAAGGTCGAGAAGGCCGTCATCACCGTCCCCGCCTACTTCAACGACAACCAGCGTCAAGCCACCAAGGACGCCGGTGCCATTGCTGGCCTGAACGTCCTCCGTATCATCAACGAGCCCACCGCCGCCGCTATCGCCTACGGTCTCGGTTCCGGAAAGTCCGACAAGGAGAGGAATGTCCTTATCTACGACCTTGGTGGCGGTACCTTCGATGTGTCTCTTCTTCACATCCAGGGTGGCGTCTTCACCGTCAAGGCAACCGCTGGAGAGTAAGTCATATCAAGCGCTTGTACAACTCAATACTGATGAATTCCAGCACCCATCTCGGAGGTCAAGATTTTGACACGAACCTCCTTGACCACTTCAAGAAGGAGTTCACTAAGAAGACCAGCAAGGGTGAGTCTCCGCACAACTCGCGACATCTTACGTCACCCAGGCGCTGACAATGATCTAAATAGACATCTCTGGCGATGCCCGTGCCCTTCGTCGTCTCCGAACTGCTTGCGAGCGTGCCAAGCGTACTCTCTCCAACGCTACCCAGACCACCGTTGAGATCGACTCGCTGTTCGACGGTGAGGACTTCAACGCCAACATCACCCGTGCTCGTTTCGAGGACTTGAACCAGAAGGCCTTTGCTGGCACTCTGGACCCTGTCGCCCAGGTTCTCAAGGATGCTAACATTGCCAAGGACAAGGTTGACGAGATCGTCCTTGTTGGTGGTTCTACCCGTATTCCCAAGATCCAGAAGCTCCTCAGCGACTACTTCAACGGCAAGAAGCTCGAGAAGAGCATCAACCCTGATGAGGCTGTCGCATACGGTGCTGCCGTCCAGGCCGGTATCCTCTCCGGAAAGGCCACCTCGGCGGAGACAGCTGACCTTCTCCTCCTTGATGTTGTTCCTCTTTCCCTTGGTGTAGCCATGGAGGGCAACATCTTTGCTCCTGTCGTTCCCCGTGGACAAACTGTCCCGACTATCAAGAAGAGGACCTTCACCACTGTTGCAGGTTAGTACACCCATTCCCATTCTTGTGCGATCTATACTAACTAGCGCTTTGATAACCAACAAACTGTTCAGTTTCCTGTTTTCCAGGGTGAGCGCGTGAATTGCGAAGATAATACTTCCTTGGGAGAGTTTACCTTGGCCCCGCTCCCTCCTCTTAGGGCAGGAGAAGCTGTTCTTGAAGTTGTCTTCGAGGTCGACGTCAACGGTATTCTCAAGGTCACCGCCACTGAGAAGAGCACTGGCCGCAGCGCCAACATTACCATCTCCAACGCTGTTGGCAAGCTCTCATCATCTGACATTGAGAACATGATCAACGACGCCCAGAAGTTCAAGACCAGCGATGAAGCTTTCAGCAAGAAGTTCGAGTCGAGGCAACAGCTTGAGTCGTACATCTCCCGTGTAGAGGAGATGGTCTCCGACCCCACCACCTCCATCCGCCTCAAGCGTGGCCAGAAGGAGAAGATTGAGTCGGCTCTGTCTGACGCCATGGCTCAGCTTGAGATCGAGGATGCTCCTGCTGATGACCTGAAGAAGAAGGAGCTTGCTCTCAAGCGCGTTGTCACCAAGGCTTTCTCCACCCGATAAGCGTATCGCGAAGTAGGAGGGCCACAGGGGCGGTCAGCAAGGAGGAGCGCAGGTGCAGGATACCCAGACTGCTAGCTGCGAACGGAGTTTCATCTATTGCGGCATTTAACGATAGACTTGGTGTGTTTGGTTCCTTCATCTTTTATGGGTTCCCGGCATTCATGGGGACGCAAAAGTCATTTTTGTACCTTCACGACGATGCCTGACGAAACGATCGTAACGGATGTCTGCAAAAGCAAGCCAGGCGGTCATGTCTCTTATGTAACTCACGAGTTAGGTACATGGAGAGAGCGGAAAGGAAATTGAAATGACTTGATTACATACTTATGCCTGATGAACATGATTGGCGTGATACACTTGGTATTCTCCCAGGTATAGCAAGAGGACTGTGAACAGCTGAACAAGTGACTCTGTATCCGCCAACTTGGAGTAAGTGTCTGCCAACTGTCCAACTAAATATTGGCTCTGTATCCGCCAACTGGATGTATGTGTCTGCTAACGGTGCACCTGAATATTGGCTCTGTATCCGCCAACAGGGAGTATGTGTCTATCAACTACCCAACGAAATAGTGGCTCTGTATCCGCCAACTAGAAGTATGTATCTACCAGCTGTTGTCTGTACACAGCCGGTATTCTCCTGGATGTAGCAAAAGAAAGGCAATGTCGCATATTCGAACTGAGATTCTGGAAATTGCATTGGTTGGAATCCTATTGAAGATGTGGCCAGATAATTCCACGCATGTCTCTTCCATTATCACCACATCTGCATCTTTGTCTACACCATAGCTGCCATCAACACTTGAACCTGTTAGTCTCAACCGCACTACCAACCAACAGCTCACCCCGCACCACATTTGTCGCGCAAACGACAATACGACTACCCCTACCCTCGCCCCCAATCTCCTTCAACTTGTCGCCCACGAATCTCAGCGCCGCAATCTCAGCCCTGGTGACGCCTCCCAGGAAGAAGACGACGATGGTCTTGTTGCGCTCGCCCTGGCTTCCGTTGAGCAGCTGCCTCGCCTTGACAGCCTTCTCCTCTCCCTTTTGCGTCTCATCAAACGTAGCGCCGCGGACATACTTTGTCGCGTCGTCGAAGATGCGGAGACCCTGCGCGAGGGGATTGGCCTGGACGCTAGTGCGGGGGTCAGATGGGGGTTTGATGGTGTTTGCCAAGGTGTGTTTCTGGATGATGGACTGAACTAGACGAACGGATAAGGGCGCGTAGCCAGAGAAGGTGTAGCTGATGTCGTTGGGACTGGCTTCGTTTACGTCGTCATCCCAGAGTTTGAGACTCTTGCGGAGAGGTGTGTAGTTTGTTACGCTGCCTGGCTTTGCGGGTGCGCCTACGCCTCCTAGGCTTACGCCGCCGCGGGGGGCAAGAAGGCCCATTTTCTCAAGAGAGGCGAGGGTGAGGATGTGCTGGGGACCATAGGCTTGAATAATGGCGCGCTTGAAGGCTTCAAGATCTTTGGGGCGGATGCCAGCGTTTGTGGTGCTTTCCAGACAGAGCAGGCGGAGTATAGCAGGGAGTGGGACATCTCGGTTGATGAGCTCGTTAAGCGTATCGTGCTGAGTTGTGGGGTCAGCGCCGGACATGATGTTTTGTTGTACTTCGAGACTCCGCGTGAAGATGTCGGTACGTGTGAAGTTGATGATTTCTTCCGCCAGGTTGGTGTGCAGCTTCAGACTTGCTTGTTCAGCCTGGTAGCCAGGTAGCTTTGCCACAAAGTCTCGCAACTCAGACGTCGTCTTCGTGGCAAGCTGGTCGCGTCCGGTACTGCTCTGTAGGCGACGAGCAGCCTGATTGAGCAGGTTACCCACAATGGCAAAGTTCGCATCGCCAAGATCAGCGTACAAGGAGTCTTTCGGATCAATCATAATCTTGCGCTTCATACTGGTTGAGGCCGACCCTGTCTGCCCTTGCTGAGGTGCTGCGCCGCCAGCTACAGAGGAATCGACTTCAGTCTGGTTGGCAGCGATGTTGAAGACCTCGTCGATCAGACCCTCGTACGTCAATTGAGTCAGTAACACTGTAGGAAAGTCGACTTCTCGGTCGATAATGATAAGACTGTCTATGCTTGAGCTTGGAGTCAAGCCGAGAAACGATGGTCCTCCGCCAGCCGACGACTCCCCTGCCGTGACTTCGGTGCGCATACGAATGAGTAGGTCAGCAAGACGCTTGCCATTGTCGCCTTTGCCGATAATACGCGGAAAGAGGCCGTACTTCTGCTGCTGAAGCATGAGTGCTTTGGCTGACAGGTAGATTGCGGTTGGATCTTTCTTCTACATGCAGTTAGCATCAAGTCGATTTTGGAGACACGGTGTGACATACAAGATACAAGTCTGACACGGCATCTTCAAGCTCAAGCGACAGCACATCATCGGCAAGAGGCACGAAAAACAAGGGCCACTCGCTCACACTGGCTTCCCCCAAAACACCAGCTTCTTCAAGCAGTTGGTCGGAAGTCAAGGTACGGCGAGGCACCCAAAAGATGGAGAATTCATGTTCAATCTGGCTGTCTCGACGAATACGTTTGATTTGGTCTAACTACAATGTTAGCACCGTACAATAGACTGTTCCTATATGGAAATGATAGGCAATCCAATAAAAGCGCTATGTTCGATCTAGGGATCAAGACTGGCAAGGCAGAGTGGGTTGAATCTGCCTAGCCTACTTTTTGACCCAAAAGGTTGCCGCAAGGACACGACGGCGAGAGACGCAAGGAAGCTGGAGCTTCACTTACCAGCAACGGCCATCACAGTCTTCGCCTTTTCACCTCGGACGAGGAAGACGATGTTGCGCTGTGAAGAGTCGACGTTGTCATTCTCCAGGAAGAAGGGCTTATCAACGCCATATTCCTGTAGCGTAGAGAATTTGACAAGTAAGTTGAGCGGACCAGCAAGAGCTTTCTCAAGCACAAGGTTCTTCTTGCCTCTTATCTATCCGCACGTGTTAGATGTTGCAGCGCTGTGCGACGTTGATATTACCTTACACCCTCGAGCAGAAGAAGCAGCTCTCGCCGCGCCTTTTCGGTTATATCCGCAGCATTGAGAGGTGTGATGGGCGCCATCTTCGCCGCTGTATCATGTGTTACAGCTTGTGCGAGGCTTTCCTAGACGCATGACTACATGCGGTTTGCCCTTGTGGTGTGCAGGTTGGTGGAAAGGTTGAGCTCGGGTTTTCGGTTCTTAAGACTTGGATTCAAGGCACGTGCACGACCCATTCTTGGCACTAACTGACACGCGATGCACTTGGCGGATATGAGATGTCGTGATGTGGATTCTTACCGAGAAAGTGTATGCTATTGTGGCGATGCTCGTTATGTGTATCGATTTTGAGCTCTATTTGGATCCGTAGAGTGTCTCTGGTAACGAGAAGACGCTAAAGAGAAAAAATGCAGTTAAGACGGGTCTACGAAGATCTGATTTGGTTGCGCTATGTATTGGATTTCAATCATCATTCTGCTTGTTCTAATGATATCCGTAGAAGACGGTCATATATACAATAAGTGGGTATAGAGCAAAAGAGAACCCGCTGAAGCTTCCATACAAGTGTTGCAACGGGGTAATAGTAGAGGACGCGATCAAGGAAGAACGCTTCATGCTCAAGCCGACATGTTCTCCTCCAATTGTGTGAGATCCCTGACTATCGTCTGTTCGGGACTCGCCTGCCTTGGTCACTTTCTCGCCCGACCGCTCTGGCAAGACTGATGCACTTACAAGGCACCCAAAGCTTGCAATGCAATGCGTAGTTCCTTGACAGCCGTATCCGCATCCTCAAAGTTCAGTGCGGAAATAGCCCATTTGGCGTGCTTTTGAGCGGCCATGATGGAGTCCTCATCATTCCTGAAAGGTCCTTGGGAATGTTGTTGAGGTGGTGGTTGTGGGGGCTGGGCATATGGATTTTGATGTGGCGCAGAATACTGTTGTTGGGCGGATTGCGGGAAACCAGTTGGCTGTGGTGCATACTGAGGCGGAGGCGGCTGTTGCGTCGGCGCGGCGAATTGGTAATTCTGAGGAGGGGCTACCGGGCTGGAGACAAGATTCTGGGGTTTCTGTGGAACTTGAGGAGCTGGCGAAGCTGCCATGCCATGGCTAGACTGGGGAGGAGATCGATAGGGGTTTTGAGTAGGCGTTTGCTGGGGTGGTGGAGATGCAGTGTTTTGGTAGAAGCTTGCTGGGTCAGAGAAACCTGGGGCTTGTGATGCCTGAGGGCTTCCCGGCTGTGAAGATGTCATTGGATCGATGTCCATGGGTGCTGTTGGAAGGCCTGGCGCCGTTGTCTCTGCTGTAAAGGTAGGAGGATCAGTCTTGGGAAAGTACCCACCACCGATAGAAACAACAGAACCCTGCCGCGACGGGGCTGGCTGCGATATGGGCGAGACGTCGCTATGTGATGCTTGTGTGTACCCTGTAGGCGCAGAGGGCAGGTTCGGCGAGGGCTGAGCAGACGTGTTCGGCGCAGTCTCGACGTAAGGCTGGTATGGATTCGTCTGTAGTTGGGGGGTAGCAGACTGGTTTATGCGCTGGACTTCTGGGTCGTCGGGATCTAGAGCAGGCGGCGATATGGGTTGTTGTTGGGTTTCTTGCACAGGGTTTGTCGCATTGGGGTCTTCATTGGCTTTGATGGCTTTGACGATGCGCAACGCGTGATACTTGGCAAACTTTGTCTTGGAGGTGATTTCGGGATCGTTGTTCTTCCATACCGACATAATCTCAAGGAATGTCGAAGCGGCGAGAAGCGTGTCGGCGGTTTGTCTATGCACGCGAATTAGATGCAGCGACGAGGCTTGAGAAAGGCGTCGTATGCGTACCCGTTGACTCTGTTTTCTCTCATCTCTCTCTCAGCCTTCCCAAGCGTCTGCAGAGCAAACTGTTCGCAGTAGGCGCATGCGACGGTATCATCGAGTAGAGCATCCTCGTTGGGGTTATCGGCCTTTGCCTGCTCAAGCTTCTCCATGAGATCGGTGGTATAGGCCTTGCAGTCGTCGTCGGCCGAGTGAAGACCTCCAGCAATGATTCTCTGAACCATGTAGAACCGTACTGTACATGGTCAATATGCATCCTCGACATGGGCTGGCGCGCATGCGGTACTCACTCCAGTAGGTCATGATGGGCATATGTCGCTCGAGCTGGGCAGCCCGTTTTGCGCATTGCGTGAGCTGTAAGCCCTTTAGCTTTACGGGCACTTTGTCGGACATGTTTGGTTGTGGTGTTGTCTATGTATGTGTGAGGCGGATACGCGACGATGGGGTTGGTCGTGCTGAGGGCTCCAGGCACCTGCTTGAACGAGGATGCGGTCATAGCACTTGACCCCCACTTGCAACGCGCCCACCCGAATACGATGTCATGTTGTACATATTTCTGGACGATTCATCTGATATCTCGAACAGCGTGCAGGTTCCCAATACGCTCCATCAAACCAGTGCTCTGAGGGGATATATCACTTCCTGAGGTGATATGATGTTGCGATACCTGGTAGATCCCTGTCTCCCCGCATTGCAGCTATGGCCACGGACATGCAGGTTATTGCAAGCTGTTACAAGTGATTGAAAAGGCCAACCTGGCAACAACGCCATGTGAGAGTATAAGCACCGCAGCAGCAGCCACTTTCTGCCTGCTTTCGAATTTACCTACGCGTCGAATATTACCACCCACCACCATGGTTCGCTCTTCGACCCTCTTCGCCGCCGCGGCCGCGCTGGCCCTCAATGCACACGCCGAGAGCATGTATCCCAAGAACAGTGCCGTCATTCAGATCACTGGCATGGACTATGATCGCGTTATTGCAAAGTCAAACTACACCTCGATTGTAGAGTAAGATATCTTCAGTCTCCACCGTGGTTCAATCTAACGAAGCCAGATTCTATGCGCCATGGTGTGGTCACTGCAAGAACCTTAAGCCCGCCTACGAAGCCGCCGCCAAATCTCTCAACGGTATCGCCAAGGTTGCTGCAGTGAACTGCGATGAGGAGATGAACAAACCCTTCTGTGGGCAGATGGGTGTTCAGGGTTTCCCTACCCTCAAGCTCGTCCGACCTAGCAAGAAGCCAGGCAAGCCTACAGTTGAGGACTATCAGGGCCCACGTACCGCCAAGGGCATTGTGGACGCTGTCAAGGACAAGGTGCCCAACATGGTCAAGAGAGTCAACGACAAGAACCTGGATGAGTGGCTGCAGGAGAACAAGGACACCGCCAAGGCTATCCTGTTCAGTGAAAAGGGCATCGTCAGCGCTACAATGAGAGCACTAGCGATTGATTTCGCTGGGCTCATCTCTGTCGCCCAAGTCAAGAAGTCGGAGAAGGCAGCAGTTGAAAAGTACGGCATCACCGAATTCCCAACCCTGATCCTTATTCCCGCCGGCTCAGACACACCCATCAAGCATGAGGGCAAGGCCGACAAGGAATCCATGGTCAAGTTCCTTTCCCAAGTCGCTCCACCAAACCCCGACTGTCCGCCCCCGAAGGCAAAGAAATCCAAGCCGAAAAAGGATACCAAGAAGGAGTCCAAGTCCTCAAGCAAGTTCGCCAAGGCCTCTGCTTCCCACAAGTCAGCAGACAAGTCTTCAGCCGCCGCATCAGCCACTGATGAGACTGTCGAGGAGCCTGTCGTTCCTACCGAATCGCCTGACCCGAACGTCAAAGACGAGACCACGTCTGAGCCGATTGTCCTTCCCGAAGAGGAACTCAAGCCTACCATACCTCTTCTTTCCGAATCGGCCGAACTCCAGTCTACGTGCTTGAATGAGCAGAGCAAGACTTGCATCTTGGCCCTCTTGCCCAAGGACGAAGCCTCGGAAGCTGCCACCACTGCTGTCGCATCTCTCGCCTCCATCCACAAGAAGTACGATGCTTCGGGCAGTCATCTATTCCCCTTCTTCAGTGTTCCATCGACAAATCCTCTTGCAGCAAGCCTGCTCACAGAACTGAGTCTTGGAAGTGCAGACCAGGTTCACCTGATTGCCACCAACGGCAAGCGAGCTTGGTACAAGAAGTACTCCGGCAGCGCCTTTGGCCTCGAGGATGTCGAGCAATGGGTCGATTCTATTCGCATGGGTGAGGGTAAGAAGGAGAAGCTACCTGATTTGCTTCTAGTCGCTGCCGAAAAGCCTGAGGTTAAGCAGGAGAAGGCTGCGGACCCCGAGCAGGTCAAGATCAATGTTGAGGAAGTCAAGGATGACGCTTCGCCCGAACACAGTGAGCTATAGATAGAGCTCATGGAGCTTTCAGTAGCTTCCATAGACGATCTTGTAAACTGAATACATGACTTGTTGATGCTTGTACTATTTCGAGCTTGTTGATGTGTGTGAAGTTGATAGGAAGGTAGTATCGGACCTTTTTGGGTATAACGAGAGAGTTCAGAGGATTAGCGCTGTAATGAGAAACATTGTGATATTGTTCATGAGACTGGAATATATAGTCAATGAGGCAGGAAAACAACACGACGACTTTTTGATAGAAATGTGAAGAGTGGGGATTTGTGCATTACTTGGGAGTATGGGAAGATTACGGGAGCAGCAAATTCAGCAAGCTCAGAATCGAGGTATATAAACCCCTCCATCTCTCTTAAAACCTCAAAACAACCTTTCCATAAATTCATTTATCAAAAAGCACCGACCTCTCTGCATATGTTCTCCTTCTCTTCCGCACTTGATTTCAAAATGCATTAAGCGGCTCAATATGTGCTTGTCGACCACTTTGAAACCTTGCATTGTGAGTCAGATTTCTAGCGTCGTATGTGTGTTCCTCTCTTTCTAAAACACTCACGCGCAAGGATCGTGTTTGTCGACCCCTTTGCCAACTTTCTAAATACAATGCGACACACTATGTGTCTTCCTCTCTTTCTAAAGTACCGGCATGAAGATGCAATGTGCTTGTTTTCTCGGACTATTTTCACATTTCTAAAAATGCCAACCTTCTGTACATGTGAAAACTCACAGCCTGGTATGTCCGAATGAGGACTAGTGGAGGGTTTAGAGTATATAAAATGTAGTTACCGACTTGGTTCTTCCCTTCCTCACACCATTCCACTTCCTTTCTTGAAAACTCTGAAACAAGCCTGACTATTTTCTTCTCTTTCTATTGAAAATCGAGACGGCTACAGGATATGTTGCTCTGCTTTGCCTTTGAAACTACCTTGATTCCAAAACTCCTACTCGCTGGTTTGGCAAATTATAAAAGCCACGGCACTTCAAGTCAATGTTGGTTTTTGTTAGAAAGGTATTTGTACCAATCAACGCAGTGGCAAAGAGTGTTCACTTTTTGTCTCAACAGTTTTTTTTATTTCGAGGAAAGCAAAATTTCTAGAAAACAAATTAGGAAACATGAATGGCTGGAGGCAGTGTGTCCTCTACCCTCCTTCCTACTTTCTCTAAAATACGTATCACTAAAATCAGGAGCTGAACAAGAAATGTCCTTTTTCCGCGCGGAGTGCTGTTAAAAAGCTAGGGCTGTGGTCTTTATGGGTCAGCCTGACAACGGTGGCCTTTAAACCAAATCTACTACAACTCCGTCAATGTTCACAAAAATAAGAAGAGGGTGGTGATGTTTCTTCCCTTTCTGCGTTCCAGCCAGCGATATTAAAATAAGGACATCGGACATATAGAGAGGTCCTTTTCTGGCGGCTTTGCTACAGCTTTTCTCCTCCTTACCATCCCTCTATAAAATGAACGTTGTATAACCTTTCATGCGACTGTGTACTCGCTGGCGGTGTCAAAAATGCGCGCTTCTCTGAGTTCATGGGATCTGGGCTCTCATCTTGGAAAAAAACTTACAAATGAGTACGGATGTAGTCTTGTAGCCCAGTCGGTGTGGATATAAATGTCTTTCTTCTTCCTTTGTCGGGCTGTCTTCCTTCTTTACAAAATAATCATCATCCATTCCAGATGTTTCTTAAACTAGGCACATGTACTGATGATGTGTGTGCTGTTGAAACCTGCTCAACCACTTCTCATGTCTCTGTGAGTGCTCCTCGGCATACAAAAAAAACCTGTAAAAAGACAATGGGTGTCACAAGATGCGTGCTGTTGGGGCTGTGTGATACACATTTACCGATATTATTGAAAGAGTATGGCAGTAATATACGACTCTTATTTTAACCAAAATATAATGCGCTTTATCAAATGCGGTCTGTGGCTAGAGCCGGGTGCGTGGTTTCTTTTAATGCGTCTCGGTCGAAGCTGCGTTCACTTAAGACGCATGTTATCATACTTGTTACTAAAGTTCCCAAAGATCATGTGTATGGGAGCATTGGAGAGACAGCTTTGGAGTCCGCCACTTGAAGTACGTGACTTAGTGTTCTCCATATCTGCGATGGAAGCTTTTAAGGCTTGGTACGCTGAATGATATTGGTATGAGTGTATGAGAAGGCCAGGAATTGGAATACGTATAACGTCTTTTTTCCTCGTGAACAGATAAAGTCCCCCCTTGCAATATGCTCGACATCATTTTGGTTGAAATCAGGCACTCAAGACAACTTCGATAGACGACAGGGTTAAAAAGACATGATCTATGTACAAGTGTCTATATGCTCTTATAAGCGTTCAAGAAGTCGACTGTGCATGCCAAGTGATTGCTGCAATCATTCTAGACGTTATGATTTAGAAACCAGAGGGGGAATGAAAGGTATTTCAAAGAGAGGGACTAGTGAAACGAAAGACCTACACGTTATACCGATGAAGCTGTGCAACCGGCGCCAAAAAGCTCTCGAATGTCATCTGATCTAAACCTTCTCTATTTCGCTCAAATGAGCGGTGACTATAGCGGTCACGCCTACCCCACATTCATCCAACGATAGGGGCTTGTGTGCATTCGGCGTGCACCTCGCAAACACTCTGGTAAGTGGTGAGTCGAATGTTGCCCTCCACGCTCACTTTCTCCCCACATATAGTTTGCGCTTCCTTTCCTAATCAGGGGTGCGCAGCCAGGGTCCACACCATAACCTTCGACAATTTCATGTACGAGAGCAAACGCTCGATTTCACATTGGTCCATGCGCGTTGTTGTTGTTGCCATCGTCCGTTCGCTCCTTCACGTCCTTAAATCTTCCACTTCGCTCACCCACCACCGCGACCATCGGTGAGCACTCTATTTACAACGCGTTCAAGTGTAACAAAGTGTAAGTTTCAAGACGGTCGTTACTTTGTTATACCCCTTGTGATACTCAACGGCGTGCGCAGCAACCATGAAGCGTCTACAGCTTCAGTCGAAGCGCAGAGCTTCGATCTCGTCCGCGTCTAGTCCTGCGAAGCGCACACGATCCGTCTCGATCTCGGTCAAGGTCAGCCATGAACCCACGCCCCTGGAGCCCCTCAAGACACCAAAAGTCCCTGCTGCTCCAAAGAACACGCAAGCCTGCCTTGGCGGTGTACCTGAAGAGCTTCTCTTGAATATACTGCAAAAGTTGGATGGTAGCCCTGGTACCCTGGCGAAGCTGTGTCGGACAGATCGGCGTTGTAAGCGTGTCGCAGAAGAAGTGTTGTACAACAAGGTTGCTGCTTTTGATCACAAAAAAGCGCGGGCGATTGCTGCTGCTCCTCGACTGGCCCTGCATGTTCGTTCTTGCAATGCCAACTTCTTCGATGGCTTCTACCATTCGCCGCATCCAAAAGGCAGGTTCACTCAGGTCATCGCAAATGCGGTCAATATCCACAGCCTGCGTGTGTACGACTCCACCGATGGGCCCGGAGAACATATTCATCAGAAGATAGGCTGGCTGTCTCTGTTCCATTCCGCAACTTGTCAGTCTGGCAACAGTCGCGTGAACCAATTCGCCCATCTCAGCGATCTAAAGATCGAGGGTAACCATCTTTCGGTCGAGAACATAGCATCCGTGTTTCGCCTACCGTCTCTGAAGGTTTTAGAGCTCAAACGTATTCACCAGACAACGCCGTTTGCGAACTGGAGCATCCCCGACTCGAGTTGTTCGATCCAGTCTCTCAGGCTTATCGACACAATGATGGACGTTACGGCTGTTACACACGTCATCTCCGCCATGAAAGCTCTTCGGAATTTCACGTACCTTCGCGATACTTGTATGTGGGAACCTTTTGGTAGCGAGCATTCCGCACTATCCATGTGGCCATCCCACTCGTGGCAAATCATAGGAGATGCGCTGAGGAAGCACCGGGATTCTCTTGAGACAGTGCAGGCTCGAGACTCATCTGATAAGGAAATTATCGACATTGTGTACCCTGAAGGCGACAAATTTGGTACTTTTGGCTCTTTCCAGGGCTTTTCCAAACTGAAACATTGCGGTGGGCCGATTGAAGCGTTCCTCGATGTTGCAGCCGGCGAAGACGACCTCTCGATGTACCTCCCGCCAACTTTGAGCACGTCGTGCATAACGATCTCGACGGACAACAGTGCCCTTTGGACATATTGTCTCTCTGCATTAGCTTCTTTGAGAGATGTTGTTCGCGATAGTACACGGAAAGAAGTCAAACTGATTTGGGACGGTGCTCTGCCAACCTCTACGCTTTCACTATCTAATCCGTTGGAAATACTGGAACAGACCGGGATAGAGCTGAGGCTGAATATAAATTCGACGAGGCTGACTGTGGAAGAATTGAAAGAGCTCGAGGCTGATGGCAAAGAGAAGAATTCCCAGGCAGGGTCCAACTACGACCAGGATGAAGACTCTGAGGCGAGCGACAGCGAATACACAGATGTTGAACTATCCGAGGAAGACAACGAATGAGAGAGAATGTGACGAACGAATTATGGTGATGCTCTGACCGCAGAAGCCGCCGATGCGCCCGGTGTAAGCCTCTTCGGGCATGAGGCCCTTGAGTCACCTTGAACGACGAAGCGGAGCGCATGTTTCCGCCAAATTTCGATACACGAGCTGTCGAATTTGCTCGCACGATACTATTGCGAAGCGTTTAGTTGAAAGTTCGTTGCTGTTACAAAGTCAGTATCGACGATGGTTTACGTATGGTTGATGAGAATGAGCTTGCAGCAGGTTCCCGTCATCAAAAGCACCGTATGTTTCTGTTATAGTGAAGGAGGCGGTTGCAGGCCTCTCATTTATTGTCGCCCAAGTGGTTGTATAATCGAGGAGGCGCGTACCAGAGGGTAAAGTTGAGATTTGTGTGTCAATCAAGATGCGCGGATCAGGCTTCATTTCGAGAAATCAGATATCGAATAAAAGTGTATTTCCAAATCATGCAAAATCATATGCTCTGACTGTACTAAGGTGAGGTTGATGGGTAAGGCCATCAATGTGTCAGGCTCAGATTTTCTATGGGAGACCTCGCAATCCCACTCACTGCGTCGGGTATCCTCGAGCCTCTAGTTACCTAGCCGATGACGTAACCAGATCGCTTCAGCTGCTCAGAGCAGAGCGACGCTGCCTCATTATCGCCAAAGCTTGTATCCATATGTTCTATACCCGCCGCCCAAGAAACCCATATACGCATACACTTTCTCTCGCTGATGCATCCGCGGCGCTGTTAAGCGTGTCGCGCCGCGTCTCGTCCAGAGCGCTAGATTCGACGGTTTCCATCATTTAATTTCAATTTTTGCGCACTTCTGATTTGCGCTGAGTAAAGTTCTTATTCCATAATCCAGATCATCTTACTTACAGAGCACCAGAACAACCGAATGCTGTGTTTGGCGAACGCCGAGGTAGGCCTACTCATACCAAGGTTTGATGCCGAGCAACACCACGACCACATCTCGTTCGCACATTCCAATTCGGTACATTCGAATCCTGTTATCTCTTTCAGACCCTGGCTACGACGGATGGTCTCCAGTCGTACATAGTGCTCCGTACGCCGAGCCTCACAAGGAGGTCTTGGACTTCACCAGCAGGGCATAGCCGCCATGAAGTCATATTCGCCGTCTTCCCGAGGCAACAGCTAGATAATACAGTTGCCCCATGTCTTCTATCCCGTGGCATATAGTTTGTTATGAGCTTCGGGGCTTGGCGACGCCTGACATGGCCTGGGAAAGGCCACCTTCCGTAAAGAGTTAGCATGTCGGTAGTCGTGACCTTCCCCAAAGAGCATGAATGCCAAACCGTGCCCAGAATATGCGGCAATACCAAGACATGAACATGGAGTCGGAATTTTGGAAGCCATGTAATGATCTCGGACGAGAGCCTGTGTCGCGTGGGCATGGCTAGTATATATACCTTAGGGATATAGTCGAAGAAATGTGCTCATTCAAGCTCAATTACACTCCATCCTTTCGCTAAGATGAAGTTCTCCCTTACTGCGTTAGCTCTGCCCATTGTGGCTCAGGCCGCTCACTTTTCTAAGTCAGAATATGTCTCTGGTGCAATTCATCAGAAGCTTATGAAGCTGAAGACGGTATAACACCCATTCATTCGTTCGCATCCCTCAAATCGAATACTAACGCAACCCACAGAGTCAATGGGAGAATGACGCAGTTGAAGGCAAGCAAGACCCTCGTCAATGGAAGTCTTGGAAGAGCTCGAAGATGGGAGCTTGGGGAGGTGGAAAGGACAACCGCGTTGTCTGCGAGGATGGTCTAGCTATCGTTGAGCAAGGCAATGCCAATCAGACATTCCGTTGCAAGAACGTGAGTACAATTCGATCTCTGACTTGCTTATGCTGACGAGCTATAGATGGACCTTTATGACTTTGTCAGTCACGCCGACATGGGTGCCCCTGAAGGCCAAGGCAGCTCCTCATGGGGTTGGACCGCTCCAGATGGCCGCGAGTTCGGCATCGTAGGCCAGTTTTCCGGTGCTGCATTCGTTGAGGTCCTTTCCGATGGCCAAATCCAATACTTGGGTCGTCTACCAGCACAGAGCGTGGGTTCGAGATGGCGTGAGATTCGTGTCCTCAACGACTGGGTCATCATTGGCTCCGAAGCTGTTGACCACAACGTTCAGAGTGAGTTAAAACACTCGAAATGACAGTTTTACACAACTACTGACACTTCTGTAGTCTTCGATATGAAGAAGCTCTTGAACATTGACCCCCAGAGCCCCAAGACATTCGACCCGAAAACCGATCTTGTCGGTTTGTTTGACGACCTACCTATTGGCCGCACCCATAACGTGGTCATTGACTGGGACAATGAATACATCCTCGCAGTTGGTGCACAGCCCCGCAACCAGACATGCAAGTCGGGTCTTCAATACATCGACCTTTCCGATCCCAGCAAACCCACATCACCGGGTTGCGCCAGCCAGGACGGATACGTCCACGATGCTCAATGTGTAAATTACAACGGCCCCGACAGGAGATTTCGTGGACGCAACATCTGCATCGGTTACAACGAGGACACCGTCACCGTATACGACTCGACCACTAAAGACGGCAACCCTGCTTCTGAGATCATCTCGACACTTTCTTACCCCGGTGCCACTTACTGCCACCAAGGATGGTGGACTGAGCGCAACTGGCACCAGTACGTCTTGCTCAACGATGAGCTTGACGAGCAAGAGGGTGTCGGCCCAGGTGCTTCCGGCCGCCCTGTCACCCACATTATCGACTTCACCGACCTCCGCAACCCCAAGTGGACTGGTACCTTTTACGCCACCGACAACAAGGGTATCGACCACAACCTCTACATTGTCGACGGCCTCGCCTACCAGAGCAACTACGGAAACGGAGTCTGGGTCCATGACGTCAGCTCCATCAGCAAAGACCCCACTGGCGCAAGTGTTTCCGTAGAGGGCTTCTTCGACATCTATCCAGAGGATGATGCTGTCGGTGGAATTGTTAAGTTTGTGGGTACTTGGTCGCACTTCTTGTTCCCCTCAGGGTTCGTCCTAGTAAACACTATCGAGCGCGGTGCTTTCACGGTCAAGCTTGCTAGCGGTCGTGGAGCTCAGCCTGGCCCGGGCTTTGGTGGAAAATCGGTTATACAGGGCAGGAAGCAATAGTTGGATCGCATTTCAATAGTTAATACTAAGTTCATTTTCCGTTCACTAGATTCGCCTTTGGTGTGACGTAGCCAAGCCTGCAACGTGTGGACGAGTGAGATCGCCGCTGCCCCATATAAACTGCTATCCCTAATAGGTAAGGTCTAATGGGGGCCCGCTATCTCTGTCAGATCTTTGCTGCGACATCGTTCAAGCCGTGTATGCCTCCTGTGGCATCGAGTCTAGGGCACCACGAACAACAGCAATGTCGCAAGAAAGGATTTTTGGGTAGCATTCTAACTCCCCTTGCCTTTGTCAGGTTCAAGAAGGCTTCACCGATACTTCCACCGATATTTCAACGAAAAGCAAAACTCGAAAACGCCAGGCTGAAAATGAGACCAATCGTATTCGCCACCCTGGATATCTTTCCCCTCCCAAAAATCCGTGCCAGACGAAATCTGAAAGCGACAGAGAAAATTAACCCTCCTGGAAATTACTGTACCAAATCCGTTCTCAATAGAACTGCTCCCATTCACCCCAAAGTATCTTGTCCTCGTACTGGTTCATGAGCTGGCCGGTTGGATCTTCGCCCTCAACATGTGCCCAAGCTCCTGCAAAATGAATGACGAAGTAGCCTGGCTTCCATTGGCCATCCGGATCCTCGAAGCACTTTATCTCCTCGGGGTAGGCATTCAATTTCGATTGTGGCGCCACGACGTTTCGGTGCATATATGGCTTCTCTTTCAAGAGCTGAACCATGGCGTCCTGCTCGCTGTAACTCTGCTGGGGGTCATCGTGTAGTTCAAGTGCACGGCGGAAGAACCCGAGGGATCGGTCATGCGCGCGGGCGATAAAGGAGCCTAAATTTAGGCCATTGCAGTCGTGTGAGAATATGAAGTCGACCTCATCTGGATTACTCGCCTTCTGCAGCTCCTCGTCAATGATAGAGGTGAGTTTGACTGCCGTGTTAGTGACGAGCGTGTCGAAGTCTATCCACCATATCCAGTCGTATTTCTTGGATTTGATGAGCCTCTCAACCATGTCAAACTTCCAGTAAACAGGATTTCCCGTCGAAGAGTGCGCTTCATAGTCGGCAACGAAGTCATAGCCATGCCTGCGCGCGTAGTCTGGTGCGTGCTAGTGTCAGGTTATGTATTCAAGGGTGCGCAAACCAGACCACACTCACGATCTTTGTTTTTCATCGAAAGGTGAATGTAGGATTGCTGCTGTGTAGTAAAGGTTACAACAGCAACTCGTGGCTTCTTGTGTTCCACAGGCGGCTTATCCTCGGGTGCGGGTGGTGGCGGAGGAAGTTTCTCATGGCTTGGTCCCTGACTGAGTTGGAATCCCAAGAAGACCAGGAAGACAAGGAGAAGTACAAGCGACAGCGGGATTGATCTCGCTGATCGAAGGAGCATGTTTGCTACACGGCGGATCTTGTTAGGAACAAGGAATTGAAGAAGGGTGTCAGTGATAGTCCCCGGGCCGATCGCAACATTATTATCGCCGCTGGTACTCCCCGGAATGAGCACCAATTATGTGAGGGACTGCGGAATTGGGGGCGGGAAGGGAGGCATGGTGCTGGGGCCTCACCCGGGGGTAGCGAGCGACGGGATCTTTCTTCATGCCCGTTCATGTCCGGTAACCAGTATGAATGGTGTTCGATGGATGCCAACATCTTTCCGAATGGTCAATACGAGATGCGGAACGAGTGGGTCCTCCCACTCGTTTTCAGCTAAACCCGGATGCGGTGGGTTGGGTCCACAGCAATCCATTGTTGTAGGGTCAGTATTCGAGCTTGGGCCTTTGCGCATCAGCTCGCTACCATCCAAGCCTCATCATCCCCCAATCAACAACACACACACACCAGGATAACCTCCGCGGAACATAGTCAAATGTGGTCCAAAACTTAGGCGGACTGTTTTGTAAAGGCGTTTGGCTATGTAAGAAAAACATTCCACGACAACAAGATAGCCCTGTGCAAATGTAGCTAACATCTAGTAGGCGACTGCCAAGATCGACCTCAGGCTGTACTTCGTACTGTCAAAAAGAAGAATTCGAACATAGGGAGACAGTGTAAATTTATTGTGTGTCTTAGTACAGACAGTTCTGACATGTTACAGTCTACAATTGTCCGCGTCCTAAGCATGTGCAATGTGGTTTCTTCCTTTGGTTTGTCGAACCGGAAGGAGCAAGAGGCTGAAGCTAAGGCTAAGGCTGAGGAGAAAGCGGCAGAAGCAGCGGAAAAATCCACGACCAATTCCGACAGAGAAGGCAGCCAGACTGTCGTTGCTACAATACCCAAACGAGAGCCTTCTCTCACTCCTCCACCATCCACGAGCGAACCCAGCCCACCAGAATCGAGTCTCAAGCGCACACGTTCTATCAGTGTTGAATCGGACAATGAGGAGGAGCTTAGGGAAGCTTTAGGCGCGGCAGGACCATCCAGAAGTACTGTCAGGGCATTGGACTTCATGACTCCCACACCCAAGAAACCAAAGATAATGTCGCAGCCTGAGTACCACGAGACTTCTGGACTTCCAACACCTCAGACGGCGTATGATACACCAACCCGCCCATTTCCGTCCAGCGAACCGGCACCAGGCAGGATGCGCCACCCCCCACCCTAGCCCCAGTTCGCAGGGTATGGATCCCAGACGGCTTATAATACACCAGCTGGAAGCCAACCGATGGCAACAATATCTTCCTCTTTCGATATAACGCCAACGCCAAGTCGGTTTACTAATGCTTCAGACGAGGACCTCGTCCAGAGCTTCTTTGGTCTATTAGGCGCAGCAAATGTGCCCCTAGACGATATCACTAAAAACCAGCTCCATTCGACCCTGCTCAGACACGCGAAGAATATAGAAGGGTACAAAAGAGATCAAAAGCTGTTCCGTTTTCAGGCGGAGGCCAGAATAGCCAAGCTTGAAGCAGACCTAAAGGTCAAGGAAATTGAGAATGAGAATCTCATCTGGCAGGTAGAGAGCATGTCCGGTGCGCGCCATTGAGTGGCTATCGTTGCTCAGACGGTTCCTCGCTGGGAACCACCAAACAGCGTCATGACGTTCAATGCCCCGAACACTGCATCTAGTGTTTAGAAGCGTTTTGCGGTCAGCTTCGCAGGTTACCATCTCCTGAAAGTGATACCCCCTTTCATCTACTCAGAGGCTTTCCAGGTCTTTTTTTTTGACACACTTCTCTTGTATCGACGATAGTAGTTCTTCCAAAACTAGCGCGCTGTCGGATTAGACACGGCTGACGTTGGCATCCTTCCCGATCATTTTCCAACATTTCCGAAATATTTTCTTTGGTCTCGTAGCTAGTATTCTTCTAACTGATACAAATGTGTATAAGCATTGCGGCGCAGTGCCGATACTATAATCCGCTGGCGTTTGCTTTGTCGAAGAAACGTAGTATCTTGTCGCACATCTATCTCGAACTGTATAAAAGTTTTGCAGTGAAAAAAATCTACTCTGATAGCAACGATTATCTGTCTTAGTAAGCAATGACATCATGTGTTCAGATCTCGTTCATGTTCTTGTTACCTCGAATTCACGAAATTCAGGGATAAGCGTTGATGTGACAGTTGGGGGCGGAACCAAGCTATGCCTAGCATTGGCGAACCGGAAAACGGCAACCCATTACAACATGATTTGTCGGAAACAATTCAACCACCACTGTCTGACGTACGCCAGCCGATAGACAGATCTCCACTTTGTGCAGCGGGAGCTTGGCGGTCGACAGTACGCCCTACGTTTAGCAGTGGGAGTGGTGTGCTTGCCACCAAAATTTTGTGATACAGTATTTAGTCTGAGAAACGTCTATCTACAACAGACACTAGTTAACGGTGAGAAATGACGGATTCTTGGCTGGTCTTATCAATGTAGTGTACCGGAGCATCTCAACAATGCAAAGACTATGTGCGGGATTACCTGGCGACTCACAAACCACCAGCACCGACCGGACCGAGTGGACCAACCGAACGCGGGTTGAAGGAATTTGGCAAAATGCCTTGGCGGACGTATTGAAGTGGATCCCTCGAACCATAAAATAAAACAGGTTCACTCCTCAACACTAGAAGTTATCTACAGCCCGGCTGTCTGGGGAAGGGTTATCAACTATCAGACTAGTGCAACCAGAGCTCAGCAACTCGAACTCAATTAAAAGATAACCCTTTTCTACACAAATATCCCCTCCATTCCAAACATTTCGCCGGTCCCCCCTTTGGCAAAATGGCTATGCCATTCCTACGAATGGTTGGTAACTACATCGCGCCGCCAGCCGCGAAAAGTGAAGACGGACGCGATCAATGGCCATCAAGAGCAGCATTCCTCCTCGCAGCCATGGGAGGCTGTGCCGGGCAAGGAAATCTTCTGAGATACCCCAGCGTACTCTACAACAACTACGGTAGCACTCATCCAAATCCACAACGTGACGCTCCCTTTCCCTGACGAACAAGATCAAACTTAGGCCTTCAATGGTTCATCCCGTACCTATTAGCCGTCTTTCTCATCGCCATTCCATCACTTATTCTGGAAGTGTCGATCGGTCAAGCGTACCGAGGTGGGACCGTGATCGCATGTAAGGCTGAACCACATGGCATGGCATCTGACGTGCAGTAAGAATAAGAAAAGGATATACACTGACATGAAGATATCATGTCTTAGTTAACAACATGAACCGTCGACTCAAGGGCGTCGGCATGGGCCCTGTTATTGTCAGCTTCCTCGTTGTACAATACTTCACAGTCAACCTCGCGTGGATTATGCAGTACTTTCGTTACAGTTTCACCAGCCCGTTGCCGTGGGAAAACCGCATCGACGAGTTCTACTACAACGATGTGCTGCAGCGCGGTAACATCACCGAGGGGAGCTTGAGTGCAGATGGTAACTCTGTGGCTTCGTTTACTGTGTATCCTAGTAAAGCGCTTCTGGGTGAAACTGTTGCGTGGAGCATCTTTGTCTGGTTCCTCATCTGGATCTCCATCTTTCGGGGCGTGGGTATGACAGGTCGCGTCGTCTACTTTACCATGGGCCTGCCGATTGTCACGACCATCATCTTCGTCGGGAGAGCACTGTCACTTCCAAATGCTCGCGAAGGAGTCGATCTTGTGTGGAGAACTTGGAGGAGCGATCAGTTGGCCTCGGGTGTTGTTTGGCAGACTGCAGTCGGCCAAGTCTTCTTCTCTACTGGTATCGGCTTCGGATACTTCACATCTTATGCCAGTTACAACACCAAGCATGCCAATGCTGTCATGGATGCTTGCCTCATCTGCGGTAGCAATGTTCTGTTTGAGAACTTTGCGGCCTTTGCTGTCTTTGGGGTTGTCGGGTATCTGCGCCGATGGCCGCAAGATGGTGTTAGACTAGGAGCTTTTGTCGTTGGGTTCTTGACACTACCGGAAGCGGTATTGCAGATGCCAGGAGCAAACTTCTGGGCTGTGCTGCTGTTCTTCACTCTAGTTGTGCTGGGGTTCAGTTCGGCTTTTGTCATGCTTGACGTTGTGGTCACACTGATTTGTGACTCTGGGCTGGTCAAGGCTTCACGACCTGTTGTCGTCACCGCACTTACTGTGCTCTCCTTCTTGATGTGAGTCAAACATTTCCGCATGCACATACGCATACCGAGTCATGACCTCCCACACGACATCCACTGACTTTGTGTTCTCCAAAGGTGCCTACCATATTGCACAGAATTCGGCTACTACCTACTGGATGGAATCGACCGTTGGGTAAACAACGTAGCCCTCATTTTTGTCGTCTGGAGCGAAGTTTCCAGCGCAACAACAGTGTACCGATGGAGAGACATTGTGGACCAGACCGGCCTACCCGCCTTCATCGTCTACAACATAGGCTTCTTCGGCGGTCAAGTCTTCGGCATCAGCTTAGCGCACGGTATCGGACGTCCCGGAGCAGGCGCTGGTGCTGGCATCGGCTTCTACGCTCTGTTTGCGATTATAGCAGTTCTGTTGGCGCGAACACCGGATGCACGTGCTCCTTCGTTCTGGAATTGCAATGCTTTCATCCGAAGACTTTGGTTCCTGGCGTTCTACTCGGTGAGTCCCAGATACGATTCTTCGCATGCGTACTCCAGATTGCTAATGATGTTGGAAAGGGTAACCAACTCCGCCGCGACCTCAACGTCATCGTCGGTCAAGGCAAGAACTGGAAAATTCCGGCTTTCATGCCCTTCCTCCTCCGCTACCTCAGTGGACCTGTTTTGGCCATCATTTTGTCTTTCGCCTTTCCGGAGTTCCACACTCTCCGCTATGACCCCATGATGATTGCTGGCTTCATATTGTCCATCCTGACGATCATCGTTATTCTGCTAGGTTTGATAATGCCTCGGTACTACGATGCTTTTATCCCTGTACATCGACGTTTCGAGGGTACGGAACCAACTGTGGCTATGCAAACAAAGGACGAATTGGGTGGAAGACCAATCGCGGATGTGGTGACGGCTGAACAGGGCGACTCGGGTATCCTACGGGATTCGTCGTCTGTGCAAGAGGTAAATGACGATAAGAAGGTTAAGAAGGCGGGTGTATGATGATTTAGGAGAAGATATAGAGGCTAGAATTCTGTACAAGTGTGGCTGGTCCCAGATTTACATATTGTGTATAGCTAGAGGGTACTACATACTATACCTATGATGCGGTTGTGCAGTATGCAAGATGCAACTTTGCCATATTGCATATAGACTCATGCATGCGGCGAGCCCAGCATTGACGAGCAAGAGGTGTGTTTCTAGGTAAGCGGCATATACCTTTCGTTCGCCAGATACTGGCTTTGTTACATCAATGTTTGGTAGCATGTTCCGCTCCGTATCCCCAACATCTCTTTTGTTGTAGCTTGATAAGTCTTGGAGTTGACTGCTTGCTAAGTGCGGATACGGGTTGAGACTGGACCCACCGCAATCGATGACATAGCAACGTGCACGAAACGACCGAACATCAGTGAAGCGTGGCGCGGTGCCTAAATGTAACAGTAAATAAAGGATCAAACCTTTGATGTAAGGCCTGAAATCTATCGCCTAGTCAACAGTGTGCATCAATGCCCAGTATACATCTTGTCAATGTCGATCCCTAACACCAGACCAAACGTCCCCACCAACAGCATCCCCACCAGACCCATAATCAGAAGCACTTCGGCTCCCCCCGCCAGTGCCTTCCCCTGCGTCAACTTTCTCTGCAACCTCCAAAACCGCACCGCGCCGACCAGCACCACGACAATGGCCATGCAGATAAAGGTAACCGCCAAAGGTATACCGATCTTGTGGAAGCCAAAGTGCGCGTTAGGCTTCGGCGTGTGTTGCAAGCGGAATAATTGGGCGACGACTATACCCATCATTACGAGGAGAAGCGAGGTGCGGAGGTAGGCTAGGAAGGTGCGTTCGAGTGCTGAGGGAATGTTTGTTAGTACACAGCGATTCCAAAACCAGGGTTTCTAGAAAGTGTAGGAACAAGCGGGGAGACATACCAAGATGATCTCTATACGTGCCCTCTTCAATTGTGAGACTAATCTGTGTACTCCAGAACTTGACGATGCCGTCATACCACCGTGTCTTACGTTCGCTATTATCTCCATGTCCTTCAGTTTCTGTTTCTATTGCTGCTTCTGCTTCCGCACATGTAGCCACGTCCGCTTGTACACTTGCTTGACCATTGGTACCGGAACTGCGTCGTCTCAGCGTACCCCTGGAGTCTCCTCGAGCTGACACAGGGTGCGATGGTAAAGTATCCAAGCTCGGTAAGTCACGCGATACTTTACTCGGCGTGGAAGAGACTTTCTCTCGACACATAGGTTCTAGCTCTTTCGCGCATCGATGCCGTTCAATGCGCACAGCTTCTGCGGAGTCTGGATGAGGTGCATAGCGTGCATGTGCATGTAGGGCTGCGGGTGGGAGATCAAGCCGAGGTGGTGCGCGAGGTGATGTAGAGTCGCTCATGGATCGCGTCTGTTGCGAGCGCAATTGCAGTTCAGTAATGATGCGAGGGCACTTGAGATCATGTTATCAGTCATGATAAAGGGCCGAAGTGAATGTCGGTGTGCTTGTTTGCAGTTGCAGCTTCCCAAGTCGGTGCGTAATGTCGTACCTGCGGTTACTGGTGGGGACTTGTTTTCGGGCTGTCGCGTTCGGCTGGTCGCATGCGACAGGGGCAAGGACGACATCAGAAGCCACGAGAAGAGATGTCTTTGGGAATTTGGGCTGAGCTGGTAATTCGAAGGGTGTACACTAGTTCTATAGGAAGCCCCGGATATCATCACACAATTTCAGGCATGTCCCCACCCCTGCTTCCTACTCCATCCGCAGTCTCAAACTCCTCATCCCACTCATCCTTGACTTTGAAGCCTAATAGAGGCACGCTGCTCCTCAGCGCCAACGAACTACAAACCACACTCACACTGCTCAATGCCATGGCTAGACTAGCCCAGACAGGGTCAAGTCTGACATGCTTTCGTCCCGAGCCCTCCATTTCCATACCTACACTCATCTCTAAGCCATTGTGAACCATTTTCGTTGGTTTTCCTCCAGTTGTGATAGGGTACAACACGCCAGCGGCGATAGGCATGGCGACTAGATTGTATATGAGAGCCCATCCAAAGTTGAAGTAGACGCGGCGGAAGACTACACGGGAGAGGTCGAGGAGAGTGAGTATAGTGGTGAGGCGGGAGTTTATGAGAATGAAAGAGGATGAAGAGAGGGCAATATCGGAACCAGAGCCTATGGCTATGCTGAGGTCGGCCGTGGATAGGGCTGGAGCGTCATTGATGCCGTCGCCTACCATGGCTACGGTTGCGCGCTTGCCTGTGTTGCCCTCATTCCACCTTGATAAGAAAGGAATCTGTAGGGCCGCTTTCTGGTGCTTTTGGAGTGTTTGCTGAAGATACCTTATCTTCTCTGCTTTCTGGTCCGGAAGTACGCCAGCGATGATGTTGGAAGAGGGGATGCCGATTTGGGCCCCCACTGCGTTGGCTGTAGTAAGGTTATCACCGGAGAGCATCCAGACGTCTATACCACGTGCTTTCAGAGCGGAGATAACCTTGGGAGCTTCAGGGCGGAGAGGGTCGGCTATGGACAAGGCGCACGCGAGCTGCCAGTTTGGTGCATGTTGAACTTCGGTGTTGGCAATTAAGAGTGACTCATATGGGTCGGGTGATTCCGAGGACTGACTTGATGGTTGGGTCTGTCGTAGGAACAGTGCGACCAATGCAACAGAGTCTCCGTGTGATTTCCATGTCTCAAGCGTTGAAGCATCTTCCGCGAGAATGGGGACATGGTAATCAGCCATGAAGCTTTCGTTGCCGATAATAGCAGTAATCTCCTGACCATCAACCCTGAAAGTTCCCTTCAGACCCTTGCCAGGTATCTCGTCTACATCAACCGCAGTCGGTGTCTCATGTGCCGTCTTGTCGCAAAAAGAGGACAGTGCTCGAGCGATGGGATGGTTACTGTTCTGCTCAAGTGACTTTACAATACCGAGTACAAGTTCACTCTTCTGATCGCCAGTAAACTTGTGGTTGGTTACTGCAGGGTCACGCCCTTGGGTCAAGGTGCCGGTTTTGTCGAAGACGATGCAATCCAGAGAGCTGGCTTCCTGGAAAGCTTCGCCGCCACCTCGGACGAGGATTCCATGTTTAGCAGCTAAACCCCCACCAACGAATAGTGCAGTTGGTGCGGCAAGTCCGATGCCACAGGGGCAAGCGATGACAAAGACGGCAATAGCAAAGCGTAGTGACCAAAGCTCCCAGCCTCCAGCACTCTTGCTCTTCCAGTCGCTGGGAATAACCCCCGTCTTGCCGAGAACCAGCCAGATAAGCCATGTGATAATAGCAACGGCGATTACAAAGGGCACAAAGTGCGAGGTGATTTTGTCTGCAACTCTTTCGACCGGTGCGCGGTGGGACTGTCCTTCTCGTACAGCATTGATGATTTGATCCAGCATTGACGTACCTGACACAGTCGTAACCCTGATCTTTACCGGTGCCCCCTTGTTTACAGTACCCGAGAATACGGTGTCACCTTCCCCTTTCTTGACTGGTCGCGATTCACCTGTCAAGCTCGATTCGTCGAAATTCGAATAGCCTTCGATGATGTCGCCGTCGAATGGTGGCGAGGTACCGTTGTGAACACGAACGGTATCACCAATTTCTAGAAAATCGGTAACGACCTTGATATCGCCGTTCTCCGCGTCGACCAAAACAGCCTCGTTCGGACGTAGCTTACCGAGGGAGGTGACGGCATCACCAGTCTTTGCCTTGCTGTAGGCTTCCAGAAACTTACCAACAAGCAAGAACATGGTCAGGAAAACCACGGCATCGAAGTAGGAGTCGTCCAGGGAGCCTTCTGATATCTTTGTGGCAGCCATGATGAGCTCGGCAATTGAAGCAGTATACGCAATGGTTGTTCCAAGAGAGATGAGCATGTTCATACTGCCAAATCGCGTGAAGCGATGCAAGTATGGCGTTCGGCTCCCAGGTCGCCACATGGACCTCAGTTCCTTCAGTGCGCGGCGGTGGAACGTATCCGCAGCGAGGAAGTAGATTGGTGTGGCGAGGATAAACAGGGCCCAGTTGAGTCGGGTGACGTTGCCAGCCCACATATGGCCCATGAGATACTTGCGTGTAGGATTCTTGGGGCTGACCAGGCTCATGTAGACGATACCAAGGACGAATGTGGGTATAGCAACAACAACGCAGAGTACAAGGCGGTACAAGATACGTGTCCGCTCTTGCGCAAGCATTTTCCGGGCTCGCTCTTCGAGAGTAGGAGGATGGAATATCGAAGGGCTGAATTCTGTGTTGAGACTTTTGATAACTGCGAGGATGCTTCGCATTGTGAATTCAGGAGGCGATGGCACGTATCGGATATGTAAGATGGGTTGTTGAAGTGACATTGGTGGGTCCTCAATACAGAAAGTGTCCTGGTTGGCGAATGCTTCCCGTAATCCCCTGGTGATGATTTCAGGGCAATGGTTACAGAACATGCCATCTATACGGAGTGCGACTGATCGATCGGTAGTTTCCGTGGCCTCAGTGCCATTCTGGGTGACCTGGTTGAGCGTGGCGGTGTATCCGACATCTTCAATACTCTGCTTGATCTCTGGCAAATGTTGTTTACCCTTGAATACGACAGTTGCACTATTCGAGATGAGGTTGACGTCGACCTTATCGATCCATTTGTGGGGTTTCAACGCCTGAGTAACGTTGCCAACGCAAGAGGAGCATGTCATGCCGCCGATGAAATATGATGCATGCCACCTCGCCGTTTGTTGTTTCGACAATGTTGTCGTTCCGGACCATTTGCTTTGAACTTCTTCCAGTTGATCCACTGAGACCTCGAATCCACAGTCTTCGACAGTCTCAATCAGCTCGTCACACTTCTCTTTGCCAGTGAAGACGACTGTTGCGCTGTTTGTCAAGAGATTGACATTGACCGACTGCACCCATGGATCTCCTTGGACTGCGTGAGTGATAGTAGATACGCATGAGCTGCAAGTCATTCCGGTGATAGCCAACGTAGCTTTGTAAGCCCTCTGAGTCGTCGGCGATATGACAGTGGCAAGATTCTCAACACTAGACGACTTGGCTTTGAGCGAGCTGGCATGCTGTGAAGCAGAGAGAGGCATGATGATGAGGATGAGGATGATGGTGATAGAGGCAGATGCTACCTAGGTAATGCGCTGGTGTTGAGTGCTCGCTTGATGAGGTTGTTTGTCGCTCTTGCTTATCGTAGAAATAGAGTAAGAGTAATAGATGCTAGTGTACCGGCATTGGATGCCTGTGAGGAAGCTGCGTTGTGTGTGTTCTCACTTGAATTTGAAATCTCTAGTTATATACTGTAGTGACCCAAAAGGGCTACGGTACGCAGAAATACCGCTCCGCACAAATATCGCATCGCACAAACTCCGCAAGCAAACGAAATCATGGAAACCATGTGGCGAATATAAGCCTTGGGTTCAATTGGGTCACACTCTGGGATCTTAATCTAGCCCAATCTCGCTACGGGGAACGCTTGACGACAGCAAATGATTACAGTAATGCCTTGTATGGTGTGCGCATTTGCTATATGAGTCATGTGGCACGAGGCCCAAACCCATCGTATACACAACTCGTACACGACACGAAGGCAGTCGCCTTTAGTCATCAACCATTCTGGCTTACTTTTTATGCTGGACTTGTGGACACTCACTAACTACATGAGCGATGAACTCTGTGCTGCATCACTAAGTGCGTATCGTAGGGGGTGGGCCACTTTCTTTGGAATATCAGATCCGATCCTGCCTGGGTTAATCATGGGATAAATGCTAGCGGAGTTTGGCTGCGAGGACTCGACGACTTGGAAACTAGAGGAATGTTATGAGGACAGTGAGGGCATGAGGCGACTTCGCGACCGCAGGCCGACTTGCTCCGTGTATGTAAGAAATCCAGGCGGGGCAAATACTTTGGGTCACGGTGGTATTTGTGGGTTTGAATATGCAGGAGGTCAAACGTTTTCCTTAGTTGTTTGGTGATCGATATGTCATCGACGTGGTAATGACGCGAGGCCGAAAAGGTTGTTTCAGCAACGATGCAGGCATCCAGCCATGGCCTGAGGTAAAGCATGAGACAGAATCAACATCGCACCCACGTCTTAGCAGATCAGCGTTCGTCCCAACATGGGCTGGAGATGATACGTATGCGGGTGTTCGCGACGGCTTAGCAATGCTAGTGTTTTGATCGAACAAACTCAGCCTAGTAAGGTAGTCGGGATTTCTGCGCTCGGGCGCCACTCGGCTTGTTAACTACGCGCAACCGCGAACCGTGACACCGCAATTCAACTTTCGTCTTCACCAACACGGCACAGACTTTTTTTTTTCGCCCCCTTTCTCGCGGCGTGGCTTTCGCGACTATATAACAAGGCCTCAACGCCTTGCGCTGCATCAATCACAAATCCAGCAACTGCCGGAAAGAGCGCCGATTGCGCTCCGATACTGCCGAGATGGGGCTCTCCAAGTCGACGCGGATTATGATACTACTGGGGATTGACACTGCCTTCTTCTTCGTTGAGCTGATTGCGGGTTATACGGTGCATTCTCTCGCTCTGGTCGCCGACTCCTTTCACATGGTATGAAGATGTGTCAACGTCAATTCTGTTGGGTGGATGCTGACAGTAAGCGCAGTTAAATGATGTAATATCCCTCTTGGTCGGACTATGGGCCGTCAAGGTCGCCAGCCAAAAGACCAACTCCAAGACATACACGTACGGGGTAAGTAACGCTACCGGACGTATATATTGTACTGTTGCTAACAAAAAAAATAGTGGCAACGCGCCGAAACTCTGGGTGCCTTGATCAACGGCGTCTTCCTCGTCGCACTATGCCTTTCCATCTTCCTCGAAGCGATTCAGCGATTTGTTGAGCCACAAGAAGTCTCGCATCCTGTCATCATTCTTATCGTCGGTTCTTGCGGCCTCCTATCGAACATTGTTGGCCTCTTCCTTTTCCACGACCACGGTCACAGCCACGGCGGTCACTCACACGGACACGACGCACATTCACATGCCGAGGAGGGACACTCTCACGGTGTAGATGCACACGATCATGAAGTGGCGGATGAGAGGGGTAATGTGGCGGATGTGCTACCTCAAAACCGCATCGGCTTCCCCTCGAACCTGACGCAGAGCCCCACCAAGAATGGAGCATCGCCTTCTCCCAATGCCGACAGGCGCCGATCCTCTATCTCCAAGAAGAACAAGCGCCACAGCAGGTCCCAATCACGGACATATGCCACTCTGGACGAAATCTACGTACACCCTTCCTCTTTCAGGAACAGCATCATAGAATCATCTAGACTACACGACGAGGAGGCTGATGACGAGGACAACAACACACCGGACGAAGAACCGACTGAGCAAACGTCGTTGTTGGGCCAGTCTAAAAGCAACGGCTCCCACGGTCATTCACACGCACACGGCAAGCCAGCAAAGAACGATCAGCACAAGGACCACAAGCACAACCAGCCCAGGGAACAAGCATCTGGTGGCGGCCATGGACACTCTCACGCTGACCTAAACATGCGTGGTGTCTTTCTGCATGTCATGGGAGATGCTCTTGGTAACATTGGTGTCATTGCAACTGCCCTATTCATCTGGCTTACCGACTACTCGTGGAGGATGTATGCTGACCCCGCCGTGTCTCTCCTGATCACCGTCATCATCCTTCTCTCTGCATTGCCATTGTGCAAGGCGGCATCTCGTATCCTGCTCCAGGCCGTCCCGGAGAACATGTCGATTGACGATATTACCGACGACATCACGGACCTTGACGGTATCATCTCTTGCCATCATCTCCATGTCTGGCAACTGTCTGATACCAAGCTTGTTGCCTCGCTGCACGTTCAGGTCAACTTTGACTTCAAGGATGAGGGCTCAGCACGCTACATGGATCTTGCACGCCAGATCCGCGAATGCCTTCACCAATATGGTATTCACTCTTCCACGATCCAGCCCGAGTTCTGCCTCAACGCCAGCCATGATCACTCAGCGCAGGCTTCTGATGAGAGTGGCACCGAAGATGGTGGTCGCATCAGCAAGAACCCCAGTGTCAAGGGCGCGGCTGATTCGTGTCTCCTCGAGTGTCCGGACAGCTGCGGCGGAAACAAGCAGTGCTGTGAGCCTGGCACTACTGGCCCCAACACGTCCTCGTAAGAGTCACTGACTTTGAATTCTTTGCATGGAGTCTTGTTTGCACCGTATTTATGAGTTTGTGTTGATAGTACCCGGACATGTATTTGTGTCGACGTATTCTTTGTTATGGGTTGGTCTCGTTGGAAAAGCATGGGCGGATGTCTGTTTGTTAGCATACCAGTATGGATCAAATATAGGAGGAAAGCTGGTGACATAGAGCAGTTTAATATAATCTACAAAGTTGACGTCAAGAATATTCCAAAGCACAACCCAAGCTCGAATCACAAGGCTCGTATTCTTATCTTTCCATGCGCATGCAGTGCTACCGATTCCGCCCTTGGTCGCACCAAAGTTGCTCCGTGCTGACGGCATGGTCTTGTGGGGTTGTGGGCTGGCTAAGCGGGCAACATGTCCACTGGCACAGCCTTCCCACCCTGTCACAGGCTACAGATAACTATCAAGCATTTGCCAAGGTGATTTTGGTGGAGTTTATACGGGCACTAGAAGACGCAGCTTCCAGATACGTGGTTGCCCTTGGTCTATCACGGCGAGAAAGCCCGTCCACAGCATGCAGTGCAGGCTTCTGGAAGGGCTCGGATGGGATATTGATAGAGCGCTTAATCGAGGATGCGGCCGGGGTTAAGGCGGGGATTGCGCTTAAGGACGGGATTTGGGGTTTTGTTGCGACCACGACCGCGCCGCTGACACGGGCAATGGCTGCAGGCGAGAAAGCTTAGATTACGCCTGCCGCTCTGGGCACGACTTAGCGATGCGGGCATACGTGTGTGGATGTGGTTGTTAATATTGGTGGTGGGGTTGGACGGGCGGAAACGAGGTAAAGAGGGATGCGGAGGAGCAAGGCTGACACTGTCACAATCACGCTATACAACCGAGGAGATTGAGGCAGTGGTAGGCACGACGTTGTTGTACCATGGTTGAAGCAGTATGTAGACGAGTTGTTCATAGCAAGGGCCTTGGCTATCGGGTTGCGTCTTTGTTCCGCTTGATTCTCGCTAATGCTATCACTACACTACTTACGCTACAGACGAAACAAAGACGACACCTCCATCTTCTCCACCACCAAAGCCGGTCACGGATTAAATCCCGCTCAATAGGCGCGCCTTGCGGATCGTCAAGCGGTGGTTGGTCATGGCGTGGCGAAAGCGCCCTGACTGAGCGTATTCATGTTTAGGCGAGATGACCGGATTCGAAGAACTGCAGCTCCACAGCGGGAGAGATTCTGGCTCGTCCGCGCCGCTGTCTTGTGTAAGAAGCTTATCTCTCGGTGTGCCCCGAAGGGTACGCTTGGTGCAAAACCAGCCGAGGTCATTCGCCTCGGTCCCTGCAACGGAGAGATTAGAGACGACACTACCGTTCCTGGCCGCTCTCGGAGTATCGGAGTGGGTCGGCCAGGTAAAATTTCTTGCGACCAGAACACGTTCTGAGAGGGAAAATACTTGGTAGTAGATGGAATGGGCCGATTACTCGTTATCGTGTGCGGCGCGGATGGTGTACGGGTTTTGGGTGGCGGACAGCTGCTTACTGCCATGACTGCAGCTATGCATGCGACGTCCATACGGGAGGCATGCAGGGAACGCCTAAAGACCGAGGTATCCAACGAACCACACAACCCGCAATATCGACCAAATGGACCCGGCACTCTGGCATAGGGTGATAAAGTTGAAGGACCAGGTTCGTCCAAATCACCAACGTAAGATGACCTTGCCCAATGGCCGAAACCGGAAGGTGGTTGCATATGAGCAGCGCAACGAGCAAATCGGCTGGCTGCACGCCGAGCAGACGGTGGCGCACCTAAGTCGCCAAGGGAAGGCTTCGAGTGTCTTGACAGGGCTTTGTGACGGAGAACTACGCCCATATGGCTAGAATCCGGGCTATCAAGACGTTACATCGGCCATGGCGAGCGCTTGTGCGTGCTTAGCCCCGCCGCCCATGAGGCAGAGGCAAACGTCGAGCCAGTTGGGTTAATAAGTGAAAGGTGGGTATCGCACATGCTCAACGAGGCCGTGGGTTAAATAATGGACCTCTCTCTTTCTGCTTGACAAAGCTTCAGGTGTTTCCGGTCTTCTCTCTCTCCAGGATACACTCAACTAGGCCCTGCCTTCCATTGACCTGGTCTTTGGTTGCGATTGAGCCCTGCAGCTATGGCTACCGCTCATGAGACTACTGCGTATGTACTCGGCTCCGCCAACTCTGGGCCTACACCTTGTTAACACTGTGAATAGCGCCGAGGCACTCCAGCATGGTCAAGAGGTCGCTGATCACAAGCCTCACCTGTACGGCGCCACAGTCAACGACGACAATGTCGCCGGCGCGCACGTCACCCTCGAGAAGGAACATGGTGCTGCTGCTTCCAGTTCCGACTCTGTCTCCGTCGTCGTAGAAGAGGATGGTATTGGCGGTATCAGGCCTACAGCCGAGGAGATGGCTACCCTCCGCAAGGTCGGTGAGCCTCTCCCTAAGAGTGCTTTCCTTGTCGCCATCGTCGAACTCTGCGAGCGTTTCACCTACTACGGCGCCTCTGGTATCTTCCAAAACTACATTGCGCGTCCCCGCAGCGGTGAAAATGGTCGTGGTGCGCTCGGTATGGGCCACCAGGGAGCCACTGGTCTCTCCACCTTCTTCCAGTTCTGGTGCTACGTAACTCCCATTCTCGGTGCCGTCATTGCCGATCAATACCTCGGAAAGTACAACACCATCGTCATCTTCTGCTGCGTCTACATCGTCGGTCTGCTCGTCCTCACTCTTACCTCCATTCCGACTGCTCTCGATCATGGCGCTGGTCTCGGTGGTTTCGTCGTTGCTGTCATCATTATCGGTCTCGGAACTGGTGGTATCAAGTCTAACGTTGCGCCTTTGATTGCCGATCAGTACAAGAGGAGACAGATGGTTATTGGCAAGGATGACAAGACTGGCGAGCGCGTCATCATCGACCCTGCGATTACCATTCAGAGGATTTACATGGTAAGCAATATCAAGTCCTGTCCGCTGCGAACTATCGCTTACTCTCGCAGATCTTTTACTGGTGCATCAATGCTGGATCTCTGTCCCTGCTGGCTACCCCCTACATGGAGCGTGATATCGACTTCTGGTCAGCCTACCTCCTGTGTCTCTGCGTCTTCTTCGTCGGTCTCCTGGTTCTCGTTCTCGGCCGCAAAGTCTACGTTGTCCGACCGCCTCAAGGATCGATCATCACTGACGCCTTCCGCGCCATGTGGATGATGATCAAGTCCCGCAAACTCGATGCTGCTAAGCCTTCTTACCAAGCCGCTCTTGGCAAGAATGCTGTTCTCCCATGGGACGACCACTTCGTCGAGGAGCTAAAGCGTGCTCTTATTGCTTGCCAGGTCTTCTGCTTCTACCCCATCTACTGGGTCGTATACGGTAACTTCTCCAACAACTTCGTCACTCAGGCTGGTCAGATGCGTGGCCATGGAATCCCCAACGATTTGATGCAGAACTTCGACCCTATTGCCATTATCGTCTTTCTGCCAGTTGTGGACCAGTGGCTGATGCCCATGCTCCGCAAGCACAAGATTCCGTTCCCTCCGATCAACCGTATTGTAGCTGGTTTCTGGCTCGGCTCCCTGGCCATGGTCTACGCCTGTGTCATCCAATACTACATCTACAAAGCCGGACCTTGCTACGGTAAGCCTCTCTGCGACGCCGACATGATCAATGGTGTGCACCAGGGCAACAACATCCACATTGCCGCGCAAACCGGTGCCTACATGCTCATCGGTATCTCTGAGATCTTCGCCTCCGTCACTGGTCTTGAGTACGCGTACACCAAAGCACCTCCTAGCATGAAGTCCTTTGTCCAGTCCATGTACCTACTCACCAACGCTTTCGGATCCGCCATCTCCGAGGCTTTCAACCCCGTTCTCTACGACCCGGCGATTGAGTACCTGTTTGCTGGTCTCGCGGGTGCGTCGTTCATTGCCGGATGCCTTATCTGGGTCTTGTTCCACCACCTCAACGCCGAGGAGGACCAGATGAACATGTTGGATGAGGACTACGACAAGGACCCGACACTCAGGAGGTCTAGTGTGCAAGGCAACCGTACCGTCGGTGTGCACCATGAGATTGATGAGAAGGCATAGATAATTGTGTCTGTCTTCATGGAACGACATATTGGGGAAATGAAGTGTAAATGTGTCTTTTAGTGGCTAGCTATGATACCAAAGATGAATATTCAATCGTTTTCGATCTTCAATCACCCTTTCCGGAAATTTGCAGCCTGTGAATTAGTATGTCGTAGGACCGAAAGGTTCAAATGTTTACCAAAGATCTGAAATGTTGTAGTACATAAATTTAGTCTAACTGTTAAGAATATGTTAGGTTCAGTCCAGGTCGGCGAGGTGAGGTTCGTGGAGTAAGCCCGAGCAGAAGGACCGACGCGGAATGATGATCTGTCATGTACGTCCTAAGATCATCATAACAACAAGTAGATAGAACAATAGCTCTTAGTGAAGTTCAATCCAATACAGGGTTACCTTTCGTACCTCTACTCGGTCGCCTATGGTAGTCATACCACCAGAGGAGACCTTGTTCTAACACTAACTTAGATATTATTTTCTCGAAAGTCGCCTCTTTCAGCATAGGGGCGGCTCACGGATGGAAAGCTTAGTCTGCTAGTTTACCCCCTAATCCAGTTCACCTGCTTAAACAACCTGAAACGATTACAACAAAAAATGCATCCTCGGCATCGCACGTCTGTGAACGCAGGGTCGCGCGACCTCGGGAGTCCACAACCTCAACCTGCTTAGCCCGCAACAACGCTAACCTAGCCAGCCCCACATCCACAGCTGAGACCCCATGCCCATCACACCATTGGTCTCCTCATCCCTCCACGAACACTCGTAAAAGAAAGAACGCGTGACGATGCGAAACCTGGTTTGTGCAGAGCTCGTCCTGGGGAAATACGCCTAGGAACGCACAGTCAGTCTCCTAGTTCATCAGCAAAAGTCGCGCGCGCGCTCCTTCCCCCTGTGCCGTCATGGTTGACGTTTGTGTACCGGAGAACAACAATGTGTACCTAGCACACAATACACCGCTCCGTAAAATACGAAGACACGGCAAGTGCATGAAGAGCGGTGTCTACCAAGGTAGGTCGACGGCTGCGAAAGACATTTCCCAGCCTCGGCGACGTCGTCGACGTTCTATTTTAAGCAACAAATCTTGGATTCAACATGCGGCCACCTTCTAGATACGTCCTAGGTCCGCTGCTTCGTCATGAGGTCTAGGCTGCTTCGGTAGGCGGGCGGCCCTGCCCCCGTTGTAGATCAATAGTTTTTGTTTTTTCTGTGCGTCTAGCTAACTACTGTTTTAAGAATGTTTTGTTCGTATTCTTTTGTTTGCCTTGCTGTGTTGCCTTGGACGAAATACGAAAGGGCTAGGGGATCGACACGTCATCTGGACTTGATTAAATAAAAGCTGAAAGGCGCTTGCTTAGGAAGCTTGATGGTTTAGCCCTGTTTGTCTTACTTTACTTGCCTGGCGTATTGTTTTATCTTTAATTTAATTTCGTGCTCTCTTGAGATCGAGCATCATCAACACCAACAATAAAACGTTGATTAGACAACCTACAAACTCAATCTACAAAACGCAAAAATGTCCATGGAAATGTCTACCCCAACAGCAACATCAACTCCTACCTCGGCGATATCCTACACTTACACAACTTACACAAACTCCTCCCCAACCCCCTTCCGTAAACCAACAATCATCCCCTCCAGCTTCCCCTTCGGCGGCGCCCCAGGCTGCTCCTCGCTGCCTTCCCTCCCAACCGACACACCGCTGCCCTCAAACTACCCCGTCGACCGGCCATCTGCCGCCAAGCCGGGCTGCGTCATCAGCAATGACGCTGATGTAAACGACCACGCATTCTGGGACCTGTACGAGTGCTGTACCTGGGGTGACATGGGGGTGCTGGGTATGCCGCTGCCGTGCACGGCGGTGTGCGTGATAGAAAGTGGAGATGAGCAGACGCTGAGGCGTCTGGGAGAGTGTTTGAGTAAGAGGGTGGGCGTGGTTGTTTGTAGTGATCGGGAAAGGATGAACGAGACTGAGAGCAGTAGCAGTAGCAGTTCGGTGGGGGAGACGTCGACGTCGATGGCGGCGAGTGGGACTGCGAGTTTGAGCGCGAGTTTGAGTGGGGGGGCTACCGCGAGTGCAGCGACGGGTGGTGCGGGTAAGGGTGTTGGTGTACAGAGAGGTGATGTTTCAAGAGCTGGAGTGATGGTTTTTGGTATCTTAGCTTTGGCATCGGCGGTGGGTATGTTGCTGTAAGGATGAAGTGATGGGATAGTTAATACAGCACACTGTAATAGATAATTTGAGCTGGGAATCAAAACACATCACACACATCACAGCACTCAACGACACACAGGTTCATGGGGTTATAATCTTCATCTATTTATCCTCGAGATGAATGCATGAGGGAGGACGCGGTAGCATTAAGACCCCATTACCAAACTGCAGTTCAGCAAAATGTCGCCCTTCTTCAGGGTTTCCACCGAACGTCCTCTGTTCTTCCATCAAAGCAATGTAAACGGGTCATGCCGTTTGGCTGTGAACACAGTAGGTACATTGTAGGAATGGAAACTTCACCTTTCCATCCACTTCTCTCTCTCTCCGTTTGCTTCAGATTAGCTATCTTGTTTGGCTAGTTGTGAAGCGCTTGGACAGTACGCAAGCGTTTAGAACTGGTTGATATGCGCTTGTGGGGGGATGGCGGGGGAGATGGGAAACCCGGAGGGTTTGGGGATGAGTGAGAGGGAAGGTGGTGTGGAAGAGGAAAGGGAAGACGAGGAGGCCGAGGAGGTCGAAGTTGTGACGGGACCCAAGGACATGCGTTTGGGGTTACTCACGCGCGGAGTGCTCTTGGACGCGTGTCGGACTGTGAGATAGTCACGATATTTCGTTTCTGTGGTTAGGTTTGGGGACCGGGCAACCTCAGAAATAACACACAAGAACTTCCGCAGCTTTAGCGGCGGTAATCTCGGCGCCGGTGGACGAGGTAGTGGTAGAAGTAGTGCGGAGGCCGAAGGGGTCAAGCGAGGTATAGGACGAGGAGGATGAGGATGAGAACGAGGATGAGGAAGGGGAGGTCAAGGTCAAGGTAGTGACCGAGCGCTTGATAACAGAATTGTCTTCATCGATATCTTAGGGAGGGGGGCCGCATTCGCCGAATCTTGTAATGGGTTTCCCATATTCGTCGTATTCTTTAGGGTCGACACCATCATTCCAGAATCCTCAGTCCTCGGTTTTGTTTTCGTAGCATTCCCTCCACTCCCAGTAGTCAATTTCGCCCTTCTTATCCTTCTTCTCTCTGTTGGCCGCGACTGCAACCACCATAACCAAGTGAATGAGGGTAGACAACTGCATGATTGACGATATAGCAGTTTCTGAGCGTGGATGGGTAAGAGGAGTATAGACTGTAAAAACTCGAAGGATCTTGTTTATTCTGAGAGCTTGATCAGAGAAGAGGGGAGTGAAGCACGATATTTATGTTCCTCTGAGAGTATTATCTCTCCGAGGGAAAAGATATGGCTACACACACAATGCAGCCGCCGTAGTGTAATGAAATGAGGAACTCGTGTTGAAGAATGATCCTGCAGACCTATTTTCTGGTGTACCATGGTTGAACTAAAACACTACTATAGAACGCGACATTATGAGCTAACAACGTTCTTAGAAAATTTAAAAAATAACATAGTTGTAATGAGTACGTCGAGAGTTGGACTCATCGTTACCCCGCATACGATGATCCGAAAAGATCATGTTGAAATGAGGAACTTTGGTCCATACCTCACCTCAACAAGTATGCACATCCCCAACTTCTCATCACTTCATCAGTCCTCGTATCTAACGCTTAGACATCTCTCCAAGACACTCCGACAGGCACTAACCCACCCACAATTTCCGCTCTTGCCTGGTACGCTTTCACGAATCCCGCCATATCTTCCATATCCTCCCTGAGAATTGCCACGTTTTGCTTCGCCATCAGTAATACAGCATCGAGCTCTCTCGTTCTGAGCAATCTCTGCGTAGATCTACTAGATGACAACATCCGAGCCACGTAACCTCTGGGCATGCTATCTCCCAATAACTGCAAATCTGAAGCTAAAGTCGACTTCCTACAGGAGAAGATGCGAGATAGGGAACTGCGATTCGACTCCCGCTGTTTTTGGATATCGATCAGCGTGCTCCAGAGCTCCCATTCCCGCTCCCAACATCCATTGAGTAGCTTGGTACCAAAATCTACAATCTGCTTGAGGGTGGTGATCTCGTCGTCTAGATCCCCAGCCTTGGTGTTTAGCTCACCAATTTGCGATTCTTTTTGCGCAAGCCATGCAGTCATGCGGGGAATGAGGTCCTCTTCAAGGCCTGTGACGCGGTCCTGCAGACCATAAACAGTACTGTGCAGTTTTCCAATAAGACGACCATGCATGGGATTTGGGGAAGTTGCATTGCTAGGCGGCACTAATGCAGAAAGAGCCGAAGATTGTGCGGGTGCCGATCTGCCGACGATCTCTGCATGTAGGTCGAGTTCGGAAGACGTCAGGATGGTAGAGAGGAGACTAGAAACACGGCTTGGAACGTGGTCGGGAGGCAGTGGTTGGTGCTGACCAAAGCTGGAGTCGCTGGAACTCGAAGGCGGGTAATAGTTTGCTGGAACACCATTTGGCAGCTGACCATGGCGTAGATCCTGGCCCCCTCTAAGGGCCAAAGGCCAGTTCATAGTCGTATCATCATCCGAAGTTGGTAGATTATAGTATCCGGAACTAACGTTGTTCGGCAGGAGCTCATGTTGATGTTGGTTCTCGCTATGTGCCGCTGACCGTATTGCAAAAACCTGTTCATCAGGCATACGATCAGAGAACGAATTCTCCGCAACAAGATGACTGAAGTTCGGTACAAGATCACTATCGACTGCAGAAACTGGTTGATTCTGCACGCACTTTGCGACGTTAGTTGTAGAGCTACGCTCCACTTTTTCTCGGACTGCCGCCCTCATCTCTGGATTGACCGACTCATTTTTAAGACTGCGCTTCAATGCTATGTCCGAGGTCAGTATCTCGGGCTCTTTGGACCCATGCAGCGAAGTGAACGGAGGATGGCTTGGTGGCTGATCTGGAGCTTGGACGAAAAGAGGGATATCTTTGGCCGATAGGCGAGACTTTTCATCACCTTTTACTGTGGGAATGCATGTTTTAGGTACTGCTACGGGTTTCGGTGGAGCTGGGGTAGTGGATGTTGGGCCTGCAGGTCGATCACTTTCCCGATCGCAATACACTTGTACGGAATACTCCGAGGGAAAGTCCATGAACACATCCCATTCCTGTAAGCCGGGCGTGATGGGTCCCCTCGGAGGCGAAGATGCCCTCGGAACTGATGGAGATCGCTTTGGAAGTTCGAAACGCATGACGGCGGGATTTTCGACATGTCGCTCCCCTATGTTCTTACCGTTCCGCTCCTCCCATCGCCTCAGGTTGTCTGCATTCTGTGAAGCTGTCAAGTGTTCACTCGGCACCGGTCTCGGCGGTGGATTTACTCCACTTGTTGCGTTGAGGCGCCGGAATGGGGTTCTATGAACCTCCTGCCTAAGATGACCACCGGGCGGGCCGGCGTATATCGGCTCCACATCCGATGCCAACATGATGCTGTTGTAGTATAGATCCTCCTTTGGATACATGAGACCCTTGTAAGGACCTCTGTCGATGATTACAGGGAGTTCGTCGGGTGAGCTGGGCCTTCTAGGCACAGCGCGTCCGTCGTCCAAGTCATTCTCGATCTTATCCGAGGCTTTTTGCTTCTCTCGTTCGCGCTGTCTCTCCAGTTGTTGAGGTGTAGGCGAGGGCTCATCGATCCTGTAAAAATGAATCGGGCGGCGGAGCGGGTGCCTTAATCGTCGGAGGAAGGGAAGCATATTGTACGCTAAGAGGACCAAGTTCGAAGTTTTGAGTGCTAGAGTATCTCAGTTGGTTTGGGTATCGCGACTGGGTGGTTGACGGTGCGTTGATATGCTATGCGTTTGACATGGCCATGTGTTCATTGTGACAAAGGGCCGTTTGTGATTGTGCTGGTCGAAGGTTCGCTTCACAGACAATCACAGGGCTGTGAGTAACCACGAAGTCGACATGCAGACGACCTCACTGCCGAAGATACACCGGGGCTAGAAGGAATTGTGGAATTCTCCAAACAGAGGTGTAGTCATAGGAGGGAAGAGTTCCATGATAATTGTGATCTTAGAAAGCAACAGTGCCGACGTCGTTGAATAAAACTACTCTAATATGCTCCATTAAGCCAATCCCTGTGAAGACAAGATTGTTGTTCCGGGTATGCAACAATCGTAAATGCGCCATGGTATAAGATGAATCCACTCCATGGCTATGCAGTCGCAGGAATGCAACAAAACGCCCCCATGCCGTAATCGTAAACCGTAACGCCAGGTATCCCTAGAACTTCCTCTTCATTTTAGCTGCCATAGCCGCCAGCTTCTTCTTGCGTTCTTCTTTCAACTTCTTCAGCCTGTTTTCTTCAGCTAGTGCTTCTGCATCCTCTTTCTTTGCAACCTTGAGTGCCAGCTGCTCCTCCTCTTCGACATCCCAGACACCTCCTTCCATGTCAGAGGAGGCGTCAGACGCATAGTCTTCTTCTTCGTCGTCCATGTCGTCGAGATCATCCCAGTCTGCGTAACCATCATAACGACCCTTGGCTGGGTTCTGTTTTTGTTTCAAAGCTGGTGTACCATTTCGACTTGAAGTTGCAGGCGCGTTGGCTGGGCGAGCAGTTCCTTTGTAGCCAACCTCGACAGGCTTCTTGGCTGGCCGTGCTGTGCCTTGATAACCCACATCGACTGCCTTCTTCTTGTCTTTTGAGGAATCGGCTTTCGGATCTATACTTCTGGAGGGGAGTGCAGTGCCGACAGCCTTCTTACCCTTTGCTCCTGCACTTGCTTCTGCCTTAAGTGCCAAGCGTTCTTTCCTTGACAAAATCTTTGTCGGCTCATGCTTGATGGGCGGAGCCAAAGGCTTCGTTGCATCCTTCTCTTTTGCCTTCTGCAGCATGGCTAGATACCCTTTTTTGGGTGCGGATGTCGAAGGGGTAGTAGAGCCGGTGGCTGCTGGTGCAGGCTTAGGAGCAGGGGCGGCAGCCTTGGGTCCGGCAGCGACAGCGCTGGATAGCTGTGTAGGCTTCCGGATAGGCGGATTCGCTGGTTTCGAAGAAGACGGTGCTGCTGTTCCCCTATACGGTACGGCTGTGGTAGGCGCGGCCGAGGCGGGTTTCGACGTGGCAGGCGACGAGGTTGCCCGGGCCGCACCGTTCGTCTGCGCGGAGGCTCCAACGGCCTCCTTCCTCTGCATCTTGCTTTGTCCGGTTTCGACTGGGCCTGATGCCTTTCGCTTCAGCTGAGGGGTCTGTGATGCGCTACTTGCCCCTCCGACTGGCCGCGGTGCCGGCCTAGGGGCACCAGGGGCAGGCGCTCGGTTTGTTGCCGTCGCCGCAGGCTTTGCGCCCGCACGGTCGATTATCGACATGATGCTGTCGAGAGACTGAGTGTCGTCAGTATATGTATGCTAGCGCGGGTGAAGCGCCGGACTCACGCTCATGGCAGGCTGCTGAGAAGGCTTTGACTCAGTGTTACCGGTCATCAAATCGATTGGAGGGCAAGTTGTACATGCTTTCCAGGTAAGAATCGCCGGTATAAATAGTCGGCGGGGAGGGGCCGCGCGCGCAGGAGGGGGCAAAGCGCACGGGACCGGTCGATTATTGAATGGGCGGGCAGCCAGAGAATGAGCGGTCGACGGCGGCGCAGACAGGTCGTTTTATACCTTGGCTTTGAGCCTAACCAGAGTTCACGTGATAAGCTGGTCATCTTGCGCTACACCACTATGGGACTAGCGCAGGCTGCATCCCACCACAACGCAATATTCGCCAAAAGCCCGAACTTTTTCTCCCGACACCCACGACGTTGAACTTGAAGATTCAGTCTCCGCCAAAACGGTACGCATTGCCCTTTGAGTCGCATACACAGCGTCGCAATACTAACAGACGCAGGTTAAATCGATTGAACTCCTGTTCCTACAAATCACCAAACCACAATCACAATGAAGCACCTCGCAGCATACCTCCTCCTCGGCCTTGGTGGCAACACCTCGCCCTCTGCCGCTGATGTCAAGGTGAGAATATCTATCAGATTTGCTAGTATGCGCAGTCTGACAGCAATAGGCCGTTCTTGAGTCCGTTGGTATTGAGGCCGACAGCGACCGCCTCGACAAGCTGATCTCCGAGCTTGAGGGCAAGGACATCAATGAGCTCATCGCCTCCGGATCCGAGAAGCTTGCTTCCGTTCCTTCTGGTGGTGCTGGTGGTGCCGCTGCTGGTGGCGCCCCCGCTGCCGGCGGCGCTGCTGAGGCTGAGGCCGCACCCGAGGCTGCCAAGGAGGAGGAGAAGGAGGAGTCTGATGACGACATGGGTTTCGGACTCTTCGACTAAGCGCTTCGCCAAACCACCTCTGTTCACGAAGTATGATCCGGCCAATCTCTCAACATTTACGAGAATCATGCGCAACGAGTTTTGGCATTTGGGGCGTGTCGAGCGCGCGACGGATGGGATATGGAGAAGTAGATTGCGGCAGCGCTTTGCTTGTTGCCTGCTAAGATACCCATAATGAAGCCATGCACCCTCAACTTTTCCGTGATCATGTAGTGATGTATGATATGTCGATGTCGTGATCGATTTTGGGGTTTGAATTGTTATGTACTTGTGTTTCAAATGTTACATTGTTTACATCCTTTCAGGGGGAGAAGAATGTAGATTTGAGTTAGTCGTAGAAAATAAATACAGCAGTAACATATGGCAAGAGGAAGAGGCTGACACTGATCTCATTCATGGATAGATGCGCAGTGATTCTATGACAGTTTTCGATTTGCAGAACCCATAACCTTCGGGTTCACTTCCACTACTTTGAATCCGAAGTTTCGTTACAAACAGGTACTCAATGTGAATATTACAATTTGCAGTTTAGTAGGCGACACTACAATCAGTATTAACGTTGTTGTCGCCGTCCACATAGTCGTCTAGCAATGGGGATGTATGTCTACAACTGCACATTCATCCAAACATGAATACAGCCTATCGATCACCACTCTACTTTGCCAGAAAGTCTCAACCCAAATCTCACATTTCATCTCGTCCTTTGTTCTTGTCGTGATGTTGCTCTGGGGTTGACCGCGGCACTAGCGCGCCAAGAGGGGCTCGCTTAGAAGCCGGGAAATGGGCACCGACAGTCAGCGAGATCCCAAAATCCATCTCGACAGATCCGACAAATACCCTCGCGACCCCAACGAAGTCCCTTTCACCAGCTACTTCGACAATCGCAAACATGGCTGACGCTGACTACGATCCCGAGGCCGCAGCTGGTACGCATTTGCCCCTTCCACGAGGCCTCCCTATAGAGTCGCGAACAGACTGGCACACATGCGACATGGTAGATCAAGGCTAACAATATACGCAGCCCTTAAGGCGAAGAGGGCGTTCCGCAAGTTCAGCTACCGCGGTGTTGACCTCGAGCAGTACGTTTCCCAATGTCCGGCGATTATGCGGAAGCGCTGGAGGATGCATACAATTGGTTGCGGTATTCTGATCGGTATACAGGCTCCTCGACCTTGGCTCTGAGGAACTCCGTGACCTCGTCCACGCCCGTGCCCGCCGCAGGTTCAACCGTGGTCTCAAGCGCAAGCCCATGGGTCTCATCAAGAAACTTAGGAAGTCCAAGCGTACGCAGCATGATCTATAATCGCGACGGAAGAATGCTAACCCCGCGCAGAGGAGGCCCGCCCCAACGAAAAGCCCGATCTTGTCAAGACTCACCTCCGTGACATGATCGTCGTCCCCGAGATGATTGGCAGCGTCATCGGTGTCTACTCCGGAAAGGAGTTCAACCAGGTCGAAATCAAGCCCGAGATGGTCGGCCACTACCTCGCAGAATTCTCCATCTCATACAGGCCAGTCAAGCACGGAAGGCCCGGTATCGGTGCCACTCACTCTTCCCGTTTCATTCCTCTCAAGTAAAGGACAGGGTCTTTGGTTGCATGGGTTCTTTCGTGGGGCGGATATGTACTTGACGACCTACAACGAATACAGGTGTTAGGTGCATTTACACTCGATGGCTGTGACGTACATCAGCGGTGACAGCGAGCATGACGATAAGGTGTAGATAGCACCATCCATGACATTCGAGATACCTCCACACACTGTCTGTTTGTTCAAGTGATGTGTGGTTGTGGAAGGTGTCAAACTGCCATGACAGAATTACTTGAAGAGTATATGACTTTACATGGCATTGAGTTTGTGATTGAGCAAAATGAAATATGTCTATGTGTAACAAATTGGGTATTATGGAACAAGGAAAGTCCAAGGACAAACGCTTTACTACCTCCCTAGACGCATCTCCACCTTTGCATAGTTGTACAATGCTCGAAGGAAGACTTGGTAGTTCACACCCTTGTTGTCTGGCAGATGGCTGTGTTGTACGTTAGCAAAGTTTCTGATTGCGAGTGTGACTTCAACTTACAATATCTCCGTCAACCTCAGCTGCCACGGCGGATAACCCTTCAGCTGTACCGTGGGGCTAAACAAGATCAACAAGTCTGGTTCGCTGGAAACGTGGTCGTTGAGCTGTGCGTCGATCAAGTCCATGTTGATTTGCTCTTCGCGGACATCGCCCTTTTGCGCCATCTCGGCCAGTGTACGTGTCAAGTCGACGATGGTGTCTCGGCCGTCGTGCTCAGAGAGTAGGAGAACAGTCAGGTGCTGACGCTCCTCCTTGGACACTTCACCATCGGAGGTAGCGGTTTGAGGGGGGGTGTTGGGCGGGGAGTAAGAGCTCAGGTGTGGTGCGCGGAGAGAGAGTGTGGGTTTACGGCGCGGTCCAAAGTAGGCTTCGAGTGTGTTCCAGATGCTGGCGTGAGTTTGGGGGAGGTAGTTTTTCAGTACGCCTTGTTACTGTTAGCAGCTGAGCTTCACATTCGCCAGTGAAGAAGCCTACCAGTGCGCTCATAGACACTCAACAGTGGAATACCGGCACTCGCTGCCCAGGCCGCAATCTCGCAGACGTCGTTTACCAAGCCTTCCAGACCAGCTGTACCTTGGCTACCGTCATCCTCTTGGTACTCGACTATGACACTGAGATGTCTTGGTAGTTTGTCCAGGTCCTTAACATCGTGCGCTATGAATTCCGGCGTACGGTGGTGGTATTTTAACAGGGAGACGACCTTTCCTCGAACGAGCCGGTAGGCGCGGCGGAAGCGAAAGAAGATACTGAATATCAGGGCAACGACGTGGTAGATAGCAAAGTAGAGGAACGACCTGACTGGGCCGGTAAGTGGTTTACGATGTTTCTGAGATGCGCGTTGGCGGCGGTCGCGAAGCGCCTTCTTCTTCTGTGCCTGGGCTTCGCTGTCGGAGGGGTCCGAGGGGAGGAATGGCTTGAGAAGTTCTTCGCGCTGCTGGACGGAAAGCTGCTTGCTCCGTCTGAAGGCGGCCTCTTGCACAGGCGTCAGGCCCGTGGTTGCCATTGCGAACCGTGTGTTTGGTGATAGGAGACAAAATGCCGTGGGCTGTCAGTGTGCAGACACGGGGGACCAAGGAAATTAGTGGTGAACAGAGGAAAGAAGATACGGGGCTTGGGTTAGCTGGCCATGGTTGGGGAAGGTGCGATCATGAAATAACCCAGTGAGGCTGGTGCATGTGCATACGTGTGGCGGCCGTTGCTTCCGAGCGTAAGCCAAGTACGGACGCGCATTTCAGGCTTGCTCCGCCATGCCATATGGCGCCATTACGTGGAAGCTGTCGCAAGTCATTTGAGGCTGTAGTAAGCCTCGACGCGCTTGTAGAGGGTGTTTACAATAGACATTGTCTCTAGCAGGTTATTGCGCATGAGGTCACCCGTACTTTGCTAGGCTGGGGCTGCTGCGACTTGCGGACCGGGGACCGAGGCGTGGGGTGCGACAAGCCACAGTCGCGACTTGGATAGCAGATCGCCAGGTGCACGTATAGTTACGCATACGAGGGGATTTTTGCTCGCTACCCTATACAGACCGGGACTATGATTCGGTAGCAAAGCTCCAAAACTTCATGCTGCGGGACAATCTCAAAACACCAGCGTGAAGCTGCCTCAGGTGTTCATGGGCAGCAACTGCCCAGCTGGAACCACGATTGACGCCCGTAATATCTGAATGATACCCAGTGCCCAAATTCGGCGTGCGCCTTTCTTCTCACAATCATGCAGCGCGTAAGCTCCGACGGCGCATCTGTTCTCACCCATCAGACATCGAGGAATTCGATACGCGCGCCACAGTTCACCCTGGAGAAGTTTACGGTAAGCTACTCTCTAGCTCACGGCGCTCACTGTGTTGACTCGTGCAGAGTAAGGACTTTTTAGTTAAAGACTTCATCGAAGACCTCTCCCAGGCTGCCGTACCAGCGACGCGTAGATCTGGAGGAGCCGGCGGCCAGCAGACATTCGATCCGAAGCCGCTCATTCGAACCTTTGAACATGCTCTCACCAGGCTCAACGGTCTATCAGAGGACTTGGAGGAGAAGGAGACGGACCTGTCAGGAGCAGTACGGAGGGCAGAGCTACAACACAACCAGAATGTCGAGTCGCTAGGCAGAAGGCTAGAGCAGGCCATGGACAGATTCCAGAGGTTAGACAGCTCGCTGAACGGCGGTGATGAGGGGGGATCAGATGGCGGGGGCAACGTTGCCATGCGCATAGGAGAACGACTCGAAGAGCTTGATCGCCAACGGAAAAGGGCTCTAGACGCAAAGTTTTTGATTGAATGCTGGCAAGAAGTCAGCGAACGGGGCGAGCTTATGATCCTCGAAGATCAACGCAAGAACGGCGATATCGTACGCTGCGCCGAAATCGCGCGTCAATTGCTGCGCATCAGCACACGGCTGGACCCAGATGGCGGCCAGCGGGTCAGCGGCGAGGCACAGAACGGCGTCAAGAGGAGGACATTGTACCAATCCAGACACAACACCAAAGAGGTGATTGAGAAGTTTCTGGAGAATCTGGAGCAAGATCTTCTCAGCAAGTTTCAGGAATGCTATGCGCGTCCAAACTATCCTGGGATGCGCGACTGTGCCATTGCTCTCAAGGGCTTCAACGACGGAGCTAGTGTCATTGGTACCTACGTCAACCAGCATTCATTCTTCATCGATCGCATGCAGATGAATGGCGAAGACCTTGGCACCGATCTGGAGACTTGGGATCGCCTCCAGGATCCCGATGCGGAGCCACCTGGTGTTGAGCCTACACTACAGTCTTTGATTGACGAAGTCAAGATCGTCGTTCAAGAGGAATCAAGCATCATCAAACGCGCTTTCCCATACTACGAAGAGGTGCTGATCAAGTTCCTGGAACGCATCTTTCAGCAGTCGATACAGAGCCGATTGGAGATGGTGTTAGACAAAGCAGGTGAACTATCATCACTCGCCTTCCTGCGTTCACTACAGGCTTCTAGAGGTTACCTCACTCAGCTGGTAGAAGATTTGAAGACACATGGCTTGACGGAGCATCCAGATCCTGCTACATCGGCGGTTGCAGCTACACTTGATCAGCAACTGGAAGAATTGTTCTCGTCTTACTTCATCGGAGAAAAGTACATCGAACGAGAGAAGAAGAACCTTGAGGAGCTGTACTCTTCGTTGCTCCTCAAGTTTACCATCTACCACTCGCGGCGGAGTAAGATGCCCACTTCGTACTTTGGGTCCCTTGCACAGCGAGGCAAAGAGCTGGCAGCGTCTGCTCGTGACAGGTACATGGAACGCTTAGAAAGTACCGAGTTACCTGCGACTCAAAAAGCCACACTTCTCCGTATTGCTGGGTTGAAGGAAGACCAGCAGGAGAAGAAAGATATCGAAGTGACAGACGAGGATGGTAGACTGTCTCTCCCAGTCGCCAAGCGTATGTTGAAGTGGTTAGCAGAAGGTGTAGGGCGAGGACTCGAGTTGTCTCCTGGTAACGAGACGCCAAAAGACGTGCAGATTCTCCTTAACCTCCTCCTACGGCAAATGGGCGAGATCTATCTGGAGACGGCATTAGAAGCGTAAGTAGTGTCTAGTCCTTCCAACCTGACACACCAGGCTAACATTTCATAGTGCACAAGACCATGCCGCTGCGCAGGAGAACTCCAAAACACCACCCGACCTCACCCACCTCCCTTCTCTACATGCCATCACCACAATCCTACATCTTCTCCAACAAACCACCACTACTATTCTATTGCCCTTGTGCACGCCCAACCTCACCATCCGCCGCGAGATCGAAAAATTAACAAGCCTCACAATGGCAACGCTCGAATCAAAACTCTCTAACATCCTCAATCTCACACTAACCGCCTCGCTCAATTGGGTCAGCAGATGCCTCTCTCAACAAAAGAAGACTGACTTCCGACCCAAAGAGGACGACCTCATGGTAACCAGCGAAACCCAAGCCTGCCGTGACGCCTCGGCCTTCCTCACACGCGTCGCTGCACAGGCCACATCCGCCCTCTCAGGCCGCAACCTTTCCCTCTTCCTCGCCGAGCTAGCACGAGGCTTACGTTCCCTTGTCCTATCACATCTCCTGAAATTCACAATTTCCCAGGTCGGCGGTCTCAGCGTCTCAAAGGACATGAATCGCTATGTGGAGCTTGTGAGGGCATGGCCAACAGGTGAGGAACTGGAGCCCGGTGCTATGGACATCTTGACGGATGTTAGTACGCTATTTATCATTGGGCCCGAGGCGTTGCGGGACAGGCTCAGAGCGGCTGGTGGGCAGGATGCGCAGGAGTTGAAGGGGTTTATCGCAAGGAGAGATGATGTGGGGAGTGTTGGAGTGCAAAGTGTGCTTAGTGGGATGTGAGGTATTGGTTGTAGAGAAAGGACTTGAAGAGAAGGTGCGTCTGAGGTGGGGTTGATCTACAGAGTTATAGCTTGAAGATGGCAAGAAGACGAAAGTGGGTGTCGCTTTGGCGAGTAGATGTAGCCATGAGCTTTTTGTTAAGATACCAATATACATATGTCTCCCCAAAGCTTGCATGTTTCTGCTTGTGTGCTTGTGACTGATCGTGTCACGTAATTGCTTGAGATACCAAAGCAAGCAAGTGCTTCGTTCCTGTCCTATTAACCTACGCCAGTGACAGTGACGCCTCAACACCAACGTCCGCAAAGTCACTCTCCTCAAATTATATTGACTGAAACTCCGATCATATGGCACTGGGACTCTGGTCCTAGTCTGCATACTAAGTTTGACAGCTATATCTAGTAACTGAGTTCCCATGATACTGTTCGTGGTTGGGCATTTCCTGCAGCTCTCTTTCACATACGCAGCTTGTGGCCTGCGCTAACCCAAAATACTACGCTAGCAGGTAGGCAGCCATACATTACGGGCAACTCTTGCCCTATTAGCTCCAAATGCGCAACACAACTCCAGGTTTTAGCAGCCGCGTATCGACGACAACGAGGATGGAGCGCGAACCAGGCTCCATGTGCAAGGACACAGTCGAGAAGCCCGAGTCAGAGGATATCCCTGCAAGAGTCGAGGCCGAGGTCGTGATGAAGGCGTTGTGAGTATGAGCTGGGCGTCCAAGAGAAACATTGCTAATAATATCAGTAAGCCCACACTTCTTGGTCTCCCCGGAGAAGTTCGAAATCGTATCTACGAATACGTCATCGGCGGTCATATTGTTTACTATATGGGCCCACACGGCTGCACCGTAGGACGCGCGTGTGACTACGACCCTTCCAGTAAGGAGCAATGGACTCGTCTCTTTAGTCTCAGCCTCGTCTGTCATCAACTCAACCATGAGGCAAAGAACTTGCCATACACGCTCAATACCTTCATCTTCGATTTTGCTCACAAACGCATCAAGGATATGATCAAGGATGATAAGAAGAAATTCATTGCCACAATATCTATTTATTTTCATCACGACGATAATTTCATCTGGGTTCTTCCTCAGCTGGAGCAGTATACTGGTCTGAAGACTCTGTTCGACAGGGAATCCCGAGTTTACAAGCATCCTATTCTCAAGGAATTCGTCAAGAAGAGGGGTCTGAGATACGTACAATGTGAGCCGGACTTCTGGTGACAGAATCGCACGCGGCATACGTGAGGTACGAGCAAGTCTCGAATCCTTTCTAGGTATGTTGGCTTGCCGAATCATATGTCGCATGGACCTGACTTCTAGTTACACAGGCACCTATTAGCATCCGCCTGCTCTAGGCTCTTCATTGCCTAGATGTTCCGGCCTATGATGCCTTGTCTCCTGGGAAATAGAAAGGATGATTCGTACAATAGCATGCTACTGCCCCAGTCTTGCTATCTTCCACGAACTGAAGAGCTCTGATTTCTCACTGACAGCTCTTTTCGATCCGTATGATTCCCCTTCTCAATCAAGAAAGGGGACGGATGGACACACATAGTCACAAGCAGCGAACAAACAAATACTCAAAATGTGTGTTCATATCTTGAAATGACAACTTATGTAAACCTACAGCATCGCAGGCCTATCAAACCCAAAAAGCAATCTACCCTTCTTCTCACTATCCCTCCACACCCACCCACTCTTCCCTACAATCTCCCCCTTACCTCCCGCCATAATCTTCAACGTTGCTTCATCCCCATGATTTGCAAGAAACCGCTCCCCACCCTCCTTGACCCTCCCAACAACGAACCCCCGTAACGGCGTCCCATCCCTCCCAAACTCCACCGTGTACGTCTCCACCACCGCCTCGCCCTCAGCATCCCCCAAAATCTGCGGAACAGGCACATCTGTAATCTGCAACGGCAGCGGATTCTCCGTCGGGTAACCAACCCCCTCATCTCTTGGTTCCTTTGAAAGTACAACAACATACTGATAACTCAGCACACCACCATTACAAAGCACCAAACCCTTCCTCCCTTTCCCCTCTCTCAACCGCCTCGTCACCTCTGTAAGCGCATGCATACTATAATTATTGCCCGCGCCCCCAAACGACGTCAGTCCACCCAGCACCGTCAACTTCTTTTCGCCGCCCACGAGCGGTAAGCCCAGATGTTGCGCTGCTAGTTTAGGCACGATAGGGAAGCAGGAGTAGATATCTATGATATCGAGTTCAGAGACGGAGGTGCCGGATATGGTGAGACAGGCATCGAGAGAGCGCGACAGACTGGGTGAGGAGTGGTAGTTTGGACGCAGCCAGAATTCGTCCGAGTCCTTTGTGCCGGCGCCGCCAAGGGGGTAGATCCATTTTGAGGGGGGGATGGCGAGGGAGGTGGCGGTTTGAGGGGTGGTGAGGAGGAGGGCAGAGGCGAGGTTTACCGTGTTGAAGGCATTCATTAGGAGGGGATCTGTTGACAGGGATTGGTTAGGTATTAGTGGTATAGATATGTGTTTGTTTTGTGATTGCTCTGTAGGAGACCATTGGGGGCTGGGGAGTTGTGGACGTACATGGGTAGCATATCATTCTATTCTTCTTCCCTATGGTCTTAATATCTTCCTCGGTCTTGCAACTCCCGTAAATCCATGCTATTTCATTCTTCTCGGCTACTTTGGCAAATTCCGCATATAGCTTTGCGCTCTCTTCGTGGTTTTTTTGCGGAGTTTGTCCTCGGTGCGCTCGAAAGGCGTTTTCGTATAATGGGTAGACGTGTATAGGCGCTCCGATCTTGTGGATAGCACCGATATCTTTGGGGTTTGTTAGAAGAATGCATGGGTTGCCGGAGAGGGATGATATCTCACTGTTTCCTAGATCGCGACCTGTGGGTGAAAAGACAGAGTCTACGGCTTCAGCGGGAGGCGTCCAGCCTGGTGGAGGAAGCTTTTTGGCTGCTGCACATGCGGATACTGGGACTTTTGATTTAGCAAACGTGAACTTGGATTGCGCAATTGTGCTCTGTAGGATACGCACGTGATGCCAAAGCCTCACCCCCAGTAACAACAGCGACGTTACACTCCCCTTTTGCTATCCTTTTGGCTGCCTCATCGAACAGTTTCCCTGGCTTATCACCGCCGTGTTCAGAATATCTTTTCCATTTTAAATCGTCCTGCACGCCTAGTTTGTCTGCTAAGAGGCCTGGTAAGTCCGGATACGGCCATGTCCATGTCCTGACGACGTCGATGCTGTCGATTGCTGCTTGGAGATCTGCTGAAGATGAAGATGACGCGTCGTTGATGGCTGCTTGGATGGCTTCTAGCATCAGTGCTGCGGGCTCTTTTGCGTCGGCGATGGAGGTGGACCGGTTCTTGATGTCGCCTATGCCGATGATGATTGGGATGTTGGGTGCCATGGTGCAAATGGGTTTCAGGGTGCTCAGCAAAGTAGATTTTATTTTGTGATATCTACCTCTTAGAAATGCCTATGGGTTCAAGTAGTATGTTCACATAGCTCCGTACGTAGGTCGTTGTGCGTGAGGAGAGTCATGATGCGCGTGAGACGTGGGCTGAAGTTGCCGAGGTACAATGGCAAGGCAGAGCAAGCTTGAGGATTGGCATCTTTGGAGCTGTGTATGATCACCTCGGACGCAGAGAAGTGTAAATAGAGTCTGTCTCATGATGAGACATGTTGGAGTATAGCTTAGCAATGTTGCGCATATCTGGGCAGCAAAACCATTATGGCAGGATTGGAATGGGTTGAATGTTACCCAAGTGGAGAACGACAGTAACACATGAACTTAATCGCTTTCTATGTCATACCCACACCCCAAGCCGTCATATCGTTCCCGCTATGGACTATGATGTTCCTTTGAGATCCGAGCTTACCAGCTCCATGTTCAGAAGGTAACACTCATACGTGTAGGTGCGAGCAGAGCTTTCTCGCTACTCAAACACAACCTCAACATCCGTAGCCATCACACTGTATGCTAACGCCTTTAGATGCAATCGCTGAAAAGCTTCCCGAACTACGGCATTGTTCCGGACTCCCTTTGGCCACTCTCGCATCTCGACAATAATCTTGCATAGTCCACGGAATCTGTTCATGCCGCAATCCTCCAACATGAACAGATTGTCCTCTGTAGCAGGCGGGTACAAGGCAAGACGCAGGGCCGTGATAGCTCTACGCTTCGCAGCTGGTACACTATCTAGAAACTGCTTGATGGTTTCGACGTGATGAAAGCGGAAGTCGTTGAGTCGGAAAATCAAGAGGGCGGTTTCTGCGTAGACTTGTCGACATGTCATAGCAATTGCGAGAAGCCGAGTGAAGTTATAGCGAGGAATCTTGTACTGGTCTCGGGGGGAGAAACCGTTGGGCTCTACGGCGAGTTGCAGGCGCGAAGACAAGGAGCGGCCGACCAGGATACACTGTTCTGAGAAAGCATACTCGTATATGCGATTTCTCAGCTCGCCGGGGAGGCGGAGAAAGAGAGATTCCTGTTGGTTCTGGAGGGTGCTGGGGGCTGTTAGATGATGTCGCTCATCATGTTTTGGTACTTACAGCCTGTCCGCATCGTCTTTGGACAGAGCGACGCGCGGCTGACGCTGATGTGATTTCATTGTGCTCCAAGATGTTAACGCGATGTCGAGGCGCGCTGCACGCGGATGTATACCTATACGGCCGTTGAGCGAGGCTGAAGTAGAGTGCTAAGGAAGTGGGTGGTTGTGATAAGTGAGACGGCTAGGTGCCTGCACATGTGCCTAGGTCACTGATGTCACGGGTAGATGCACAAGTATGGATTTCACCGAGATGTAAGTCGGTACGATCTCGACACAGGAAGCCGGAGTTATACAATGCAGATACCGCCCTGCTTTCGAACACCGGCCCGTTATCCTGTTTACTCCGCCAAGCATGCACAGCACACTCCGTCTCTTCGACCAGCGTTGAATGATGCGATAGTCATCGGCACGACGAATACCTGGAAAGTAGTGACCAGTACAGTAAGACAACGTTTCTGCTTCTCGATGAAGTTTGATGTAGTATCTTGGTGGTCGTAGCCCGAACTCGTAGAGCTTAACAAATTTGTCTAAGGTGAAGCTGGCATGAAGCCATGATGGTTTGGTGAGGTTTGGAGGAAGATGCTAGCGCGGGGTAGGGCTTTCGCTTTTCGTTAGCGTGGTAATCTTGGCAGCCCACCTTGAACAATTTCGTGGTTGTGCGGCAGCAACGGCGTGTTCGTAACAGCGTCTCAATCACTAAACACAATGGCACCAGCGTCATTATTGGACCTTGTGGCCGCGCTGCCCGATACCCAAACATGGGGACCGCCAGTCACGGACGAGACGATGCTCGAAGGCGTTCCCTTTGCGCCCTACTCAAAGGCGGATAAATTGGGTCGTATGGCCGACTGGACTGAGGGCAAGGACCGCGAGCGGGGAGGACGTCAGCAGTATGGGAACCGCAACTACAGGGGTACGTTGAGGAGAAGATAGTAGGAGAGGCAGACAAGGGCTAACGAGACAATGTAGACCAACAAGTATACGGCGCGAACCAGCAGACCAACCCCTTCGCTATTCAGGCTGCCGAGGAGGAGGCTACCTTCTCCGTTGTAGACAACACCCGAACATCAGCCCGTGGCCGAGGATTTGGACGAGGAGGCGGCACGGTTTTCCGTGGACGAGGAGGACAGCGTGGTGGTCAGGCACAACGTGGAGGACGGGGTACCTTCCAGCGCGTTGGTGGACGTGGTGGACAGCAGTACGACAACCAGCGCGGTGGTCGCGGTGGCAGAGGAGGACGTCGCTTTGGCTGGAGAGATGACAAGCCTCAGCGCAACCGTGACGCTTCCGTCCAGGTCAAGCCCGAGTGGAACGTCAAGGAGGAGATTGACTTCTCGCGCCTCAGTAAGCTTAACCTGGATACCCACGAGGGTGAGGACATCGACAGCTACGGTTTCCTCTACTACTACGACCGCAGCTACGACAAGCAACCTGGTGCCAAGACCTCAGAGCGCAGACTCAATGTTCTCGACCGTGCTGCCTACAATGTCACCACCTCGAGCGATCCCATCATGCAGGAGCTTGCAGACAAAGACGAGGCCACTGTCTTTGCCACCGACGGTGTCCTTTCGATGCTCATGTGCGCCACAAAATCCGTCTACTCCTGGGACTTGGTCTTTACCAAGAGGAACAACAAGGTCTTCATTGACAAGCGCGACGGATCCAGTTTGGACATGGTCACTGTCAACGAGAACGCCGCCGATGCGCCACTTGAGATCTCTGAAGGAAACAAGGACTCGATCAACAGCCCGGGTGCTCTTATGCTCGAAGCCACTCACATCAACAACGTTTTCCCTCTCCAGGTTGTTTCCGAGTCAGAAACCAACAAGGTCAACATGCCCCACGAGCACCCATTTTACAACGAAGAAGTTGAGACCGACCCGCCCGCGTCCAAGGCTTACAGGTATCGCCGATTCGACCTGTCCCTGGAGAAGGATGAGGAGCCTCTGCATTTGATTGTCCGAACAGAGCTCGATGCCGTTGTCAAGAACAACATCAACGGCGAGGATCAATACCTGACCATCAAGGCACTGAACGAGTTCGACAACAAGGCCCAAGGTGCTGGCGGTGCTCTTGACTGGAGGACCAAGTTGGCCAGCCAAAGGGGTGCTGTTCTTGCTACCGAGATGAAGAACAACTCTTGCAAGCTTGCTCGATGGACTGTGCAGAGTATCTTGGCCAAGGCTGACACCATGAAGCTCGGGTACGTATTGTCATTGGTCGTTCTGAGCCTTTGCTAACAATTTACTAGTTTCGTATCCCGTACTAACCCCAAGAACAACAACGACCATGTCATTCTCGGTGTTCTAACCAACAAGCCCCGCGACTTTGCCGCCCAAATGGCACTCAACCTTAACAATGGATGGGCTATCGTCCGTACTATTGTCGACATGGTACTCCGCATGGAAGAGGGCAAGTATGTTCTTGTCAAGGACCCTAACAAGTCCCTTCTCCGCTTGTACTCGGTGCCTATGCATACTTTCGAGGAAGAGGATGTTGAGGAGATGCAAGCACCGGCCGAGGAAGATGAGGAGTAATTATCGGACAGGAAAATGGGTAGTATTTCTTTTCTTTCAACGATATCCGTAGGGTTGGTTCCATGAGCACATGCATGATAAATGACACATCATTGAATGATGATACTCAACGGACGTTGTCCATTCTACATGACAGTTATCATTTTACCAAGACAACATGAGATCTGACTTGAAAATACTTCTTCATTAACATAGCGTGTGTCAAGCATTTGCAGGTGATTCGTGACTCGCCCACATGACTAATCATCAGATTGAGACAATCGCAGAAAGTGTTAGTATAAGTAAATATTGATCCCAGTAGATACCTACAGACAATGCGATCAACCTGATACATCCTCTAGTTCAACTATCGGTGTGTGGCTACTAAGGATGCAGGGACGTCAGTGGCGTGCACAGACTTGCCCAGCTTTGCCGGACTCATTCTCACTCGCTTGCACCCTCTCTCACGTCTACATCCTTTGTATATAATTCGCTTCTCTTATCTTGGGCCTTTAGGCGAAAATCTATTTAGATCGGCCCTTAATATCCCTTACTATGGCCGTTCAGCAGTATCAACTACAATTCTTCGCCCTCAACCATGATCGATGAACTATTGGTACACATCTCTGCACCAACTACTCGACAAACCGACGAACTTTACTATGCTTTGGCTGGCGCTTATCTTAAATTCGAACCTCTCAGAATACATGCAGATGAATCGCGACAGGATGCCGCTCCGGGGCCATCTGCTGCATCCAGGGTAAACGCCCAGACATCACCAAATAACGAGGACCCTGTCGCTACATCTTTCCTATCGACCAGCAAAGACTCTTACGGCAGCTTTCCGTCCTATATTTCCTCTGAAGGCCATAGTAAAGTTCGCGCAGGCACTAGAAACCAATTCTACTATGGCGCAGAGGAAGAAGACATCGACCCAACGGTTACCCGGCTTGATCAACTAGATCGCATCCATCGGAATTGGAAGAAACAAACAACGCCAAAGTCCAGCTTTACCGGCGGAAAATCAGCAACAAAGCATGTCTCCAGTAGTCCTGATGATGCCAATACAGCCTTCATAGAGGATACACAAGAGGCAGCGAGACAGCTTCAAAGTCAACTGTCAGACAGCTACTCCACAACTTCCGTGGATACATCTGAAGACGACTCGAATCCACAAGTTATACGGGAGTATCCGACGTCTCGTGCTGGACCCTCTGAGCACAACATCAAGAGCACACCCAATGTATTGGTGCCAGAGACGCCCAAGTACGGCAGCGTTGTTTCGAGTTCCAGGGAAAGCCTGCCCCTAAAAAGTGCTGGCAGTGTAGCGGAACAGCCTACTCATGTTCGCTTAAACTCATCTACCAGGTCCGATAGTACAGTCCCGAATACCCAGGAAAGTTTACGACCAACTGAAGCATTGCATTCATCGACCCCCACTCCTAAAGTTAAGGACAGCGGCAATAAGAGCCCGGGGACAAACCAAGAGCTCGCTAAGCCAATTGACTTCTCCAAGCTTTGCACCGAAGCCTATGCACCAGAGCCCAAGATATCCATAGCATGCCCGAGTAGTCTACCCTCTCAAATTACAGGGGCTTTGGAGGCGCTCAAGAACCAAAATCCAAACCGCTTCAGACCAGTCAAGCAGCGGGGTACTCCCAAAGCCGACGATCGAGGATACTGGTCTATCGATTGCGCTCACTGGCCTCAGGATTATCAACAAGAGTTCTGGAACCACATGTGCGACCAGGTCGCAAGCGATAGACTTGGTTGGGGTGTGACGTTGCATCGAGAGGGTGGTACTTCGCAGTCACTTGGTAGAGTCAAGTTGTACTGCTGGGGAGAGGTTGTAGAGCACATGTGGTTGGTGCTATGGCTCTTCTCCAGAGCGAAAATAAATGGCTCCAAACTGAAATGGGTTGACGCAGATGGAAATGCGATTTTTGAGATGACTTGAGTCGATTTGGCAAGACTGGGGTTGATCTACAGGTTTGGGTATGTCGTAGCAGGTTAATCCGATGTTCATCGTATGTCACATGCGCCAGCTGGCATCTAATAAATGTACAACGTAAATTGGAACCCAACACTTATGACTACTCAGCCAAGCAGCAAATTTTTCGTGTCGCTAGTGTAATGTACATGTATAGGACTATATATGTCCCTGCGTGGGTCTGGGTGACATTCCTACGCGCATGAAACATGACTGCCAAGAGACCGTCTGGAGTTGCTGATCCCCAAATATACTCTCGAACACGGTAGTGGCGTGCAACGTCTCCTTCTCTCCTAATTATGCCATCTCAGACCTGGAGACGCGACCATGTCTTCAGCATCACAGGAAAAACTACATAGGGTCGCTAGTTCGGACGCGGGCGACGACGAGCGGACCCTCTACGAACACACCGATGATGAAAGTCACGACGGCAGGCCCTCAGGCGAACTTTCCACCCGCGATCGCGAGATCCTAGACTCGGAAGACGAGCGCGAAGAGCTTCTTACACAGAAAGAGGGCATAAAGGATATTTTGAGCCGCAGGGGCTCCTCCATCAAGGTTGGGAAATGGGGCAAGAAGAAGCCGAAGACGCGTAGGAAAGGCGAAGATGCAGAATCGAGTGTACTCATGTATGAAATGGAGGAGGGCATGGGCGCTTCTTCTCAAAGCTTACGTTCGAGGAGAAGTTCCGAGGGCGACGAGCAACGATTGCTTGCGAGCGCATTGCATCAGAAGGTATGTTGACTTCCACGTATGCGCGAATGAAGCTGACAGTGGTTGTAGGCGCGCCGGAAGATTTTCTATCAACGGATAGCCATATATATCCTTATAATCATTCTTTTTGTCGTCCTCCTCGCCGCCGCCTATAATCTCTCTACCCCGAAAGATGTCAAAGACCTGGCCGCCATGGTCTCGAATGGCACCTCCCTTTTCGCCCCTACAACCATTCTGATATCGCTCGACGGTTTCCGTGCCGATTTCCTGTATCGCAACCTTACGCCTACACTCAATCAACTGATACAAGAGGGTATTTCGCCCAAGTACATGCTTCCTAGCTTTCCGAGCGTAACCTTCCCTAATCATTACACCATGGCGACTGGCATGTATCCCGAGGCGCATGGGATAGTTTCGAACACGTTCTGGGACCCAAAACTACAGCAAGAGTTCTACTACACGGATCCTAAACGAAGTTTACAACCGCACTGGTGGGGAGGCGAGCCCCTGTGGGTAACGGCCGAGAAGCAAAAGGTCCGGGCAGCAGTGCACATGTGGCCCGGGTCGGAAGCGAACATCTTGGAACAAGAGATTGCATACGTTGACAAGTACAATGGCTCGGAAGTGCTTGATAGGAAGGTCGACCGCATCATGGGCTTACTCGATCTTCCCGGTTCCAAGGACATTGGCGCAAGCGCACTCACGCCTCGGCCCCAGCTCATCGCTGCATATGTCCCCAATGTAGATGGCGACGGCCACAAATACGGGCCCAACAGCACTGAGATTCGGGATACGATCACAGCCGTAGATACTATGATGGGCGGCATTTTGGAAGGATTGAAGCAGCGAAACCTCACCGGTATCGTTAACGTCGTTGTAGTGTCTGACCACGGCATGGCCACAACCGACATTTCGCGCCTCATCCAACTCGAAGACCTCATCGACCCCAGCGAACTCTCCCACACCGACGGCTGGCCTCTTTACGGTCTCCGGCCGAAAGACCCATCCTCGCTCCAACGCCTCTACAAGCAAGTCAAAGACCGCACCGCTAACAACCCCAATGTCGAAGTCTACCTCCGCGAGAACATGCCGGAACGATACCACTTCTCCAAGAATGACCGCATCGCCCCACTGTGGATCATACCGAAAACAGGCTGGGCCATTGTCACAAAAGATGAGTTCAACATTGAAGCCGGCAAGAAAGATGGCGAGATATACCATCCCCGTGGTCTACACGGCTACGACCACGAGCATCCTCTCATGCGAGCGATTTTCGTAGCTAGAGGTCCTGCGTTCCCACATACGCCTGGTAGCATGATGAAGCCTTTTCGTAAGTAACCCTTCCTTTCAAAACACGGCTATGTCAGTCCGCGCAAAAAGGAAGAGTAGTTTGCTAACAAACACCCCAGAAAATATCGAACTCTACAATATAATCTGCGACTCCATTAACCTCACCCCCGCCCCCAACAACGGTACCTTGCGTCTCCCCCTCCGCCCCACTGGTCTCCACAACGAGACCCAAACCGCAGCCTCGGACCACACGCCTGAAGATCCCGTCCCACCCTATCCGTCCTCCTCGTCCGCCGCCCTACCGTCCTCCGCGGAGCTGGCTTCCATGCCCTCGGCTCTCGGCTCGCTATCCAGCATCGCGGCGTCGGCGTCGGGCATGGAGGATACGTCACCGACGGTTGACGAGGTGCCTGTCAGACCAACGCCTCCCACTGTACGGCCTACAGATGCTGCAGTAAAGGAAGGGGGCAAGAATGAGGAAGCGGGAGAGGATGGGCCCACGGGAGAGATGAGTTTGTGGGAGTGGTTGACGCACAAGGCGGATGGGATTAAGGATTGGGTGGATCAGTTTGTCGAGAGTCATGTTCCTATTTAAGTGTCGAACTTGGGGTTTTGTTTGGTGTTTGGATAGATTAGAGATTATTTTCGTTGTTGTTCTGTTTCCCGCTATCTGATACCCATGCTTGATGTTATTTTCCAATCAAGCATTTTTCTAATTCGACCATATCGATCTTTTTCACGGTTCAAAGTGTAAGTGTCGATGGTTGTGTGGTGATGATCATTACATTTCATTCCAAGTATTAAATCTCCGTCTACATGATATCACACTTTGATGGCAATCCACATGGACCCTCCTTGTCCTTTTCCGTCTTTTGCTGAGGTCCAGCAGAAGACGCAACAGGAGCACTTGTAGTTGTAGTGGCAGTGTTGGTAGCCGCCGGTGCTGTTCCATTCGTAGCCGCAGCACCGTTGGTCTCCACTGCCTTCTTCTCAGCCGCACCACCATCTAGTCACTGGTGAGCCTTGGCTACGGCCTCGTAGAAGGCCTTGCCCTGAGCGGTAGCAATGCTGAGCTCGAGGGGAGTGGGCTGGCGCGAGCCGTCGCCGGCGGAGAAGGTACCGGCGCCCCAGGGGGAGCCACCGTGGACCTCGTCGAGGTTTGCGAGTTGGGCTGGAGAGGGGGTTAGTATACCAGATATTACTGACTCGCCATCCAAGCTTGTGGAGTGTATACATACCGAAAGCGGTCTTGTAGCCTAGAGGCACGTAGATGAATCCGTGGTGCACGAGCGTGCTCATGGCAGCAATGCAGGTGCTCTCCTGTCCACCACCGAGGGTACCAGTTGAGACGAAAAGACCAGCGTATTTGCCCCAGAAAGCACCCTGTTGCCATTGTTTGCCTGTCATATCCCAAAAAGTTTTGAACTGGGCAGGAAAGTTCCCATACCTGCTGATCAGCATCGGGATGAAAGGTCAAGGTTAACAATCTTCTTACCTAGTAGGGATACCGAAGAGGATACCATCGAACTCCTCAAGGATGGAAGGGTCTTCGACGACAGGGACATCGGCGGCCTTGGCGGGCGCGTGCATCTTAGCGAGCACTTCCTCAGGGAGGGTCTCCTTGACTCTGGTTGAGTTGTTAGTATAAACGAGAGAAAGTAGAAAGAAGGGGTACATACTGGAAGAGCTTGGCTTCACCGCCAGCCTCCTGGATACCCTTCAACTCAGCATCGGCCTGGTTTCACTGTTAGCTCAAGCTATTCTGGGTCGCCATAAGACAGCGTCTGAACGTACCAATTGCTTGATGTGGCCATACATGGAATAGTAAACAATGGCAATCTTGGGAGCCATCTTGAACGCTTTGGGGGGGGGGGTATCAAAAACTTGCGAGGAAAAAGAGTCTAGGTAATGAGGAGATGTAGAGTAACTATCGAGGTACAAAACAAAGACGAAGCTGCCTAGTGGAGAGACGAAGCGCTCCCCATCTTTATACCTTTGACGCACCCCACCACCCGATCCATACCCTATTCCCCGATTTCTTTCTGCAAACATCATGCAATGTCTTCCCACGACCGGACCAATGGTGCCGAAGCATCGAGACTCCACAACCCAGCGCTCCACGCTCAAAAGCTTTCCCCGATGCTAAGAAAAGCGTAGAAGCAGACGGTGGAAAGCATGGCAACGGGGGTGCCTGCCCCTCCTCACCAAACCTCTTGCAGTTTAGCGCAATCCACATGTCGCCTTGTTTGCAGTAGCGGCGTTGCACGCGATGCATTTTCAGGGCACGGTCAGTGGATTACATGAGGCTTTGGTAAGTGATTGAAAATACGCTATTGCTATCACGATCCGCCATCCGGATAACTGTAACCAAACTCTAAGCTCGCAGGCTGTCAAAGTCGCGTCCCGTGCTTCCGTGATTGTCATCGATTCGTTCCGAGTGTCGACGGCACAGTTCCGCCCGCAGGTTTGCGCCTTTCAGGCTTGTCAGCGCCATGCGTGCTTACTGATCTGCAATCTACCAGGGATGATGTCATGCATCTGCTTTGGACGGAAAAGCGGGTGTTAGTAAGCTCGCACATTCGCTGTTCGCGATTCCCGCCCGGAAGCTGGAAAAAGCAGGATTGCCGTGCCAAATTTTTACGAGGCGAGCGTCTTGTAAGAAGGATGAGAATACGATGGTACCTTACGCTTTCCTGCTTTGAGCAGACTTGCGTCGCCCAAAGCATTTAGGTTGGGAGGCGGGAGGTGTGGCCATTGCAGTCCGCTAACCTGTACTACTACCCCACAGCTATGACACCCAGCATCAACACCTACCTACATAGGTAGTTACGTTACGCTTCTGCCGCAAGCCTTCCACTACAATTTGATACACTCGTGAGATTTTCAACATCCGTAGTTGTACCGCCACTGAAGACCCTGAAAGGACCCTGAAAGGGGAACCCGGTCGCGTCCGCCTGGCAGGCCTGGGCGACAGCGAAGCTTTCTGTCAGCATACCCAACATATGGATCTCGCCGCAACTTGAAGCATGCGAGCCATATTTGGACCAAATCTAACCGCCTGCTGAACGCTCAAACGTACTGGCTTCTCACTACTTCACCGGCATTCATTCAATGAGAATTAGGCTTATCATTCCATTTGTCTTGGGTATCCAAGTACAATGCCGTTCTCCAGAACGGTCCGAAACGTCGTATATATATATATCTATATACGAGCAACCCGATTGCGTGGATGATTAGGCCGATCGCAATACAGGGAGCTCACGTCAGAAACGGTGGGTGAACTGCCTGCAACAGACATGCAGTCATCATGTTTGTACTTATAAGTATATCCACCACGTAGCCTCCTAGATATATCTTTTTTACGCCGTTTTGCGAAATCGGCGCGCCGCTCATTACCCCACATTCATTACTTGCAATTATGCTTTCATCCAAGTTCCGTCTTGCTGCATTGGTTGTTTCTCTTGCAGTCTCTACCGTTGCAGCTTCTAATCGCTCGCCTCAAGCCCCCCAGACTTACGTCCCAGGAGCCTACTTAGTAGAATTCGAGGATACAGATGCTGATAGATTTCCTACTACATGCGTAAGTTTTGTCGCAAGAATCTGACATCGATAACTAACAGCACATGCAGGATGCATTTTACAAAAACCTTACAAGTTGCAGTATCGCTGCCCACCCGCGCCTCGATCTGAACCACGAGCTTTTCAAGGGTGCTTCCTTCAAACTTGGCGATGGACATGATGGAGAGGATACGCTGAATCTGATCAAATCATTCTCCTGTGTCAAGCAGATTTGGCCCGTCCGCCTGGTTTCCAGACCGGTTGCCGATGTTTCGCTCGGAAACGGATATACTCAATCAATTCCACAACGTACGCACCAGAAGCGTGGTATCCAAGATTCATATCTTCCGCATGTCATAGGAGGTGTAGACAAGCTTCGTGCTCAGAATCTGACCGGAAAGGGGATATTCATTGGTGTGATTGACGGCGGAGTCGACTTCATGCACCCTGCCCTCGGCGGAGGCTTTGGAGCTGGCTTCAAAATCAGCGCCGGTGAGGATCTCGTAGGTAGTGCCTACGACGGAAAAAACACACCCGTCCCTGGTGGCAAGCCTGTAAGTAATTTGGTTTTGTTTGAAAGGGGTGTTTGTGGCACTATCTGCATATACTTATATACCCGGTCTGGTCGTAATTATCTTCTGCAATATCATTATGCTCACTGATAACAACAGATGGATTGTTATGGACACGGCACTCATGTTTCTGGCATTATTGGCGCCGATCCTAACCCGTACGGCTTCACTGGTGTGGCGCCCGAGGCCACTCTGGGCGTATGGAAAATCTTTGGATGCGTGTCCCCTTCAACTTCAAGTGATATGATAATGCGCGGATTCAACATTGCATATGAGGCAGGCGTAGATATAATCTCCGCTTCCTTCGGTACTTCGAGTGGGTGGTCTGAAGGTGAGTACAGTGAACTGGCGCGACCAAGATGGCTGGTGACTAATCAACACAAGACGAGGTGTCAGTGGTTGTCCAGCGCATCTCCGAGAAAGGAGTTGTAGTCGTCGTTGCCGCCGGTAACAACGGCACCATAGGACTCTTCGATGCTCAGGCTCCCGCCAATTCTGCTGGAGCGCTAGCAGTTGCTTCAATCGACAACTACGTTCAACCCCTAGTTTGGAGCAACGCCACATATACGACTAATGGCGCCAATTCCACCAATTTCGGATATATAAAATCTTATCCACAGAACATAAGCTTCGAACATGCAACTTTCCCCCTGTATGCACTCGATTACAACAGAAACGTGTCAGATACGGCCTGTACACCCCTCGCCGATTCAACCCCTGACCTCGGAGGATACATCACTCTGGTTCAGGCCTCAACATTTATAGATCGTTGCACCTTGGATGATCAACTGATAAATCTCGGTGCGAAAGGTGCAAAACGCGTCTTTTTCCACATTCGCAATTCCTACACTTATTTCCCAGTAGTAAATTCAACCAAGGTTGCATGCGGAATGGTATCGGAGAGAGAGGGCCAACATTTCCTTGATCTTCTCCAAGCAGGAAAACAGGTCAATGTCACCTTCACTGGTGCCGGGTATATCAACAGCACTGTTGCCACAAACAAGACGCAGATATCAGACTTCAGCTCTTGGGGGCCCACCAACGAGCTATCGATAAAGCCTGAAGTAGCAGCACCTGGTGGCAATATCCTTTCCACATGGCCACTGATCAAGGGCGGCTATGCAACGATGTCAGGAACTTCGATGGCCGCGCCTTACATGGCCGGCACTATTGCTCTGTTGATGCAGGCCAAAGGCAAGAAGTTTGCGACGCAGTCCGAGATCTTTAATCTCCTGACCACCACTGCTGACCCACTGAAATGGATTGCTCGCAACAGCACCTTTTTGGCACCAGTCATGCAGCAAGGCGGCGGAGGGCTGAATGCATACAAAGCTGCTTTCACCACCACCACAGTAGATGCTCGCTTCATTGGTTTGAATGACACTGCGCACTTTACGTCCGTTCATGTCATCAACATCAAGAACACATTCAAGCAAGCTCAGACATACACGTTCGACAATCTCAAAGCACCTACCGTATACACATTCAGCAACGGTTCCCACTATCCCACCGAATACATGCCTTGGCATAAAATACGGCCTGAATTCGATCAAACCAGTCAGGCCAGTGCATCCATTCGCTTTGAACCCGAAATCCTCACTGTCGAGGCTGGCTCGATCGGAAAACTCACCATGCACTTCACCCCACCTAAGGGCCTCGACGCGTCTCGACTGCCATTGTACAACGGCTACGTTGCTATCAACGGCTCATGGGGCGATTCACTCACCGTGCCTTATATGGGAGCCAGCGCCAACATGATTGACCAGCAGCTCTTCGACAAAGAGCTCGACTACCCCTACCTCGCCCGCAGCACAAACGTCAGCCAGAGAATCAACGGCAGCGACTTGTTCCCTCTTCCGATCGACTACAAGCTTCGCAACGAAAACACCAGCTATCCGACCATCATGTGCCAGTTCGCCATGGGCTCCCGCGTCGTTTCCGTAGACATTGCATCAAAGGCAAAGAACGGCACGAATATCCAGCTGGGTAACTCGACAAACGATTCCGATCGTATCCTAGGACCCTTGCCTGATATGCCTCAGTTGAATCAGTGGCGCGGTGAAGCTTTCAACTACACGTGGAACGGCACGCTGGCGGACGGCCAGACACCTGTACCGGCGGGCACGTACAAGCTCATCCTCAGGGCATTGAAGATCTTTGGCAACCAGGACGACGATGCGGACTATGAGAGGTGGGACTCACCTTACTTCAACCTCAAGTACTACTAGGCGAGGAGATCCGTGCGTGCGATGATGCGCTCAGTCAGGTGTTTTACCTTCAGGCTTCCCATAATTACACTTTTACTTTGTGTCACCGAACACGTTCTATTTCTTATCATATATCATCTTTTTTCTTCTAACATGTATATCTCATGATGTCCATTTCATCTACCCGAAATCTCAAACACGCCTGTCAGCCAGGCTACTCTTATCGTCCGAGCGTGCCCTCGATGCAAAATCCTTCATGATATTGGTAAGCAGAGGAATTAATCATCCCAGGGCTGACTTTTCTTAACGCCAACGCTTCCATGTAACCAGTCACAAGTACACAGCCTACCATCTACCACACTCCAAACATGACATCTTGTATTACAACCTTACATAACCGCCCGACCAACCGATCCTGCAGATACCGAGACTCGCATCGCACTGTCCTAGAGCAACGTCATCGGCGCAATACTGACGACATTGCTCGGGGAAAGTAATTCGTTTGTGTAGCATGAAGAAGTTGTTGGGCTTGGAATTTATTAGTTGGCAATTATTGCGTGACGAGGTACCCCAACAGCAGGGTCATGGCGCCCGCAAACAGGACCAGCTACACGTGCCATAGGAGGCGGCCGTCAGTGGCATGATCGCCAAGACACTACACGCCCCAGAGAAGGACCTAGAAGAATATGCAATCCTTGCACCAAACGCATGTCATTGTGTCACGATGCAGATCATGATTCCATATCGTTTGTTTCATTGGTCATGCTTTGAGAAAAAGGGAAAATGATGAAATTTGCCTAGTAGTTTTGAACGCTGAAAATGCTAGAGGAAAACATTGAATACTGTAACCACAGTAAGGAAGACGTGTAAATGCAGCAGCCACCATCGCCATGCGAGTAAAACAACCCAATGAACAGCTTTTTCAAACATGGCCATGTCTTGCTTTATAAGAGGAAACCCACTGAAACGAGAAAGAGAAGAGAAGGAAAAGTACACCCTATGCATGAAAATAATTGGCTGCTTTTCGGCCTGAAAACTTTTGGCTCCGGGCCTTGTTGCGCATGCATGTGGCCGTTATGTCGTTAAAAGTCGTTATGAAAGGATACAAGTGAAATGAAGTTTAGTCGTCATTCGTGGATCGTTCCACGATCACGTGCGAATGGAGAGGAGCCTGCGACGGACGCCGGCGAGGAACTCGGCCTCCTCGATGCGCTGGAACTGCGCCTCTTCCTCTTTTCCGTAGAGTCCGGTGCTGCCATACGGGCCCTTGCCGCTGAACTCTACATTCTGTGGCCAGCGGCCGTCGGATGAAATCTGCGCCAAGGAGAAGTCACCGTGCACGGACTGGAAACCAGGCTCGAAGATGCACTCGGCAAAGAAGAGCTCAATGTAAAGTTCGCGGGGAATAGCGCTCTCGGCACGCAACCGAATGAAGCGCCGCGCTTGTTCCAGCAGCTTTTGTAGAGCATCGGTCGCCTCTTGAGTGGAGCGGCCATCCTCGTGTTCACACAAGTGCAGGGCGCGTACCTGCAAATCGCCCGAGAATTTGGCATCCTCATTGGAAAAAAGGTGCGAGCAGACAGACGGAAGCGAGATGGACAAAGTCTGCAGCTTGGGGCAGTTGCGGAATGTGTCGCAAAGATGCTCACTGTCACTTGGGGATCCAGGATGCGGGTGCCAGAAGCCATCTTGTGACCGCGGGCTGTGCTCGAGAACGCGAAGTGTCTTGCGAGATGCCTTGACGATAGCCATAACGCCATCGATGGTAATGGAGGAGTTGCAGGTCAAGTGGAACTCTTCAAGCTGGGTGGCGGTGCGGGCAATGGCGAAGAGGTCGTTGTTGGTGATAGGCATGAAGTTTGTGTCGCCAAAGATCTTCAGTCGTCGTAGCTGGCTGAAGTTGACAGACTGTAGAGGCTCGAGATCAACGAGGTTGTCCTTGTCTGCAGCTTGCTGCGATGTGGGGTCGACACACTGGAGCTCCAAGGACTGGAGTGGCTTGCCAGTACCGGTCAAGACAGTTCGCCAGGCATCGGCACTCACGTGCCTGATGGTGGTCCATGGAAGGGAAAGGGAGGTGATGTTGGTACAGTTCCTGAGCGACTCAAACACAAGACGATCAGTTTCGGCGGTGTAGAAGCCGTGGACCCACATGCGCTTGATCTTGGAAGCTACCTGTGGGTAGTCGTTGCAGATGCTCACAGTGCGCTTGAGGGAGGCGAATGGGTCGCGGTAGACGGCCGTGCCAGTCAAACGGTTAATGAGCTCGTAGAGCGGGTAGCTCTCTCGCCTGTTGGAAAGTTCTGCCCATCGCTTTGTGTTGTTAGTGCAATGTCTGGAGACGGGGGATATGGTTCGTGCTTACCTCTCCACCCTTCCATCGTCGGATGTAGACGTCCTTGATGGAGTGTTCCAGCGCCCACTCGTGCCACTTCCAGCACACGGATCGTAGAGTGGCAGTCGCGTCCCACTTGAGGAGCTCAGGCGGGACCGGGCCTCTAACATAGCGTTGAAGCTTGGCCCTCTCTAGAGGGAGGGGTGCTTGCTGGAGGCCAAAGGTGTACGTTGGGCCATCACGTACATTGGCCTTGGTAACCTCGTCGAGGATCTGGGAAAGAACTTCGTACGGGAAGTCGTTGATGTGCATTGAATTCTTCGATGACGGTAGGGTGACTCGATGTCTGTATCTTTGAAAGCTAGTGGGTGAGTAGTTGCCAATGACTACTTCGGGGTGCTGTGTTGAGACTGTAGGTGAAAGGGAAGTTGGGTAAGATTGATGGTTAGTCAGAGATCAAGCAGAGAGTGAAGGCAGGCAACAGGTCTCTTATAGTCAAAGGGGTGCTATCCTTGCCCGTGCCGCAGAGATTTATTTGGACAAAGAGCACCAGGCACCGTGGTACATGGTTAGTCAAGAGACAAGCCTGGGGAAATGCGCCGGCTGCAGCAGCGCCAACGACCCGGACTCGTCGCGCCAAAAGGGAGAGGCGGTAGCGCAGGCGAGCCAATGGGCCCGTGTGCAATCCATCACAGGTGTGTGGTTTTGCGATGGAAAGGGCTCTAGAGGTGAGGTTCTCTTTACGTCAGCGGGGGCTTGGCGGCGTCGGAGCTGCTGGGAGGCAGAAAATTGGCTTCACGTGGTCGCAGGCCAGCATTTCGATTACCCCCAGGAAATTCATTTTAGGGGCCACCTGACCACCAATGACACATGGAAATCTCTGTTGACGCCTCCGACCAGCGTCTGCCAGCGCTCGAAACGACTCCTCCCCAGCCTCGTGCCTGCATCGCGCCTTCCCGCTGGGCATGTCCGTGCCTTCTTTGATGATGATGCTGCCACTGCTGCCGATTGATGCCGGCTGCCGTTGGCTTGTCGCCTTGGACTTCATCTCACCACCGCTCCACAAGCGTGCCATATTGCTGCCTCCGCACCCGCCAGTCGCACCTTCTCCGCACCCGTAAATGGATGTCGTCACGGCTGATGCCATCCGTGCACCGTCTTGCACGTTCCATGTCGTCAAACTGGCATCGTCTTGCATAGACAGCACCACTCCATTCTCGCCATGGTCGACTCCATCTCCGGGTGACCGTGACACGTATGTTGCCGACTGTTGCATGAGCTGGACCTTAGCTTCACCATTGTCTTTTACCCCTGCCTGCTTTTGATATTTGTTACGTCTTCGCAACCTACCCCCTCTGCAACCAGGAGTCAATACCGTTATACGGGAACTACTCTAGCTCTAGAGGGGAACCGAGCCCACTACACAGCATCCCCAAGCAATCTATGAGCTAACAAAATGCGCTACCCCGCGAAGATCTCAGAACCCCTTGCCAGGTGGATTCGTGAAGCTCATTTAGCTCTGGAACCGATCTGGCCGACCTGCAACCTAGCTACGGGAAAGAGATTCCGTTTCCACTACGAGCGTCCGTCGTCGCCACATTGAGCCGACGCAAGCCTACGATTCTGACTTGAAAACGGCCTTGTTCTTGCTCCGTTGGACGCGCGCCTCACCAGCCATCACGAGGCGGTAATGACCTCAGCTGACACTCTCCCTCGAGCGCTAAGAGCCGCAACACCATGGCACAAGCATCGTGACCTTCCGCTTTAACCTGCTGCATTGAGCACTGCCACGCTGCAGCGCTTGCTTAACGCCGGCACCTTGCAGGAGCCGGCCTGAGTGTACTGTCTGTGCTTACCGGACTCCGCATTGTGGCAGCGCATCAACATCAGTAGAACGGCCCAATGTTGCACCCTCCGAAGGAAAATGTACCCCTTGGGTTAGGATAACAGCCCTTCCCTACCGTGGAGCTTCTTATTATAGCTAGCTCCTACCTGACAGCCTGCAGGGCTCTGCGTTAAATCTCATCTAGGAGAGTAATGTTCGAACTAATGGTTTTCTAAAAGCTCAAAGCTGTATCTCCGGCTGGAAAGCATCTCTATCGTTTCAAGAAGGGTACTACAGCGGGTTGCTATCTTGCCTCCCTTCCGTACCAGTCGGTAGTTCCCGACACCAGCTTGCCGACTTCCGGGGAAAGATGCCCGCAAGGCCGTCTGGATGACGCGCAAGCCATACGAGTCCGCCACTGGAACTGTGGACCGCTAATCGCTAGCTGAGCGTGAAACCGGTCAAAGTATCAACATATTCCTTCTTGATCTGCACAAGATTGTCTTTTCTTGAGAACAGCTGGGTTGCTAGACGTAGGCCGATACCAACTTTATGGTATCAAGGAGATTATTTCCGCCCGGGATATCCACTTCCACCGCCAAATCTTCCAGATCGAGTGTGTCTCGAGTGGAACTTCCCATGTTGAGCAGTATCGAGCTCCAGACAGGCTTTAGGCTTCCAGTTTAGGACTATCGTGTTTACCGGTCTGAGGTTTCTTATCTTGCACTACGCGCCGCGAGCGTAACACGGAGAGCAGACTTGGAGTAGCACCGCCACATGAGGCTTTTATGCGACTTGCTCAACCGTGCAACTGGAGATAAGGGGATACTGGAAGCAGCGGAGAAACACGAATTTGAGCTTTTTTTCTCGACGCAATAATGGCGCAAAGAAGACCACGGGTGTAACATGAGGTAGGGGCAGTGGAGCATGGGAGACACAAGCACAGGGTAAGTGGTTGAGTGGCCATTTGCAAGATTTTCACCATTGTCACAAACAATCTGGGACATCTCAAATCATGTCATCAATGGGGTATCTTATCTATCATCTAACCAAGCATGCGTTCTCTCTCTTGCCCGTGCTACCTCCTTCTCGCCCCCATACTCTCAACATTGTTCGCATGTGCAAGCAAGTACTTGCAGCACGTGAGGGTATACTTGCACGCCTTTGTCCAGCCCTCATCTTTATTCAAAGCAAGCTTGATACTCTGATCATGAATACGATCTTTGCGTATCTCATACGGCATCTTGACCCCACCGGGCCCGCCGATACCAGGGCCCCCTATACCCATGCTACCTCCAGCAGCAGCGTTGTTGGGAGCCGTGTTCTCAACAAAATCGCCGAGTTGGCGGAGGCATTCCAGAAAAGCGACCATGGCGGTATCGAACTTCCTATGTAAGAAACCAAAGTTTATGGGGAAGTCGCCCGAGGAATATAGTTCTAGCCGGTGTTTTAACACTTGCGGTGAGTTTGCTGCGGTGCTGGTGCTGGTGGTAGATTGTGCTTGTTGACGTGTCGATTCCGTGCCCGGTACCCCGCCTTTTGTTTCTACACGTGTTATGGTGGATGTCGATCCCATGGGGCACAGTTCGTAGCCATCGAACTTGTAGCCCAACCGCTCAGCCAGAGTAGCCAGGAGGAGGCATGTTTGGCCCCATGCTGCGTTGATCTCGGGCCAGTCGACGTAGGGGTTGGGTAAGCGGCCTAGACGCAGACCGTTGATTGTGGCAAAGTGGTTATCATGTGTGATATTGAAGGTATCGTTGTATACGCTTCTCCTCTGTAGCTGGCTCAGTATCTGTGCATCATGTGCATATCGCGTGGCAAGAGCGTCGCGCTCGTTCTGGAACTCGGTCAAGGTTGAGTTGAAGGCATTCCGACTCTTCCAGAACTCGCTCTCCTCCAGATCTAGTATACGAGCCTCGGTTTCCAAGGCAGCCAGCTGGGCATCTAGGTCCGCCTTCTCCGCTTCCAGGTTCTCGAGCTGGGTGATCGCAGTACTTTCGGCCTTCTTCGCGGCCTTGAGTGCGGCTTCGGCGGCTTTGACTTCTTCGGCGCTCGGCACGTCCGTATTGGCCCGGCGCAGGTAGTCGACGTATGCGTCACGCTCGCGGGTCGCCACGCCCAGTCGCTTCTGTAGGCCGTCTATGAGGAGCTCGGTACATTCTACACAAATGGGATGGTCGATGTCGGAGCGTGCGGATAGTATCTCGAACATGCGATTCGTAGTCTCGAGCCCGTCGGCTAAGCTTCCGCCTCCGGGCGTGCCTGAGGCTGCCACGATGCTCTTTCTTCGTGCTCTATCGCTCCCGTTTGCTTGTGACTCTTCCACTTGTGTTTTGCGATCTGGGCCCTGCGCTGATGTCGTAGGAGGTGAACCTATCATGGACTCGGACATGTGCACATCTATAAAAGACATTGCAGGATTTTGAGGTCCATTTGACTGTTTCGATGGCGGTGGGCCTTGTATATTGCGTCTGAAGGTCGGGTTTCTGGCGTTTTTGGTCGCATCTTCGTACTTCTTCTGGCGCTCCGGAGGGTTTGGAGCGCGCGACTGGCGGTTAGGAGAGGTTTTGGGCGGAGGTTGTTGGCTGGAGACTGTCGAGTCTATCTGAGTCAGTATGGCTGGGACAGAGTGAAGCCTATGAAGGCATACCGGTTAGTAGCTTGAAGGCGGCCGGGTTGAGTTGATCGATAGAAGCATCGATATCTATGGGCGTGCGGCATTTCTGACAGGCTAGGCCTGTTGACTTCTTGTCGTTGGCCATATTTTCAAGAGCTGTACATTTTCATGCTTCAAATGCTTAAAGCATGCCAGGCGTGCTTTACGTGAGGGAGTGAATGACGACGGTGCTGTACTGTAGTTCGCGGTTGGAGATCATCTGCACCCGGGTGGGGCTCCCGCCGCTAGTTAAGTTGGACAGGCCGGGGGCAGTCGCGTCCCAGCCATGATTTATCGCGTCGGCTTGTGTATCTATCGCATTCGGCCGCAAACATCCCATCTCCCCCGCCAACATACCGCGCCCCTCACCTGTTTACGTCATGGAGTCGCCGGCAAAGCGCATGCGCATTCTGCAGTCGGTCGAAGTCGACGAGGAGAATGAAGAGTACATCAACGCGAAGAGGAAGCAGCAGCAAAAGTTCAAGGGCCGCCTAGAGTCCATCTTCGACAAGTATGGAAGCATGCACGAATCAATGAGCGATGAGATCGACATGAAGTTGAATAGAGTCGTCGTGGATAGAGGGCATCTGCGCCGACTGAAGCGTCAGGTCAACCGAAAGGAAACCATGCTATTGGACACTCTAGGACTGACAGTTGGACATGAGCCAGAGGAACAATGTGAAGAGGAGGAGGAGAAGGTTGAGGATTCAGAGGACGAACTGGCTCTGACACAGCCAGTAAAGTCTAAAGGTGGGCGGCCTGGACAGGACAAGCATGGAGAAGCGATTCAGCCTGCGCAAGACAAAGCGCAACATAGCGACGCGAGTCATCCGGCATCATATCAGCCATACCCTTCGGCGACATCGATACCGCAATTGACCTCACCGCAAGCGCCCAACACGCCGAACCCGACCGCGAACCTCCTGCAACTCGTTCAATTTCCACAAACGCCTGCGGGACAGCAGGCACAAACTGCTTTCTACACAACCTTGACGCAAACCATCAACCAGGCCATACACCAAGCTGTAGTCCCGCTATTTGCAGGCCTACTGCCATCGAATGCCCCGATACCCTTCGCGACCGCCGCCCCACCGCCGACCACACCTATAACAACCAGCGACAAGGTTGCGCCAGCAACAGACCCCAAGTGGTTCTTTCCTCCACTTTCTGCCAAAGGAAACCACAATCCAGTTGCTCAGTCGAGTCCCCTGCCAACCCTCCCAGCCTCCACAGCAGTTCCGGCAGCGCAAGAGGCAATTATTCGACAAGATGGAGATGGTGTGCTACAGCAACCGCGTGAAGAACAAGCTGTTGACAATCAGCCTGCTAAGAAACAAACTTCAAACGAAAGGGCATGGAATTTGGTTGGTACAAGAATACACCAAAGCTCGCCGACTGTACCACGCCGAAGCAGTCCACGCGTTGAGATACAGAGGCGGATAGCACGGCATATAGTCAAGAAATACCATTTCACTCATGAAGATGATGTGTATATCAGCAAGCGTAGGTTAATAGATGGAATGACCTGGCCCCATATCAAGGCCAGCAAGAAAAAATGGGAACAGTGGCCACTGAAAGCTTTACATAACCGTTGGAGTCGAATCAAGAATGATAACTTACACGTACAAGAGGCACCAGTAGTCCTCGTGGGCAGCCCTATTCAGGGTAACGACCATAGCTCTGTTACACAGGCTGAACTCCCGTCGGTGCAGACTCACCATCTCCCAACTCCGAGCTCTTCTGAGCATGAAGATAATCAGCAAGATAAGATGGAATCGACACAAGAAGAAGGCAACTACAACATCCTCTCATCAAGCACGCACTTCGATGATGACGAAAGGGACCTTTTATCATTAGCGGGCGACGACTTGGCTGAGGATCAGCTCCTGATGCCGAGAGATGATACACCGGATCCCGTACCAGAAGACGTCATAATCCCTTCTATAGAAACGAGGGACTTCATCGACGAGGAGCAGCTACAGCAAGACTTACTCGCTAGTTTGCCAATGCGGGGCGCAACCCTCACGCCCACATTGCCGGTTCCAGCCAAAGTAAAGAAAGAGTCTGTAACCTCTTCCCCAATATCAACACGGAAACCGGACAAGGCACCAGCCAGTTGGGGAGTAGTGCCCGACTCGGAAGCAGAAGACGACGAAGATGGCTCAGCGAAAACGGATCCGACCACACCCACGATCACAACTAGTGCCAAGAGCCTCGCTCCGCACCAACAGAGCCCACACGCCACGCACAACACGGCACATGGCAATAGCAATTCCATTGACCTTGTTGACGATGACAATTTCCCAACACCGGCCACCCCGCAGATAAAGCGCGAGACCAGCACACCCCCAGCAAACTTCCTCTCTACCCTGCAAACACCGATAACTCAACCAAACCGCCTACTTATGCTCGACTCTTCGGGCTCAAAATCTGCGTCTAAGGCTAATCGCAAGACATATCTGAAACAGATCAAGCAGAGCTGGACCAGGAAGAATTCACCCGCTCCAAAGAGTCTTGTGAAACGAAAAAGCTTTCCTAGTTTGGGAGCTCGAAAACGCGCTTGGATAGATGATGGAGATGACGACGTGGATGAGCTTGCCATGTAATATTGTCTTGACGTTGATACCGCGCTTATACGTTTGAGATACCCTTTGTTTGCTGCGAATGATTTATGAAAGTATATAGCATAGCCTCATCATTATTGATATGTATACTAAGGCCGATCGATGTACGGACTGTAGAATGCCGAAATATATATTGTAGATCGTGTACGCTCTTACCAACGAGCTGTGACAGGCAGGCACTGCTAATACTCTCGTTTGAATGGTGTGATTGCGTCGCTCTTTCCGTCTTCTCCCGACATATCCTCCCCCACATTCAATCGCATATGGCGGAAATTCCGAGGCCGCAAGTAACGCCATTCACCTTCGCGGTGCTGTACAAAAATCCGGTTCCAATTGAATCCAGCAGTACTTGGCGATAGCCAAGGGTGTTTACTGTTTGCTCACACTGGGCGGCCTACAGCGAATCGAGCCGAGGGAAAGCTCTGTTTACGTTTCGGTGCTGGCATTTCTCACAAGGCTACGTTGCAACAAGTCTCCAAGTGGTGAAGGTATAGTGTTAGTGAGGGAGCGAGCTGCCGATTTCGGTGCCCTCACTCGTCGAGTATATGGTGACTTCTCCCAGACAGACCGGCACACCTTTCTCAGCTGTGATCATCGGCTTGTTCGTCTAGGACGAAGTTTCGGTGAGCGTCACCATCCAGCTATCTATCGAGCCAATTGGCAGTCGTTGAACTTCAACCACTCCACCTACACCCGTCTCCACGACAACAGACCACTGCTCCAAACCACCCAACCACCTCGCGACTGCTCACACCAGCAACACATTTCATTTTTCAGCGACTGCCCTGCAGACGCCGTGATAGCATCCACCTGAACAATGCCCTCGCTCAAAGATCTCAGTTGCGCAATCGAGCTTTCCGAACCCCAAAAGGCACTGGAAGAATTCGGCACCATCTATGGCGATGGATTTGTAGAGACTTTCGTACCTGTACCCAGCAAGCCGCAATCATTTTCGGTCCACCTCACTTCCAACAAGTTCATCGCACCAGGCGTGGCTATCTTTGTATACGTTGACGGTGTCTACCAATGCAACCGCAATAGACAGGACTTGAAACTTCGGAAACCTTCTGATAGCCGCTCTTTGGTCGACTTCAGAGTTCGCCAAAAGGAGGAGAGACAAGGGGATGGCTCGATGATTGCGCGCGAGTGGGCATTTGACAAATTGAACATCAGTAAGTCTGACGGCTGGTCTCTGGAAGACGCCTGCTAACATATCAAAGCATCAGCAGACGATGCACCAAGCCTATGCTCACCAAACATTCTCGAGAACATTGGTTGTATAGAAGTCATCGTGCTGCGGTGCGCGGGTATCCGCAATGCCCAATCTGGTGCGACGATGAACTTCGATGGAGCAGGTGATTACCTTGATCAGCACTTTGGTCTAGATGGGAGCTCGGGGCCCTCGAATGAAAAGTCTATGTACGACGACCGTCTGCCCCTTTTCCATAATTTCGGCAATGGCTTCAGTCCACCACCACCTTTATCCTCCTACCGCCAGCCGTATGTCGAATCGGATGATAGCCGCAAAGCATCGTCATCACGGAACCGCCGCAGCGCTCACGGTGCACAAGGCGTGCCTCCTCAAGCATCTGTCACACATCACACGCAGCTTCGTTCCAGATACACCGAGTCTGTCAGTCCTGGTGCGCGGCGCACGAGCGAAATTTGTCCACCAGGCTTTCAGTATGGTAGCGGTCCTATACCGCGCGACGGAGAGCCGTTCCGACAACGAGCGACAGATGCCAGGACGTCTAAAGTTCCCTTTCAAGATCCTGTCTGGTTGAACGAAGTGATTACTACAGCAGTGAAGCAGGGATTGGAAGAGTCGCGACGGATTGAGGCGCAGTCTGAAGGACGTGCTGGAAAGAAGAAAATTCACTCAGATGTGGACATCAAGAATCACCTACCTGGAGCATGGCCGACATCTCCAGTCGCAGTGACCCCAGAACCGTACAAACGATCTCAGCCAGCGGCTTTCTCTGTGCACGAGCGTGATAGTGATCACGGCTCGAAATGGAACGACTCTCAAGGCGGTTGGAGCCAACATAAGTCGCAAAGCAAAGCCGGCAGTCGCGTTACGTGGAGTGCTGAGCCCTTCTCCGAAACCGATTCCTCAAGTCATCGCGGATGGAAACTGCATGAAGAGACACCTTCAGATTCTTGGGATACAGAAGAGACATGGGCGACCAACAAAGCGCATACTTGGGAGGCTTCCGATCCAGTGAGCCAATCTCAGCCACCAGCTGTTCTGAGTCACTATAATGTGAAGGCCATCCCCCCAATCAATTTGGATACACACAGTCGCCAGCGTTCTAAACTCAGCTCCCAACAACAGAAGTCGCGCTCAAAATCACGTACAAAGCACTCTCGACGAGAACATGGAATCACGTCGTCTTCTTCAGAAGAAACAGGGTACGCATATCTTGAACGGCCTTCAGACTCAGTCGTCTCCTTGAGCAGCTCAGACGAAACTCTTCGGGCATCGCGTTCTCGGACTCATGCACCACTTGGAACAAAAAGCAGGTCTAAGAGCCGTTCTCGGCGTACGAAATCTGCGCAGCGAGACGACGGGCGAAGACCATCACAGGCTTCGCAGTACGCACCCATGGCGCAGCCAGCAGGAACCCATTATGCCGCTGCTTCTCCCATGATCAAACAAGCCACGCCGATTATCATGAACGCGCCAATACATCTGATCCCGACACAAGTACCCTCATGGCAGCCTAGTGTACATCCTCCAAGTCAGGGTCCGCAAGTGTTTGATCCCATACGGAAGCAAAGCAATGCTAGCAATAAATTCCCTCCCCCGTATGCATCATCGCTGAAAGATCTTGTCAATGGTACAGTGGGTGCTGAGCAGCAAGAAAGCCGTTCTGTTTCCTCTTCTAGTTGGGGAAGTGTCAAGAAGACTGGAAGTGTAAAAGATTCATGGGGAAATGATGACGACAAGGAGTCTGGCTGGGGTACTACTGGTACCTCTGGCTGGGAAGAGAAGGAACCAAAACCACAAGGCAAGAATGGCTGGGAAACCACGAACGAGCCTATGAATGAAGGTCAAGCCGATGGCTGGAAAACTCCGAATGAACCTATGAAAGACGATCAAGCGGAGGGCTGGAAAACCCCGAATGAACCTATGAACGACGATCAAACCAATGTCTGGGCCAATACCGACGACATCAACCAAGTTGAAGCCATCGCCTGGGAGACCAAGGATAACAATTGGGTCATGAAGGGCGATGGTGCCAGCATGAAGGATGACGGTGTTCATGCGAAAAATAGCAATTGGGGTATGGAGGACAATAGCGGGGATAAGAACGACGATGGTTGGAGTCCGAAGAACAACTGGGGCGCACCTCAGACACTGAAGAGTGAAGGGGAAAAGGAGAAAGAAGGTACTGTCAACGATGCGACAAGCCTGCGGTCCGCTTCGGAGAACGCCGTCGAAAATCCATTCGTCTCTGAAACACCATGGCAAACCCAGACATGGGACTTTCAGGCCAATAAAGACCATGAAGAAGTTGTCCCATGCAACGACGTCAAGCCAGCTCCGCAGATTCCAGTGGTAGAAACACCCCAAAAGGCTGCTTCAGCATCTCGTCGCTACAGCAACAAGTCCCTATCAAAATACCGCCAACTTCGTAACTCTTCTACGGACCTGACCACCCCAAAGGCGCACTGGCAATTCCCCCCTCCACCATTGTCACACAAACTTCGGACCATCTCCGAAAATCAAACTTACATTGCCCCAAAAGAGCCGCGCTACATCATCCCGGAAAAGATTGCCAGCGAAAAAGGAATTGAGCACCAGGTGCGACCTGGCCCGGCAACCGAGTACGGACATGTAGTGGGTAGGCCAGAGTACATGGATCAACTAGACAAGCCATACGCCGTATTTCGATTCAAGTACCGCAGTCGCTCTATACTTAAAGCACTGTTTGGAGATCAGATATCTGGAGTGGAGAAGCCTCTGCCATCTCGAACTACCGAAATCAAGAAGGAGAAACTCAAACAGGTCCCACAGGATGAGTTGATTGATAAGATGCTCAAGTTGGAGACGAAGCTCAAAGAAGCTCAAAGGTCTAGGGAGAAGAAACACAAGCATGGCCATCGCCACCATGAAGCAGAAAAGGAGGAAGAGAAGGTAACAAAGCCCAGTGATCAAACTGAAGTTATGGCACAGGCCTTGACTGAGGCATGGGTTCAGCATCAGTCTCGCGAACCCAGCGAGAAAGCAAACAGCCAGACTGCAAAATCCACCAGTAAGGAGAAGGGTGAGAACATTGAGAAGAAGGGAAACGCCAATGGGGCATGGTTGCAGAGTGGAAACGATGGATGGGGTAGTAACATCAAATGGTGAATCCAATTCCTTAGTAGCTAGCCTCAACGACGGAGGAAAGAAAGTAGAGAATAGCTCAGGTCGTCCCAGAATCCGGAGAATTTGATCCTCTGCTGCGACGAGTCGGATTTGTGGAGACGATGCTTTGATGCATGGACACTTGGAGTCATGCTGCCCTCCGTTCTCTGGATCGGACGATGAAAAACACGAGCTCTGTAGGCAATAGTTTCCCCCCAAAAATACACCCTAAGCCAAACCTGTTATCCAGCATTCGTTTTCCAATACCCACCTCTCTATGATTCGCGGATAAATATGATACGCGGTTGTATTCAATATTGCCACGTGAGCTTCCACTAGCATGCTCCCGATCTTAGCTAGCACTCAACGCCATCATCACCAAGTAGCTATTAATACTAGTGCGTAAATCCTTCCGGGAGTCTATGCGGTGATCACGATGACAGCTGATGGTGTTGCTACGACTTGGAATAAACTTTGTTACCTATGCAAGAATACGAAGAGCGATCGCGAGATGCGACCACCGGAAGAAGACCGTAATGACCGTAAAGGCTTTGGCATCTTTGACTAAGCACAGCCGGTCCAAATTTTGAGGAGAGGAAATTTTTCAAGCCAAACTTGGGAGGTGTAGTTGCAGCGTCGACGGATGCTCGGGCACCATTAACCCGGTGGCTGCAACTAAGATGAACGCACTCATGCTTTCCCAGGAACGCGCATCCTTAGTAAATGTATGTTGGCACCAGGATGTCAGGTAGGTACCCGTCTGATTAATGTCCTTAATGAAATCATCACGGGAAGTGGGAAGCTGGCCTAGAAGTATGCAGACGAAGTGAACAAGCAAATCAGGTTTTCCTCTGCAATGCAAAATATAGTGCAATTCACAAAAGGTAAAAACTTTAGCCTGATTTGTCGCGAACAAGGCTAGTGGCAGCCTTGAAAATACTGCAGGTGGGAGTATAAGTAGCTAAAGCTTATATTTCACACGCAATATAGCGCGATAGTATATTACGTAGATACCTGCCAGGTGAGGGAAGTAGCGTGGACATGGCGTAGCCAAAGGCGAAAAATGCGGGGGGTGGGGAATTTAGATTGTTTTCTCGTTTCCATTTCCGTTGTTCGGCATACCCACGAGCATGCACCCCAGTCCGACAGCCGTATATCCCCCTGTTCGTGTCTTAAGATGGCAGGAATTCTGCCGCGGGAATTGTAAAAAAGATGGGGAGGAGGGGTGGTCATGTGTAGCTGTGTATATAAAGAGATGGATGCGTGATACTGATGGAAGCCGGCACGATTTCGTCTTGCAACTCCTCCCGAAATCACGCCTCGTTTTACATCAACCATGCGGTTCTCCCTCTTCGCCGCCGCGGCATTCGTTGCTTCGGCCGTGGCACGCAGTTTGCCTGTCGATGCACCAGTGACTTTGTCCTCTCGACAAACTAAGCTGCCCAGCTCGTTCAAGTGGTCGAGCAGCGATGTGCTGGTTTCGCCGAAAAAAGATAGCCACAACATAGCTGGTGTCAAGGACCCGTCCATCGTTGAGGTCAACGGCGTGTACCATGTTTTTGCCAGTGGGGCGAGTGATGCAGGATACACGCTTCTGTACTTCAACTTTACAGACTTTAGCAAGGCCAACCAGGCCCCGTTTTACTACCTCGATCAGAGCAAGATTGGTACTGGATACAGGGCTGCTCCCGAAGTGTGTAAGTAACCACCATCACTCGTCTCTTAAAAAAACACGCTAACACACATCCAGTCTACATGAGCTCGCAAAAGCTCTGGTACCTCATCTACCAAAACGGCAATGCAGCTTACAGCACCAACCCGGACATCTCCAACCCAGCCGGCTGGTCCGCACCCCAAGTTTTCTACCCCAACGGCACGCCCGCCACCGTCACAAACAACATCGGAAAGGGCTACTGGGTCGACATGTGGGTCATCTGCGACAGCGCAAACTGTCATCTCTTCAGCTCCGACGACAACGGCCACCTTTACCGCAGCCAAACGCCCGTATCCTCGTTCCCCAAGGGCATGAGCGAGCCCGTCATCGCTATGCAGACCACCAAACCCAACGACCTATACGAAGCGTCCAACGTGTACAGCGTGGGAGGCGGCCAGTACCTGCTGCTGGTTGAGTGCATTGGCGTAAAGTCCTCACCCGGCGGCATCCGCTACTTCAAGTCGTGGACGAGCTCGAATTTGGCGGGGCCGTGGACAGCGTTGGCGGCGACGGAGGCAAATCCCTTCATGGGCGCGGCGAACGTGCAGTTTGCATCGGGGAAGAGCTGGACTGAGTCCTTTAGTCATGGAGAGATTATTAGGACAGTGGTTGATCAGTCCTTGACGATTAAGCCGTGCTCAATGAGGTTTTTGTACCAGGGTATTAGTCCTAGTGCTAATGCGAACTACAACTCACTGCCTTGGACTTTGGGTCTGTTGACTCAGGTGGGTAACTCTTGCTAGGTGGATGCGAGAGGGTTGAAGTAAGGGGGGGGGGGGGAGTTGAGAGAACTGGCAGAGTTCAAGGTCGCTATTGTACACTACAATATTGCTTGCAGTGCTTCTCTCAGCGACGAAGCCATGTATATATGTATATAGCTATGCACGAAATCTATGATTCTAGCTTCATGGTCCCGCAGAGCGAACATGTCCACCACTGTCTCTCCTGCATAAAGGTTAGCAAACATCTTCCTTGTCACATGTGATGACACTTACCATGAAAGTTCCACACTCCAAGCAATTCCAGCCTAACCGCCCCCTCGCAGGTTCAAACGGCGTCGCACCCTGTCCCCTCAACCCAGACTGCGGTGGTGGTCTCGGTAAACTAGGCGCCGTGTGTCCCGATGCGAAGCGCCTGTGTTCAGGTATCGGCTGGGGTGGTTGTTCCAAGCCACAGACCTCGCAAGCAAGGTAGTCGAGTGGATTATGCAGCGTACACTGCGGACATGCCCATTTGTCAGGATCAGTGGGGACAATCAGGGGCTGTGGGACGGGAGATGTACGTGGTGGAGTGGGCGGGAGTTGCTTCCTACGTAGTTGCTCTTCCTCGTCGGATATCAGACGCGAGGAGGGTGTTCTTGTAGACTTTGGTTCCGGCTGCGTTTGTGTTCTGGACGATGACTGTGTGACTAGTCGCGATAGCGGACGGCCTTGTGGAGGATGTGTGGTACTACGTGTCGGGTAAGGCTGAGGTACGGATGAAGTGACCGCGACGTCTCTATTCCTTGACCATGCTAACCCCGATGAATTTTGTGCAGGAGATGCAGTGCGTGAAGGCGGATTACTATCAAACTGCAGACCATTTTGAGGATCCCAGCTTAGTCCCCCGCTGCCAGTCGGCGCGCCTAACCGCTGCATCTCCTCGTCATACATGAGATCCTGCAGTGCTTGCGCAATCGCCCAGTCGTTAGCGTCATCTTGCTCAGCCCTGGTTCGGAATCCATCCTGCTCTTGCTGGTTGACGAGCCTCCCTGCGTCCGAGCTTCCGCTTGCACATCCTTCGGTAATACTGCTTCGACGTGACGCGGCATCGGCGATGACTTTGCGCATATCTATGTCACGTCCGCCAGGCCGCGTACCCCCGAGGCGATGGCCTCCAGAGTTGGAATTGGTAGTGGCCTTGCGCTTCTCGGCGGCTTTCCTCGCCTGTCGGCGCATCTCGTCAAGCGGTATGCGTCTGCCGCCGAGTTTTTGGCCTTGCGACAAGAAGCCTTCACCAGTGTAGCCCTTCATTAGAAGCGATTGATGCTCATCTCGAAGTTCGTTCCAGAGGTTGTTGAAGTCTACATTGTGGGGACCAAAGACAATGTGACAGAGTTCATGCAACAAAGTATCTGTGATCTGCTCCATGGATAGAAATTGCCTAGAGTCATAGTGATATCGCAGTCGAATGAGGATCCTCTCGGTGCGGTTGATATTGAGGCCTTGCAATTATTAGCCATAGCCAAGAGTTAGCAACCAGCCTCATGCTACGTACCTAGTAGCTGAGGCTCGTCCGGCAAGAATTCAGCCAACGTGCCGACTTTCCAACCGCGCTTCCTCATCATGGGCTTGACCATGGATGCAGCCTTGCGAAGCATATGTAGTGCCTCTCCATCCCTGGGCAAATGTTTCAGATGCTCGTAGGCATCGAAATGCGCATCGATCTCCCGCATAGCTCTTACTATTTCCGTTTGTTCGGCGTTGTGCCCTTTGAATGTGTCGCCGCTGTGCTTTTGCAGTGGCGATTATTTCCTCGGATTCACGATGGGTGGCCTAGAGAGAGTGGATATGCGTATCGATACGATGACCTTAAAATAGAAGAAGAAAAGTCCTACTGCAACGGCAAAGAAGCAGGTGGAAGGGAACCCAGAGATTAGTCCAGGAAAGAGGCAAACGACAAGGCCGGCCACGTAAGCAATTCACGCGTCGTATCTCGGTGGTGGACAATAGCAGGGCGGGCCTGAATGAGGGTATGCTAACTCAAAGATAGTATTTACCCGCTGCTATCGTCTAAATAGAGTGGAGGCGATGTGCTGCAGGTCAGTATGTAGGTAAGCGTGTAGGCTCAATAATAGATACGTGGGCACCGAGGGCGTGGTACGACGACAGCGAGCCAGCCGCACTCACGTGGGAGCGTCGTGTAGGATGGTGGCGCGAGTCAGTCGCCAGAGCCTGACGTAGTGTAGTGCACATACGGCCTCGCAACGACTAACTTACCGGAGGCGACGTGCGAAGAGCTGGAGCATCGCGCACTTGCAAGTCACCCCCACACGTTTGCAATATCCGTGACAACATGTCAAGCGACGACCAGCAGTTTCTAGGCGTGGTGAGTGTGAAGGTGGCAGGTGGTTTGCAGCTTTTGCTGACGTAGGTGAAGCTAGCAGAGTACTCCAAAGATGTCCGCACCTTTACCGGATCGATATGGGATGCAACGGATGCGCATTTTGCCCATGTAGCTGGATACATCAAGAAGAGCCTTCCTGAAGGATGGCTTCCGGAACGCGCACGACCACGTCCACCCCCTCCATCCCCGCACACCATCACTGGCACATACTTGCATCGCCTCCAACACTGGGTATCTGAGAACCGGGCGTTGACGGCTGCGATTGTCGCCTTCTTTGGCACAGGAGGCTTTCTTGTCTGGAGAGAACGAAGAAACTACAACCGCAAGAGGCGAGCGCGGAAAGCGAGCAATGGGGCACGAACGGAGGTTGTTGGTGAGCATCAGACATGCACTGGGTATATGGAAAGATTCTGACTATAGTAGTTCTTGCTGGGCCTCCCAACTCGCCCATCGTCCGATCGCTATCCCTCGACCTAGAACGACGCGGCTTTATTGTATATATTATATGCTCTAGTATGGACGAAGAGCAGCAAGTGTTGAGCGAGTCGAGGGCAGATGTGCGGCCGCTGCATCTGGACGTGGTGGATACCATGGGCACGCAGGACGCCATTGACCGTTTCAACGCTCTTCTCGCAAAGCCGCACGTCGCCTTCTCGGGGGCAACCCCGCACAACCTCCACCTCAGCGGTGTCATACTGGTGCCTGACCTCATTTATCCTACTGGCCCCGTGGAAACAGTGACCCCTGAGCTTTGGTCTGATGCCCTGAACGCCAAGGTACTCAACACTATCGCTGTCACGCAGGCACTACTGCCTACAGTCTGTGAGTTCAAATCACGCGTCTTGATGGTCACACCCAGCATCATTGCATCATTGCGGCCGCCATTTCACAGCGTAGAAACTACCATTGTAAGTGCCCTCGAGGGTTTCCTGGCCTCGCTCCGCGCTGAGCTGGGGACCCTGGGCATTGAGGTGCTGCAATTTCATCTAGGGACGTTTGATTTCACCAACGTGGGGCTCAAACAGCATCTCCCGACTAGATCGATCGCCAGTCCTGTTGCTTGGCCAGCAACAACAAGGGCCTTGTATGCGAGCAACTTTGAAGCCCAGACACGGGTCGCGCAAAACCGGGGACTGTTAAGCCAGAGCGGAAGCTCACTTCGGGAGTTACATAATGGCGTGTTCGACGCCCTCACACAAAAGCGGCCGCGAAAAGTATGGCGAGTAGGGCGCGGGAGTGTCACATATGACCTGGTGGGCAACTGGGTGCCATCTGGGCTCGTAGGATGGATGATGGGACTACAACGTGTATCCCTCGACAAGGCGTCGAAGCCAAAGCTAGAGGATAGCGTGCAACTACAAGCGTGGGAAAGAGTTGATGCGATCGCTTAGCTGGCCTAAAGGCACTTGATGGGGGCAACGTCATAAAGGGACTGTGCCGGCGGGAGAGACGAACGGGGCCGTAGCATCGGCATCGATACGGAGATTCGCAGCGCACAGTTGCCGCTTCGGGTGCAATGGAGCGACATTCTGTGGTCACAAGACAGGAGCATACTCGCCATTCAATAGTGGCATATTCGCCGTTGGACGCTGGTGTGGTCGTCATTCGACGGCTGCAGGTACGAGGGCTTTTGCCCCTTGGGGATATACTTCAGCTAGTTTCCCCTGCATTGTTAGATTGGAAGCCCAGGCTCGCGGGTTGACGGCAGTCCAGTCAGTCGTCGAGGTATAGTTGGACAGGATTATGGGAGTCATCTCACCTCTTTGACAAGAAGCGTTACAAGAACAGTGGTTCGCAGAATGGGCAGCATTTTAATGAGCAGCGTTCTGGAACATGTTCTGCTCCACAATGTGCCGGCAGCAAATGAAGTGACGGCGGGCATGTGCCACTCTATTGACGGGCGCCGCCCAAAGGGGAACCGGAGCCGAGGGCGAATAGGGATCCATGAAAGTCATTAGTGAAACGAGGCAGCTGTCAGGCCGGAGATGGGGCATGTTTGGTGGTGATGGTGTGAAGGGGAAACATGGCGCGGCCATGGTGAAAAACAAAAGGCCATATGTGCAGAAGATGTAATCATGGCGGGAAGCATGAGGCTCGTGTACATATGACAAGTATGACAGGCGGCCAATTGATGTGCTGCTGCACTGGTGGTGCATCATGGTGGAGACTGGTGTGCGTCGTGTTAGACCGACGGCGCAGTGGCCACAACGTCGTCGATGCAGGGCACCAAGGCCTGGTAGCGCGCCCGATTGGGTGGGCAGGGACAGCAGGGACAACAGGGAGAATGCTAGACACGCAGCAGGTTCCACATGGTTTCAGGAGGTCTAAGTTTGGCTATTATTGCCTGCGGTCAAGCTAGAGTCGCCATAGAACATCGCGAGGCCCCAAGTGAATTGCTGCCTCAGTGCTGTGCCAGTCAGTCCCCTCACTCGACGCTTGCTGTCGTATCCGCTCCTTCGCGCTGCACCCCCCAATAATCGCCATCGCCATCGCCCATCGCCGACTTGTTGCCTTTCCATGCCCCAACGCACACGACCAACACGCCAACACAGCCATTCGCGCCTTGCCCCAAACCTGACACAGCCACTCTTCCGCATCGCGCATTCTGTAAGAGTCCTTCGCATTCGCACTTGTCCGATTGCCGTTTCCCGTCTGCCGCTTGCGCGCATGACAGCCCGGCGTCATATCCCGTCCGCCGCCGCCGCTTCCATGAGCCATCCTTGCTGAAGACGACCATCACTGCCGTCAGCCCTTCACCTTCACCATGGCCAACAAACCACAACGACCAGGCGGTCTCGATCTGCGCTCCCACTCGTTCGAACCTCCCCAATTCCCCAACTCGACTCTCGGCAGCAATCCCAACGCCAGCATGAGCAACCTGTCCCTCATGTCCGACCTGCCCAGTCCGCGCACCGGCGAAGCACCTCCCGCACTCTCTCCTCTGGACGCTCTCGCCCTCCAGGGACGACTTCTCGCAAAGCGCTTCGAGCAGCAGGACAAGGCCGGTCGTCGCCTCAGTCGACTGGCGCCACTCACCATCCAGAATGAGTTCGGCAATCGCTCCGGCTACTTTTCATCCATGTCCAGCTCGACTGTCAACTCTCCCAATGAAGAGGCCGGCCCCGTCAGGTCACCTCAACCACAGCCGTCTCCCCGCCAGGATGCTCATGAGAGGCACAAGTCGTGCTACCCGCAGTTTGGCAACGAGGAGCCCGAGCCGCAATTCGCCCTCGGCCCTCTCCAGAGTCCAATGGCTACCATTGTGGAAGCAAGCCCTGCCACCCCACCCCAGGGCTATTTCGACATACCCAGGTCGCACTCGCCCGATTCAGTCGAGCCTCACTTTGGTCTCCGTGAAGCCACGCCCATCAGTCCCCACGTGCCGCAACCCACTTCGCACATGTTCCTCAGTCCACAGAGGAAGCCATCAGTCGAGTCGCAGCATCGCTCGCAGCCACGCTCTAACCTCCTCCCCCCGAGATCATCCAGCTCCATACACTCCAATCGCTCTCCACGACTGTCGCCGAGCATGAGGTCTGTCACCGGAGACAGTTATGGTGATGTCGAGGACATGTCGCTCAGCGGGTCGTATGACTCGATCCACCAGAACCGTAACTTGTCTCCTAGCTCTAGCGTATCCAGGGCGCACTCTCCCTTTGCCCACCCTGGAGCATCTGCAATGGCACGATCGCCGTCGGCCGCATCCGACTACTCTCAAAACGGTTCCATCCTCCCGCGCCCGTCCTACAACTTCTCACGACCCATGAGCCGACAGAGCGCTCGCCCATCATTGGACGCAAGGTCGAACGGTGGGCCATCGCGCCAACCATCGCAGGAAAGTGTCAACATGAGGCCTTCCTTTGACAGTCCACTCCGACGACAGGACTCGGGCGATAGCCCTACTAACCATTATGCCAACGATACTATCCACACGCCAGTCAGCATGGCGAGCGAGGACTTCCGCAGATCAGGCGACTTCAACAGCAACCCGGCTCCCTCCTACACATACACAAAGTTCAATCTTCCTCGAGGCAGGCCCGTCGACCGACGATCTGTTGGCGTTGAAGATTTCTTCAAGAGGGAAATCAAGTGGGACCAGGAAAACCAGCCCGGTAAGGCCCAGACGCGTCCGCCTTCGCCAGAATCACCACCCCGTTCGTTTGATCAAGCACGACTACAACGACCAAGTACAGACCATGGAGCGCCCTCCCTCACTTCTAGCAATAGTACTATCCGCGCACGGACTGCCGGGTCTACTGCTGAAGTCACTGCCCAACAACACTGCGACATGGGTCTTGAGCTTCATGAGGCCGGCGAACTCCTCAAGTCTACCTACCACCTTCGTCTCGCAGCCCGAGCTGGCCTTCCGGAGGCCATGTTCTGGTACGGTCTAGCTTGCCGACATGGCTGGGGTATGCGTGAGAACAAGGCCGAGGCATTACAGTGGCTGCGACGCGCCGTCGACTCTGGCCAGCTTGAGGTTGCCGATGACGAAGACCAAGACAAGCAAGGGCAACTGACCGACCTCATGAAGAAGAAGAAGCACCGTGCCCAGTATGCCGTGGCCATCTATGAGCTGGGCAAGTGCTATGGAAACGGATGGGGCGCTCCTACCGACAAGTCCCTTGCGCTTCGCTGCTACGAAATTGCCGGTAACTGGGGCGATGCTGATGCTCTCGTTGAAGCTGGCTACTGCTATGCTGAGGGAGTTGGTTGCAAAAAGAATATGAAGAAGGCTGCCAAGTTCTACCGTGCAGCCGAGGCCAAGGGTGTCAGCATGGTCGGCAACAGCTGGATCTACAAAGACAAATACATGGACGACGACTCCACCACCTCTGATGCTCGCTCAGTCCGCTCTGGCCGTTCGGCAACCAAGGACCATTCTGAGAAGAAGCCTCGCGACAAGAGCAGGACCCGTACCATCTTCGGTCGCAAGAAGAGCTCTGCTTGATCACCTACCTCCTTGTATATGTGTCCACGACTTTTTTTCCTTATGCGTTTGGCGACGGCGTCCGGGCTTAGCGACGGGAAGGCTGATCTTGCATATACCCTGGAGCATCTTTCCCGGCCCATTTCCCCTTCGGCTTGGTCCAAAACTCTGATTTCCTTCCGTTCATTTCCTTACGTTTAGTTCGCTACATTCACGATACCTGCCTGGTGCACGGCCTGGCACCTACTTTTGCGCTTTGATTGTTTTTTGCGCTTGGATCGAACTCGTCGATATATCGGCACACCACTCACATCTTTCCTTTTTTTCCTGTTCGTTTCTATATGTTGTTTTGTTTCCTTTGTTTATACCACAGTTTGCCCGAGGGCAATTTCCTTTCTTTCTGTTGCGGACTGAGGTCCTCATGTACGTAAATCTAATTTCGGTACTGGTGTACTGGCTTGTGGTGGGATAGGCTGTCGCGTCTCGTCAGCGGGATGCCTGACTTCTCCTTATTGTACTAGGGTAACGCTTTTGTGCATATGGATGGGTTTCAATCAGAATCAGCATTTGCTGTAGATTGCTGGGTGTATGTGTATACCAGGCTAGCTCTACAGTGGGTAGAATGCAAACATTGCAAGACGCGAACTTGTTCCCGTTACATATCTTCCTTGTTGATCATGTTGAACTTCAGACTTGACTTGGCTAACACAACCAGCTTTGATTTGTCAAAAGTCAAGTGTCTGTCGCAAGGACTACTCAGAACATTACAACCACTACTGACTTGTAAACTACACCAGAACCTCCGCAAATTCGAATTCCCCCCCTTAATCATGTTTCAGCCACAATTCCATTCCTTCTCCCGATTTCAGTACTTCTTTACAAAACACATATACAAATCTCCTTACTGCAGTTTGACGGCTCTCTCGCATCAGTCTCTTGGTACGAAAACCAAATGGTCAGCTTCTTTCCTATTCCCATAATGCCTTCCTCGCCTACTCACGACTCGCGGAAGAAACTGCCTTGAGTGGAAGTTACCAGATTGGTAGTTAACCAAATTGGGATGCGGCTCAGGAATGATAATTGACAGGGTAATTCAGTACATGCGTGCATGTAGAGAGTAGCCGACGTTATAGCAAACCGCTCCATTGTCACGTGGAAAGAAGCATCTGTGCTCTGTAACGATGTGCTCCCCGAGTTCTGTTGTCACGTCGCGCCTGCCAGTATACTTGATGTGAAGAGCTATGACGAATGCGCACTAGCCCCAATCAGCACGATATCCCAACCACCATGCGCGGGGCAGGAAAGGGGCCTTCCTCCAACATGCACACGCAACATTCCCAAAATCCAGTCCGGCTCGCACGGCACAGGAGATACTTGTTCGGTTTCTTTTCTATTCTTGCTAGCGCCGGGAATGCTGCCACTGCTGCGATGATGGGAGGCGCCGTGGTTGCCGTGCCGCACTCAGGTTGACGCCTCTTGTTTCAATGCATACTTTTTCTCCCTGCACCTCACCAATCATGGCTCAATGAGCCCCGGAGGATTTTCTTGGTTGGTAGGGCTGGCTGGCGTGTATCAGCCCCGCTGCGTACTCCATCCTTTATGTTTCTCGTTTCTCGTTTCCATCACACTGAACGTTTGGGGTCGCAGGAGGCCGGCCATGCAATAACGATATGCATACTGACAAAAGCCATGTTTAGTTATATCACCGGTGGACTTTACAACGGAATTGGCCAGAGTCGTTGAAGGAGCTTGAAGCTTGCCCGTAATGAGACCGTGGCGTCTCGCCAGCATTCAACCATCCGGTGTTTGGGGCTGTGTATGCAGAGTTTATGTAGAGTTCGATTGGAACATAACAATCGTGGAGTCGAATGAAGATGTTCGCGCTCTGTAGGTTATCACATACGTGCAGCATCTGGGACGGAAGCGGTCTCACGGCATGATCTTCTTCAAGAAGGTGATAACTTCAGGTAAGACTCTTCGAATACATCTCTTGATATAAAACGCCTCTATCGCATGTGCAGAAATAGTACAACTCTCACTCTCTATCTTTCCGACTGTCAACTTTTACAAAAACATACATTCGACGCCACTTTACCAGGCTGGTTCTGGTTACTGAAATCTTACTCTTACCTATCCTGTCATGCAGCCATCATCACCAACATCACCAGTATTCTCTGAGGCCGCTTCGAAGACCGAAACTATGGCGCAGCAAGGAACGAGCACGCTTGAGCAGCTCCAAACGCCACAGCAAGTCGAACTACTCGACAAAATTGACGAGCTCCGCCACCAAGGGCTAGGGCACCATGGAATCAGCTTGCCTCAGCTGATCGTCTGTGGAGACCAGTCTTCCGGTAAGAGCTCACTCCTTGAGGGACTCACTCATCTTCGGTTCCCTACCAAGGAGGGCATGTGTACTACGTTTGCAACCGAAGTGGTGCTTAGAAGAGAACCGGATATTGAGATCTCATGCACCATCACACCTGGCAAATCGAGATCGCCCACTGAGCGACGCGAGTTGGCGAAATTCAAGCGTACTTTTCCGTCCCGCGAAAGCTTCCTGTTCGAGTCTGTGACGGAACAGGCAAAGGAACAGATGGAACGCGGCGCCAGGTCAAGCCGTGTATCCATTTTCGAAGATGTCCTACGCGTTCGCTACTCTGGCCCCGAGCTTCCCTCTTTGACTATTGTAGATTTGCCTGGACTGTTCGAGACGGAGCTTGGTGGTGGCAGTGGTGCGGAGAGAGTTGCCGAGTTGGTGACAAGCTATATGCGCGATGACAAGTCCATCATACTTGCAGTGGTAGTTGCAGACAACGATCCAGAGAACCAAAAGGTCTTCAGATATCTCAAAGACTTTGATTCGACTGGCGCACGTACGCTTGGCATCGTTACGAAGCCAGACAAAGTTGAGCGGGGAGGCGATAACGAGAAAGAGATGATGAGGCTTGTGAAGAATCAAAAGCTTCCACTGAAGCATCGGTGGCATGCTGTGCGCAACCGAAGCTACGCAACAAAAGACCAAACACCCGCAGAACGCGACGAGGCCGAGCGCATCTTCTTCAGCAATGGCGTTTGGGCGTCTTTCCCATCACAAGACGTTGGTATTGCAGCTCTCCGAGTGAAGCTATCCCAAGTTCTCTTAGAACACATTGGAAGGGAATTGCCAGAGCTCATTACAGCCGTCCAAAGCTCGATACAGACCACTGAGGTCGGTCTGAAAGCGTTGGGTCCGGTTCGCGACACGGCAGAACAACAGCGCAGCTATTTGATGGGCCATGCGCAGAGATTCCAAACGCTTACAAATGATGCGCTCAGGGGTATCTATAGCAATCCTTTCTTTGCGCTATCATCACTAGACGAACCAGCGACAACAAGACTGCGTACAGAAGTGCAAAATCTGAATATGGCATTTGCTCAGACGATGTACGTCAAGGGCCATACCTGGAACATCGGATCTACACACGGCTCTTCAGCTCCCGTACCTTCTGACAATTACTCGCAAGCTTTTCTGGAATACAACAATGAGTTCGACAAACCAGAAGTCATCAGTCGCGAAGATCTCAACTCACATATTGGCGAGCTTGTCAGGCAAAGTCGACCTTCAGGGCTACCTTCGCTCGTAAACCCGCTGGTCATTGGGGATTTATTTAAGCAACAGTCCCAGCATTGGTGTAAACATGCCAAGCACCATCTTCAACGTGTATTCAAGGCCGTGACTGCCTACGTTGAGGAAGCGCTGGGATCACTAATGGATCCGTACACATGCAGCATGCTGATGCTCAAGCAGGTCCGCCCAGAGCTAGACAGGCGCTGGCGTAGCGTCGAAGCCAAATTGGAAGAGCTTCTAGTGCCTTATACCGAGCAGGATCCTGTCACGTACGATCCAAGCTTTGTATACCAAGTCGAAGAACTACGAGCTGCCCGTTACGCTAGCAAGACGAAAGTCCAGGCTGGTGGTCCAGCAAGTGCCTCGGTGCCGTTTGTCTTTGGCGCTGGCGATGATGCCCAGAACTATAGGCAGTCTGCCGAACATCTCTTGACGGAGTCTATCGACAACTATGCGAACTCTGAGATTCTTGATCTCATGCAAACTTACTACAAGGCCAGTATACCTGCCACTTGGAAAACAATTACATACATACTAACTATCCCATAGAGCGCATTATCAGTCTTCATCAGCAACATTGCCACCCTTGGAATCGAGAATTGTTTGATCAAGGATCTCTCTGCAATATTCTCTCCGACTCTGACTGCAGGCATGGACGACGACAAGTTATCCGCCATTGCCTCTGAGTCTGAAGACATACGCCATGAACGTGCTACTCTGAAACATAAGCTCAGTGTCTTGGAATCAGGCAAACAAGTCTTGTTCGAGCACATTGGTAAGACATCAAGGAAACGCTACTCCTGCTACCCTTTCTGACATCTTATCTTAGCAATGCGTCCCACCATTCGGACAACCACAAAGCCAGCTACTACTAGCCTCCGATCCAGCATGACCCCCAGTCGGTCCCGCACACAAAACTCGCGACAAGATGAGCAGGAAAGAAGGGATGCCACACCCGACGCTGAGGACGAATTATCGCGCCAGCTTGACAACCTCGTTGTGACGCCACCCTCACCTGCGTCTGCACTTGTGCGGTCTCGGCCCCGAGTCGATTCTGGGACTGGGACGCCGACGCCGAAGAAGCAAGGTAGAAGGAGGTCACCGTTTGGATGGCCGCCTAAGTATGACGTTCCTAGGGCGACAGTCGAAGATGCTTCTGATGATGATTGAAGGTGGTTTGTGAGGAGCGTAGCAGTACATACACGTGATGTTGTGGAAATGAACTATGATCTTTTTGTCTCATCTTAACCTTGCAACCACTTACATCCCACATGTTCGTATCGAAAACCTCCGCCGTTGCAGGCACCGAAAAAAAGAAGCTTGGTCATTCGGAAGATAAAAAAACAGTTATTGGTCATGTGTAAGAGAAAACAGAAAAAGTACTTCCAACCTCCGACCACACATGTTCACGCACCACCACAGTAACCATCACACCCATTACACGCCATCACCCATCACCCATCACCCAAACCTAGCACAAACACACTAAGAAACAAAAACTCATACAAACCCTCCACACCCTCCCCAACCGCAGTTCAACCGACCCTGCCCAAACCGAACCGAACCGAGACCAGCAAAACCCTGCGCTCCACTGCTCTCCCCTCCCCACCACACCGGAAAGAAAAAAATTAATCGCTTGCAATCCACACACACACACACACACACACACACACACACACAACGGCGGCCTCACCTCGGTGCTAACCCCACGCCACAACCCGCCCATCGCGCTCAGCCATTGCGTCATTGCAAAACCAAGGACTTGCGCGTCCTGGAATCAAGCTTTTTTGGGGAGGGGGCAGCTGCGACGCAGCAGGGTGTTTTTTGAGCTTACATGGTTTAGGGCTGGGTCTGGAATTGGGACTGTAACGTTGTTTTGTGGAGGAGGGTGTGGTGCGGATGTATCGGGTCGGGTTGGGTAAGATGTCGGAGGTGGGAGTGGCTGTGCTGTTGTATAGGTACTTTACAGTGTACCAGTGTGAGGTGTAATCACATGATATGTGTAGGTTATCGTAGAGGATCGTATCGTTTCTTTTGATTAAAGTGACTAGAAAAGTTGACGACACGTGATGTGTTCCTGGATACATTATACAGTACATACTGTAGCCGCGCTCCCCGCCTTTGGGTCGATTCAAAGGGCTTGATCTGGTTGGGCTAATGTACTCAGTGAAGACAAGGCTAGCTCGTGCACTACATGACACTGTACCTACATATGGTGGTGTGATGTGGGGATGATGAATATTGAAATTGCGATGCGGAAGTTTCAGCGAGATGGACGTCATAATTGCCTTTGTAGGTATCCATGTGGTAGTTGATTTGCTTGGCTCAGTGGGGGCTGTTGGATTTATTGTATTATGAGAGTCAGAGTCATACATGGTGCTTGTGTGGAGTTTGTTCGAGCAAGACGTGTTGATTGTGGATATCGTTCTGAAGTTCTGTACCCGGAGTTTTCCCGATGGGTGATTGAAGGCCGAGCGTGAGTATACTGAGTTTTGGTACAAGGATAATACCTACGTCGTTTTTACTTACAGCACCGAAAGCCTGTTATCAGTAACCCGTGATTCTCTATAGTTCCACCGTCTAACCTTCCTTCTGCTGTTTCACTTAGCTCATAATGACGTGGTGAATCTCGTATTCTACATACTTATCATTTATACTGCTTCCTTGCACAGCCATGTATGCAGTGTGATTACTGTTGTCAAGATACGTTGTCACCGGTTCGGAGTTATATGACTGCGCCAGTGCGGCGCTTCGGGGAAGCGGGAAAGGTCTGTGTGCGCGTGGCTGAAAAGGGAAGGATAACCACGCGGTAGCGCCCTTTCCATAGATCAAAAGATACGAGGAGAGTCCGCGACCGTAAGACGAGAGAAGGAGATACCAAGATATTCTGGATGTTACGATCGACATCTTACACCCAAGATGTCGTTGACGTTCATGACGCATGCTTGCGTGTTGTCATGACGACGCTTAGAGGAACTCGTCACGAGAGGGAAGTCGCGCAATGCGGGGTAAGGAAAGATCTAGTTGCTAGGTAGTTTCCAGAAAATAGACATAGCATTGTGATGAATGTAATGTGAAATGACTGAGAGGTGATGGATATGTTGCGTATGTGATATTGCTGCCAGAAAGAAAAATGCATAGTTGACCAAAACGCATACCGACTTTCACAATCCTGGATAAAAATTCGAAAAATCGGTGTGAGACTGAAGAATGGATAAGCCATGCAAGATGATCATGAACCAGACCCCCCAGTATAGACATATGACAGAACAAAAAAGCGTCCGCGAGCAAGCACCAAGAACAAGATGCGCGATTTGGAGGGTGTGCTACCCCACGATTTGCGTAACCTTGATCTAGGATAGCGTTCTCGAGCACAGCGCTGCTAGCAAGCGACTTGCGAATACTGATCGGCTGGCCAGGCCAGCCGGAGTAAGCGCATTGATGGTTGGAGGATTGGTGGAACTTCTAGTGGGTCTCGGTCCGATTGGCGAATACGTACGAATGAATGGATGAGTAATGATAGGAATGGTGGCAAGGAATCACATAGCTCCTAGTCTATGTAGATGAGTTCGGGTGAGAAGGATGCGCAATCTTGTCCGGTGTATCTTGGCAAAGTTACCAATATTGAGTTTGTAAATGGAGATTGACAAACGTACATTGTTGAGGCTGCAGATCGGTCTTGCTGACATACTGCGGAGGTGCAAAGAGTCCAGTCTGACCAGGAACAGTAGGACAAGAGATTATCCATGTTTTGGTGAGTGTGTAATGAACTGTATGGTTGCACTGAGCGTTATAATCACCGTATCGAGCTCTTCCAGTAAATAGGAGAGTTCGGCTTTCGTGAAAGCAGTCTCCGGGCCCGCGGATGCACTATTGCTATTAATTGACAAATGAGAATGAACAACATGTTGAGCTACTGCGATGCCCCCCTCCGTACCCTGTCAAAGGTCCGCACTTATGCGCCGCAAACGCGAAGCTGCTTACGCAACGTCGAACGAAACGCCTCCAACATCTGCGCCCTCTTTCTCAACTCTTTCCCTGCTTGAATATAGGTCGATGCCGCGGTCCAGATATAATCAGGGTACAGCACCATGCCGAGGTTTATGCGTCAGGTGCCGAGCTCTTTCCCGCATGTAAGCCACAGAGTCATTTTATGAAATCTGGAATGGAGTGCTAATTCGGATTGCAGTAACATCACCGATGATCTGTCAAACTCGCGGCAGTTGCGGAAAGTAGCTCTTTTACGCACTGCTCATTTGTTCGAATGCACACCATCGTATGCCTTTGGGGTCTCAAAATATGAACCGAGATAACTGATACCTTCTGGCCTCCTGTCGTGAATTTTCCGATGCCCAACTCTTGCTTTGCTCTCAAGGACATATCTCGGCGATGTTTAAAGTGATGATCCCGTAGACCTGCATGCGGCTCTGGACACGCATGGCAGATCGCGCACAAGAAGCAGGTATTGTCTATAGCCAATGACTGAGAGTCTTGTAAGTTAACTCGAACTTCAAACCTTTCATTTTGATGCTCTGTGGGTACCAGTGTCCAGCGGGGATACTGTAAACACCCCCATGCATTTTCAATTGCCGTCGAGCGTGGGATGTAGGGAAAGACTCACCGCATCCACCGTTCAGCCCCGACAAATTCCCGCCATGGCCTGTTGAGGAGGCAAAAAAGTTTGGAAGTCAGCACGCTGAGATTGTCGTCGGATGTTGAATAACTTGGCATCCCACGCTGGCAGCTATTTCTGGCAGGTATGCGTGCGGCCTGACAAAAAATCCCACCCGATCGACTCGATCAGATCGGTTGAGGCTCTTGGGACCAAAGCAGGGCCACGCATACTACACCCGGTGGCAAACAAGCTCTGCCCCCAAGCGTCGCCGTTGAACGGTAGCCATCTCGTTCTGTAGGTTCATGGCTAGTAATAACCCCCCACGGACGACAATAGATCTACGAACTATAGTTATAGCGAATCTCACGGTAAGCGTACCCGTTATTTAGTTGAGACTAGAGCGGAAATTAACGGTCCAAATGGCAGGACCTCGGACATGTCCGCTGGCCACTTCTCCACTGCACTGATGTATGTAAGAGTCCGAATATTAAGAAGGTTTGCGCATATGCAACACTTGGTGGCGAGTATATTGTGGCATATGTCATGATGACGACGGCTGCGGACATTTTCGAACGATCATGTGCTGCGGATAGAATGTCCCTTTGATCAGAACACGTCTGTTCTCACCTAATCGGTCTAGGAAGCGACAACGGTCTGGATCCAGTGGAATGCAGGTGTGCTGTGCCCCGCTTCATGTGAGATGACCCCTCATCGGCATTGGTGTTATTTCCGGTGCGGGAGTCATTGCTACGTGTTCGACTAGAATTGTTAACAGTAAATGTACCCGATGTTGCGGAGCATCTTTTCGAACAATCTTACTATTTCTAGGTCTCTTCCAGGCCCGATGGGGAGCAAGATAAGCACCGTGGCCACGGAATACGGTCAAGTCTCGTCCATCAACACACCCTAGTCTGTGCAGGAACACGCCGCAATAGAGTTGTCACAGGGCAGTGGAGAATGCTATGCTCGGACTTCACTGGCCTTGGGCAGCATCTGACACGGCTGTCCCTAGTATGACGTGCAGATGCCAGGGCCGCAATGCATGAGATGGCAAGACGCGGCGACGAGACCGATGGCAAGAAACTGGGGCACCATGCAGACGGGAGAGGTCGAATTCGGTGACAGCTCAAAAGTGTGCGGTCAGAGTTCGAACGTGGTAAGAAGGCGGGGAATGAGTGTCCTGGATCGCCGAATTGTGGGGTAATAGCGTCGTATCTGATGGCTGCATGGCAGGCCCACCACACATGTGCAGGCTCGGTTCTCGCTCCGCGACGAGGCTGTGCACTTGTAATGAATACTAGACTTTTGCATTTTCAGATGCACTCAGTAGTATATGGCGAAGTAAGGAGTGCATGTGGCTTGCATAAGGGCAAGCCAGCCTTTCCAACCCCGTGCCGCCATAGTCGCGGACCTCGGGTGTTGAGCAAGCGGCCTGTGAGGCCCGACAAGAATGCAAGGATCGAACATGTCTCAATTGAAGACGGATGAAAGACTTTGACCGCAAGATGATGAAGACTTGCTCGCACGACTGGGGGGGGGGGGGG